TAAGCCTAAGCCCAAGCCTAAGCCGAAGCCAAGCCTAGCCTAAGCCTAAGCTTCAAAAAATATGGCTCCGGTCAGCTAGCAGAGATTATTGAGGAAGCTGGAGATTTCCACCAATTTTCAACGATTTTGTGGAGTCATCCCGTTCAAAGAAAGTAATATGATTTTTCGGGGGTGGCGGCCGCTTTTGGGGGGCTTCCCTTTTCCAGGGCGAGCAAAAACAATAGCGTGGTATCCGAGCCGAGGCCGATATTAACTAACCCCTAGGACCGATGAATAGTGGCTGTGTAAATTGTTGCGTCGCGGATTAGTTTATTCTCGGGCTGGGGGTTGCACTTATATGAAGGGTTGTATGGGATGAAAGGGATTGTACCCTGGAAGAGAACGATTGTTGGTCTAGGCATGACGTTAAAGGGACACGGAAGTGGAGAGAGAGAGCGAGAGAGAAAGAGAAGAGCGAGAGAGTGAGAGAGTGAGAGACAGACCGACAGAGAGAGAGAGAGAGAGAGAGAGAGAGAGAGAGAGAGAGAGAGAGCAACTCAAGGTAAGCCAGCAGGGATTCGTTAGAAAAGCATCTAGGAAATTGGTGCAGGCTAGCAAAGACATTTTCGGAATTTGGGACGACTTCAATTTATGCGGAGGCTAGCAGTGATTCTTTAGGAAACAGAGGCAATTCTGAACTGCTCGAAGACATTGGCAAGCCAACATCTATGTTTCAAACCGTGATGTTAGGGGTAGCCTAGCAAGGATTCTTTGCAGAATTTATGAGTTAGGAAAGTCCGAATTTATGAAGTTGAACTGGGCATTCTAGCAGAGATCTTTAAGGAATCAGGAAAATATTAGATCAATGCCGGGTCCAGACCGGAACCGGCGGAACCACGCAAAAAATGAGCAATATCGAAAACGCACCATCTTCTCCGTCTGTCTCCTTGCCGCCAGTAAATCCGGAGCCGCCAGGTCTTCACGTCTTCTTCTTCTTCTATCGATCACAGGCACGCCAGGAAGGGGATGGAAGGGGAGGAAGAACTGACGGGATAAATCCTCTCAACGCCCCGATGGCGATGCCTAAATTGCACCCCGGATTAGCGGGCGTCATCGCGGAGGAATTCATGGAAATTCAGGAAAACAGTACGAGCTATTCCTACGTGGTCTCGGCTAGCTCGTCCTCGCCACTTCTTCAACAATCTCTGCTAGCCTGCCCTCTCCTCTTCCTCAACAATCTCTGCTAGCCTGCCCTCTCCTCTTCCTCAACAATCTCTGCTAGCCTGCCCTCTCCTCTTCCTCAACAATCTCTGCTAGCCTGCCCTCTCCTCTTCCTCAACAATCTCTGCTAGCCTGCCCTCTCCTCTTCCTCAACAATCTCTGCTAGCCTGCCCTCTCCTCTTCCTCAACAATCTCTGCTAGCCTGCCCTCTCCTCTTCCTCAACAATCTCTGCTAGCCTGCCTATCCTCTTCCTCAACAATCTCTGCTAGCCTGCCCTCTCCTCTTCCTCAACAATCTCTGCTAGCCTGCCCTCTCCTCTTCCTCAACAATCTCTGCTAGCCTGCCCTCTCCTCTTCCTCAACAATCTCTGCTAGCCTGCTAGTTGTAAGGCTTGAAAACTGGATTAAGGCCGGCTAGAAAAGATCCTTGAGTTTTCCGCTTAGGCCTAGCCTTGGGCTTGGGCTTAGGCTTAGGTTCAGGCGTAGGCCTAGGCTTAGGCTCAGGCTCAGGCTCGGACTTAGGCTCAGGATTGGGCTTTGCCTTACTCAAAGCCTTCCTCAATTCAACCTCAATCCGAAAAGCTAGCAGCGATTCTTGAGGAATTTAGGAGGAGAAGCCAAATTTTCCGCAAAAAATCTCTGCTAGCTTCCCAGACCAGGCCTCGATTTAATTTTTCTGGCGGATTCCCCTTCAACTTCGGCAGGCTAGCAGAGATTGTTGGCAGGAACTGGCCCTCGAACCAGACGCCTTTTCGCAATTTCTGTAGTGCTTCCCTCACCGGAGCGATGTACCAAGCGCGGATAAATTTTCCAGCGCGGCGGGGCCCCTCATTTTGGGCACGGCCAAAAATTATGGGGCCCTCGGTGGGGGCCTTGGGCACCCGGCGACGACGCTTGGATTGTTTGGGGTTTTGGGCTTGGTCACGAAATTGGGGTAGAATTTTTTGAATTTTTCTAGATGCTGAAAAAGAATTAGTAATTTTTTAATTTTTTTGGATGCTGAAAATGTTTTAAATAGCTCTGAGCACCGCTTTGGCGGCCCACATAAAGACCGTGAAAAAGGGGCAGAAAGGGTGGAATCGAGCGGAAAATCGCCCGAAAATACCTGCGCCCAGCCATGAGTACCAGGAAGTTCGAAAAAAGACCGGGTATCAATTATTTATGGGGTGGCAGGCTAGCAGAGATACTAGGGGAAAGATCCCACGTCAACTTGCAGAGATTCTTTGAGGAAGAGGAGAGGGCAGGCTAGCAGAGATTGTTGAGGAAGAGGAGAGGGCAGGCTAGCAGAGATTGTTGAGGAAGAGGAGAGGGCAGGCTAGCAGAGATTGTTGAGGAAGAGGAGAGGGCAGGCTAGCAGAGATTGTTGAGGAAGAGGGAGAGGGCAGGCTAGCAGAGATTGTTGAGGAAGAGGAGAGGGCAGGCTAGCAGAGATTGTTGAGGAAGAGGAGAGGGCATGCTAGCAGAGATTGTTGAGGAAGAGGAGAGGGCAGGCTAGCAGAGATTGTTGAGGAAGAGGAGAGGGCAGGCTAGCAGAGATTGTTGAGGAAGAGGAGAGGACAGGCTAGCAGAGATTGTTGAGGAAGAGGAGAGGGCAGGCTAGCAGAGATTGTTGAGGAAGAGGAGAGGGCAGGCTAGCAGAGATTGTTGAGGAAGAGGAGAGGGCATGCTAGCAGAGATTGTTGAGGAAGAGGAGAGGGCAGGCTAGCAGAGATTGTTGAGGAAGAGGAGAGGGCAGGCTAGCAGAGATTGTTGAGGAAGAGGAGAGGGCAGGCTAGCAGAGATTGTTGAGGAAGAGGAGAGGGCATGCTAGCAGAGATTGTTGAGGAAGAGGAGAGGGCAGGCTAGCAGAGATTGTTGAGGAAGAGGAGAGGGCAGGCTAGCAGAGATTGTTGAGGAAGAGGAGAGGGCAGGCTAGCAGATATTGTTGAGGAAGAGGAGAGGGCATGCTAGCAGAGATTGTTGAGGAAGAGGAGAGGGCAGGCTAGCAGAGATTGTTGAGGAAGAGGAGAGGGCAGGCTAGCAGAGATTGTTGAGGAAGAGGAGAGGGCAGGCTAGCAGAGATTGTTGAGGAAGAGGAGAGGGCAGGCTAGCAGAGATTGTTGAGGAAGAGGAGAGGGCATGCTAGCAGAGATTGTTGAGGAAGAGGAGAGGGCATGCTAGCAGAGATTGTTGAGGAAGAGGAGAGGGCAGGCTAGCAGAGATTGTTGAGGAAGAGGAGAGGGCAGGCTAGCAGAGATTGTTGAGGAAGAGGAGAGGGCAGGCTAGCAGAGATTGTTGAGGAAGAGGAGAGGGCATGCTAGCAGAGATTGTTGAGGAAGAGGAGAGGGCATGCTAGCAGAGATTGTTGAGGAAGAGGAGAGGGCAGGCTAGCAGAGATTGTTGAGGAAGAGGAGAGGGCAGGCTAGCAGAGATTGTTGAGGAAGAGGAGAGGGCAGGCTAGCAGAGATTGTTGAGGAAGAGGAGAGGGCAGGCTAGCAGAGATTGTTGAGGAAGAGGAGAGGGCAGGCTAGCAGAGATTGTTGAGGAAGAGGAGAGGGCAGGCTAGCAGATATTTTTCAGCAATATCCAAGGCAAGCTAGCAGAGATCCTTGCGGAAGTGCTAGTAGTCTAGTCAATGGTCGTCCCCCACAAACAAAAATCATGGGCTAAATCGGGGGGTTAGTGTGTTGTGGGGGGATCCAAAGGGCCCGAAAAGAAAGGGCCCAGAATTGGGGGGGGCTGGCCCCCAAATTCTCGGGCTCACAGATAAAAAGGGAGGAGGAGGAGACCCGCGAAAAGTGACGGCTAAAAGCCGTGGGGGAGAAGAAGGAGAAGCTCATGGCTTGTCTGTCTCGACCCCCCGGCTAGAAGGCATCGAATTACAAATCGTAAGTTTTTTTGCGTGTGGTTGGTGAGAGGGTGGAGGTGAGAGAGAGAGAGACGGATAAGATACAAAAAAAGGCTTGGGAAGCTTGGTATTAGCCTAAGCCTAGTCCTAAGCCTAAGCCTAAGCCTAAACTAGTGGTGTTCGATACCCAGCCTCAGCAATGGGCCTTTAAAACTCTAAAAAACGGCCCATTCGGCTGGCCATTGGAATGCATTCCTGAGGTCCCAGTGGGTCATATCCCCGGAGGTGAGAAAACAATGGGGGGCCATTTGCCCCCAGGGCACATCAGCGCTTAATCACCTGAGGGGGGTAGGCTAGCAGAGATTGTTGAGGAAGAGCAGAGTGCAGGCGAGCCGAGACCGCCGAAGATCAGGCTCAACTGGCCAACTAGCAAACATCCTGGAGGAATTGGGATGGCTAGCAGCAAAGAACATCTCTGGGAGCGGAGCTAGCTAGCAGAGATCTTTTAGGAAAAGGCAGGCTAGCAGAGATTCTCTAACAATTCCTGGGTGTCACTTTAAGGGTCCATAAAACATGGAAAAAGGTGTGCGTTGTGTGTATTTTGAGGGTCGTTTTCATCGGCGGCGGCCGGGGCTGGGTTAAGAGCTCCAGGCCGGCAGTTGTCCAGTGGTGTGTCGCGTAGACGAGAGAGAGAGAGAGAGAGAGAGAGAGAGAGACAGAGAGAGAGAGAGAAAATGGGGTACGGTGATAAATAGCCGGAGGGCTTAAAGGGAGCCTGAGGAGGGCACATGCAGGGGATCACGAATGGGTCACCTGTCCCGCCCCTATACCTACCCCCGGAGAAAACAAGCGAGAATGGGGGCAGGCTGGCAGGGATTCTTTGGGGGAACGCTGGAAAATGAGGTCATGATCGTGTTAAGATGATCGTTTTGAAGTGCTTTTTTGATAGTTTATCGTGAAAAAAAGAAAATTATTGATCTTTCGGCGGGACCGCGACGCAACCGCATTCCGTATCCTGGTCCAGCACCTAAAAGATGCTGATTACTCAACAATCTCTGCTAGCCTGCCCTCTCCTCTTCCTCAACAATCTCTGCTAGCCTGCCCTTTCCTCTTCCTCAACAATATCTGCTAGCCTGCCCTCTCCTCTTCTTCAACAATCTCTGCTAGCCTGCCCTCTCCTCTTCCTCAACAATCTTTGCTAGCCTGCCCTCTCCTCTTCCTCAATAATACCTGCTAGCCTGCCCTCCCCTTTTCCTCAACAACCTCTGCTAGCCTACCTTGACGATCCTTATCTCCGGATCAGCTCCTTCATCACAGTCGGTCATCGTCACCTCCTCGAACTTAGGGTTGATATACCCGCACATCGAGCTGTTCTGCTGCCGAAACGTGGTCGTGTAGGTACCGTACTGAACTCGAGGTTTTGTGACTTAAATTAGAAATTTTTGCCCACCTCTCCGGTCTTACACATCCCCATACAGTACGGCACATTCGTGACCTGAAAATCAGCGGTTCTAAAGAACGAGGGGGTCAGAGAAGCTGGTCAGCTAGCGGGGATTCTTTGAGGAAACCCCTTCTGAAATTTTTAAAGTACGGGTTAAATTTTTCATTCGAAAAATACTGCTCTAAAGGGGCTGCGAGGCTAGTAGAGAATTTTGCGCAGCACTTACGCCTTGCTAAAGCCATTTTAAAGGTCCCCTCAAGCCAGCTAAAATCGGCAACAAGCCAGCAAAGAAATTTCAGGAATCACACCCCACCTCCATCCGACAGCTCTTCCCGTTGGCATCGGTGCGCAGGATTTGCGACGAGCCCTCGCCGCTCAATTTCGAGAGGTTGGCGGCAAAGTGCTTCTTGCAGGGCGAATACGCAGCTCCGAAGCACTGGAAAGGTAGGCTAGCAGAGATTTTTGGGGATTTTATGACTTTTTCGGCTTTAAAGGGGTTGCTAAGCTAGCAGAGACCGTTTGGGAAGTACCTGTGATATTAGAAAGACGGATATTGTCAGCTGGAGCGAGTTCAGCATGGCAGCGGTTGATTAGGGAGCTTTTTGGGGTTGACATACCCTCGGGGCAGAACATGTGTTTCGGCTGGTCATTGGCTGATATCGATTGATTAGGCCAGGTAAGAAGGGGAGAAGCTCAAAGAGGTTGCTGCTAGCAGAGATTGTTGAGGAAGAGGCGGGGCATGCCGGCCGGCAGAGATCATTTGAGAAGACTCTAGCCTATTTTCGAGGCAAACACCCTACCAGGAAAAGCCTAAAATTGCCTTCAGCGGCCCTTTAAAACGCTTGATTTATACCCCCATTCGGTCATCGAAAATCGGGATTGATCTTTAAAAAATCTTGTGGGTTCGGGTCATCAATCTTGGCTGTCCGAACCGGTGGCCCGGTGGGAGAAAGGAATGGGATTTGCGAGAGAGAGAGAATGAGAGAGAGAGACAACCAGAATCGAAAAGTAAAATCCCCATGTGGTTGTTATCGGCATGTCGATTTTGGGGGGTCTGGGGGCGGGGCAAGATGATCAGAGAGAGAGAGAGAGAGAGAGAGAGAGAGCGACCGACAGTGGCAAAAATGATGACAGTCAGACGGAGAATTGTCAGTTCGCCATCCCCGACCCCCGCAATCTCAATCCAGGCACACTTCCTCGAGTCTCCCACCGACTCGCCGCCCCAACCTGTGACCTTTTTGGGAGGAATTCGTTATTGTAATAATTGTCAGAGTACTTTTTCCTCAAGACGCTTTGCTAGCCTGCTTTAAGAGTTGCCTCCTAGTCCCTTTAAGGGCCCACTGAAGCCATGCGCAGGTTTAGCTCCGGAAGGATCGCTGCTAGCTTGCTCATGTCTTTAAATGCAGACCAAAGGGGGAAGGCGCCCCAAAGAATTTCTGCTAGAAGCGGTCCAAAAGGATCTTTGCTAGCTTGCCCACTTTCCCGTACGTTTAAAGGAGCACAGAAGCCAAGTTCTCTTCCTAAAAGATCTCTGCTAGCTTGCCATGTTCCTTAGGCTACTGCAGCTCTTTCCACTTCCTTTAAAAACAGAAAAGGAATCGAAGTTTCCCTAAAAATCGCTGCTAGCCTCCCGCGACTTTTAAAGGGGCCGTTGCAGAGAGTTCGGCTTCCTAAACGATCTCAGCTAGCCTGCCCCGTGTTCCATGCGGCTTGCCAGCCCCTTTAACAGCTTACTAAAAGGGCAAGAAATTCCCGAATCTCTGCTAGTAGGCCGCTTTACAGGTCCTTTACAAAGTCCTAGAGCGGGATTTCCCAAATAATCACTGCTAGCCTGTCTAAAAAATTTAACGTGTTTTTTCTCGAAATTTACTAAATTCCGCATCTTAAATCCAGAATTAAATTTCAGGTTTCGACCAAAATGCACAAATTCAAGGAGTCCCTCACGGCGATGATCGGCGACTTCGCCAACATGAACAAAACACCGGATTTTAAGGTTTTTCATTCCCCCAATCATCTCTGCTAGCCTGCCCTGATTCTAGGCAAAATCCGAAGCGAAAGACGCGGAGAGTCTCGACGGGAAAGGCGATCGAAAAATGGGCGCCGGTGGCCGGCGGCATTCACTGAACATTACCGTCGGAGCGGTGGGTCTCTCTCTCCCTCTCGCTCTCTCTCTCTCCCTCACTCTCGCTCTCTCGCCAAAATTCAATTTTAAATCCAAAATATTTTCAACCCCAAAATTTCTCTCAATTTCCTTGCGTACCCAGCCTTTTTTGGGGGAGTTCACCCAAATTCGATCAGCGCCCACGCGCCGCGCTAATCGATTAGGCCACCAAAGTCAAGGGCAGGCGGAAATGACGTGATCTGGAGAAGCCCCTGCAAGCCTAAGCCGAAAACTACTTTGAAGCCTAATCTAAGCCTAAGCCTCCTAAGCCCAAGCATATACCTGGGCTGATGCCTAAGCCTAAGCTTAAGCCTAAGCCTAAGCCTAAGCCGAAGTCTAAGCCTAAGCCTAAGCCGAAGTCTAAGCCTAAGCCTAAGCCCTACGCCTAAGCCCCTAAGCCTAAGTCTAAACCTAAACCTACCTATCATACCTACCTACCAAACAGCGCGTACAGGGCAAGCTCTTCCTGAGGAATCTCCGCTGGATTGCCGACCTTTTCACGCTGTTTTAAGAAACCCTTTCCCTTTCCACAACAATCTCTGCTCGCCCGCTCACGATTTTTGATTCCTTTAAAATCCAATTTTCTGGTTTTCTTTGAATTTGCCCTTGTTTTCCGCGCGGTCACCGTTTGCAATCAAATTCAGCACCTGCAAAAAATGTGCTTATTTTTGGCCCCCACCCTGTTACCCGGGTCAATCTCGGAAAATTCTCTGCGCAGGCCACGCGAGAGGGCGAATCACGCGCAAAAAGATGATCAGCGCGGCCCCAGCGCGGCGGGCTCGATTCCGTAACATTCCTGTAAACATACCAGATCGCCCCCGAAAAAGGGATTACCGAGCTATTTTTAGCGGCAAGGAAGCGTTCCGAAGTGATTTCTGCTAGCCTGCCCTTCAAAATTGGCTTAGTCCCGAAATTCCTGAATAATCTCTGCTAGCTTACCCTCTCTTCTTCCCCAACAGTCTCTGCTAGCCTGCCCTCTCCTCTTCCTCAACAATCTCTGCTAGCCTGCCTTCTCCTCTTCCTCAACAATCTCTGCTCGCTCCCCAAAGAATCTCTGCCAGCTCGTCTAGCACTATGCCATGTCCTAAATGGTTTCTGCTAGCTTGCCCTGTATTCGAAAGTTCCCAAATAATTGCTAAGTGAATCTTTATTGAAGCTAGGATTTTATTGAAGCCGCAAAAAATAAAGACAAAGCCAGCCCGTATCGCCAGAAATCGTTCCCAAAAAATCTCTGCAAGCCTGCCCCTCTTCAAGATGATCTCCAATTCCCCCAACTACACCCCTGCATGTACAATCTACAGCCCGGCCGAACCGGTGCGCCGCGCGCAGATCGTAGATGGGATTGGCCGATGCCGTGATGGGATTGCGCGAAGCGGCAAATTACGAATTGCCCCCTTCCCAACTACTCGCAAAAACACTGGCGGCACACCGTCAACACCACAACGCACACCCCAAGTGTTTATGCAAAGTGACGAGGCGGAAAATTTGGGCGTGAAAAGGAGGGGAAAGGGCAAAAAACGGGTGTTTAAAGGGCCATTGAAGGCAAAAAAAATTCCTGACGGAACTCGGTGGGCTGATATACGGGCTGGTTCTGGTGCTTGCGTGGTGTTACCGTCCCTTTAAAACGACTTTCCAGGAAGCCATCCCCCAGATGCCGAAACGGGAGCGATCGGAGTCGATCTGCGTGGGAACGTCGCTTCCGCTTAACACCAGATACACGCAGAAGGGCAGAAGGTGGGCATGCTAGCAGAGATTGTTGAGGGAGAGGAGAGGGCAGGCTAGCAGAGATTGTTGAGGAAGAGGAGAGGGCAGGCTAGCAGAGATTGTTGAGGAAGAGGAGAGGGCAGGCTAGCAGAGATTGTTGAGGAAGAGGAGAGGGCAGGTTAGCAGAGATTGTTGAGGAAGAGGAGAGGGCAGGCTAGCAGAGATTGTTGAGGAAGAGGAGAGGGCAGGCTAGCAGAGATTGTTGAGGAAGAGGAGAGGGCAGGTTAGCAGAGATTGTTGAGGAAGAGGAGAGGGCAGGCTAGCAGAGAACGTTTCCAAAAATGATGCAAAAATTTAGGTCCTCCGCCCCATGCGTGTCCACCAGTGGCGCCTCCACGCAGCTCAAGGAGAAGCTGAAAAAGATGCGCTGCAAAGATGATACATTTGCAGAGGTAAGGAGGTTCCATTCCTGAAGAATCACTGCTAGCCTGCCCTCTACTCTTCCTCAACAGTCTTTCCTAGCCCGCCATACCCCCGAATTTTCAGCACGAGGAGCTCGAAGAGAGCCACACCGCTTTAAAGGAAGTAGACGAACACGACGACGAGGACGAGACCCTGACCGAGGCCGAGGAGGAGCGGATCCGCGCGCGGATCGCCGAGCAGCGCGAGCGTCGCCCATCCAGTTATTTGCTGTAGAGCGCCCCGGCTACCGTACCCCATTCAGTGAATTTGTCATTTTTGCCGTCACCAGATTTTTCCTCGCTTTAAGCCACGCCCCCTCCAAACAACGCCGACATCGGGTACCGTAATCCCGGAGGTTACGGTAGTTCTTCCCCACACACAAGTCTAAGCCTAAGCCAACGCCTGCATCATCCGGTCAATAAATATTTTTCATAGCTCCGTTCTGCACTGTAGTCTGTAGTTTGTCGTTTTTTGCGCCCAGTACACACCAATACAAATGACGCAGTAATGGAAGCCGTTTATTTAATGGGTGAATGATCGTCGCGTTCGCGTTTAAGAAAAAAGTCGGAAAGGGCAGTCAGGGGCGAGGGACGTCTAGCATCAGATCCACATCGTGTCGTCGCGCTCCTTGCGGCAGAGCACCTGAAATAGGGGCCTGAGTTTTTGGCTTGAAAGGGTCTTTAAAACGTTCGAAAGGTCTCCAAAAGAGTTTCCAGGCAAAACGCAAAAAATTTCTGCGGCCGGGATTCGAACCCTCGACCTTCGGATCATCAGTAAAACCCTTAGCCACTGCGCCACGCTACCAGGAAATTCTTCAGCTGCCCGCCCTCGTAGCGCTTCAGCGTGCCGTCGAGCAGCGTGCACTCGGCCACCTCCAGCTTCAGGTTGATGCCGCCTGGAAATAGTTCTCGGTTTGCTGCTCTCCTCTTCCTCAACAATCTCTGCTGGCCTGCCCGGGCCTACCGTACCCAGGATTTCGGTGTTGTTGATGCAGATGACGCACGGGGCCACGTGGTCCATATGGAGGGGCAGACATTCGGGCGCCTCACGGTTAGCAGCCACCTGGAAATTCCCCAAATGGCCACTGCTCGTCTGCCCCGGGCCCTAAGGCCTTGCCGGGCCTACCGTACCTCCTCATACGGGATCCACTTGTAGTCGTAGCCGGCGACGAGTGGCGGGAGCTCGACGAGGAGCTGTAGGCTGCCCACCGTTCGCCCGTGGTAGACTCGCCCTTGGCTGAAAGGGCAGGCTAGCAAAGATTCTTTGCGGAATTCCAGAGTTGGGGGCAGGCTAGCAGAGATCTTTTAGTAACAACAAGAACCCACTCAACAAAAGCCGCGCCAATGTTGCCCGAGTCGTTCCAGGCGCGGCCCATTACCGGCTTCCCGTGGCGATACCTAAAGCGGGGATCCCGCTGCCTTCAACGACCCTTTAAAGCGTACCACAGGGCGACGAACTGCTCCTGGTTGCCCCACGGTGTCGCCAGGGCACGACCGAGGCCCATGTGCACGGGCCTGGAAAAGGCTTCGCTAAGGTTTTTTTGCGCGGCTCACTTGTCAACCGGGAACCGATCGCCCTCCTTGTAGTCGACCCAGTCGTTCACCATCAATGGGGCGCGCTCTAGAAAATTTGGAGATTACGGTAATCGTCGGGGGATACGGTACTTTTCGTCTTGCAGGTGGCGCAGATGGGGCACTGACAATGGGGAGGTCCACCGTGGATCATACGGCAGAGGACGAGCAGGTTGTTGAATTTTGGGGAGGTGGACGGGACCTGGAAGGTGAGACAGGTGAGCAGAGATTGTTGAGGAAGAGGAGAGGGCGGGCTAGCAGAGATCTTTGAAATCCGGTACCGTCTCGAACTTCCGCTCGCCCACTTGCATGTACGCCTTGCCCTCGCCGGTGTCCAGGTAACCGAGAGACACCTGAAAGTGGCGAAATTCAGGTGAGACGGAAAGCGAGAGAAAAGAGAGAGAGAGAGAGAGAGAGAGCGTACCATCTCCTGTAAAAACACGGGCACCGAAGCCCCGCATCTGACGGCGAACATGTCGCGTGCCTCCTCCTCCTTCCACCGCGTAAACGGGATCCAGTCGTACCAGAAGCCGACCTCGGAGTGTGTCTTCGAGTACTGAAGACGGCTAATGACGCACACGACTAAAGCCTGCTTACGGTAAGCAGCTGGATAGAGCCGCCAATCTCCTTGCCCTGCTGCACGGTGCCGTTCATGATGAAGGAGCACTGGACGACGCCCGAATCGTTCCACGCCCGGCCCATGAACGGCTTGCCGTGCTTGTACCCCAGCGCCACGTACATGTTCGCCTGCCCGTGGGCTTTAACCTGGAAATGGGGGATGCTAAGTCGAAGCCGAAGCCTAAGCCTAAGCCTAAGCCTAAGCCTAAGACTAAGCTAAGCCAAAGCCTAGCCTAAGACTAAGCCCAAGCCTAAGTCATGCCTAAGCCTAAACCCTAACCCAACCCCAACAAAGCTTTCAAAAGTACCCATACAGCATTTTGTGGAAACGGCGTGCCGACTTCCTGGAACGTCCACGTATCTTCAAGCACCTTTGGCTGCAAAGTAATTAAATTTAGTGATTTTTTACCAATTATTGATTCAAGTTGATGAACAATGAAAACTAGGAAAATTTTACAAATATGAAAAAGCTCAATTAAAAACTGAAACCAACTTTACTACTCATTTCGGCTAACAGGCCAACGACACGAAGTGAAAATGAAGACTAGTGAAGTGGAAAATACATAGAAAGGGTTGCCAATATCTGGATTTTCGCTTTTATACCGAGCTCTACGGTCGCCCGGACGCTTCGCGGGCAAATGCCAGATTCAAATTCAAATTACCAAATTTCCGAGTCAGGTTTTTGAGCTCTTGGGATTCCGGGAGCTTTTGCAGTAGCGGGGGAAGCAATTTTGCCTTACTTGCTAGCGTTGATTTACTATTTGGAAACACTAAAATGTGGCAAATTTTCGCAAAATTCAAAAAATCGATTTTTCGATCAAACTTTGTCGATTTTCCAAAATTTCAAATTGTTAACATTTTTGCGCATTTTTGAACAGTTTTTGGTGCTGGTGCGTTAGCGCGGGGGGGGAGCAAGGTCAGGTCCAGAAAGAGAGCCTAAGCCCAAGCCCAAGCCCAAGCCCAAACCCAAGCCTAAACCTAACTTAAGCCTAAGCCTAAGCCTCATCCAAGCCTAAGCAGTAGCCTAAACCTAGGCCTAGGCAGCAGACTAAGCCTAACCTAAGCTTATGCCAAAGCCTAAACTTAAGCCTAACAATAAGCTTCACCGCACGAAAAGTCTCCCACTCACCTAATATTTGCATGCCAATTTCACATTCGATTACCATGACTTCGAGCCCCGGATCGCCGCGTTTCCGCGCATTCGTTTTTGAACGCTCGGCTCGGCTCGTCGGCTCTCACCCCCAGGATGGCGTCGGAAGATGACGATGAGACGAAACTCGCCTACTACCACGGGCACCTGCTCGACGAGGACGCCGACAAGCTGCTCAAGGACGATGGCGACTACCTGCTGCACTGTCGCTTCGAGAAGGGCCAGGCCAAGCCGCGCTACTGCCTCGTCGTCCGCGCCAAGGAGGAGAACCGGCGGTCCAGAGCTTCCTCGTCGTCTGTACGGACTGATCTTTTAGATACATGGTCAAGCGCAGCGAGAAGGGCTTCAAGATCACGGGCCACGCGCGCGTCTTCACCTCCATCCTCCAGATGATGGACCACTTCATCTCGGTGCGGATTTTTGGCGCCAAGCTTTGGAGCTTTCGCATTATCGGGGGCAGAAGGGAAGGAAGAACCCAATTTTTTATGGGATTCCTTTTTTAGAAGGGCATTGACGACCACACCCTCGATCGGCCGATCGGCCGCAGCAAGTTCCAGCTGCACCACAAGGACATTCGACTCGTCAAAAAGGTATCACTAATGCAGACTGGGTTTATTTTTTGCACGATAATTCGCCGTTAAAACAAAATGGAGTATTTTATAGCTTTTTTTAATAGTTTTTGATGGCTAGAAAGCCGTAAAAAAAATTGAAAATACGAAATTTCACCTTTTTGGTCATTTTCATATTTTTTGACCAACAAGTCAACAGTTTTCGATGATTTTCATAGTTTTCCTATTAGTCTAAAAACTTCGTATCTAAAAACGGTTCTTTCGCATTATCGGGGGGGGGGAGAGCCAAAGGTTTTTGTATAAGTTTAGAAGTGCCTAATAAGGTATTAGGATTTTCATAACTTTTTTAGTAGAATAAATATATATTTGAAATAGAAAAATTAAGTTTTTAAAACATTTATGTTTTGTTAGTTATTATTTTGGTTAGGTCCTAAAAAAGTTAATTTTTAATTTTTTTAAACAAATTAACAAATTCCAGCTCGGCGCCGGCGCCTACGGGACCGTCTACAAGGGCGTGCTCGTCCAGAAAACGTCGAAGGCCCCGTCAAAAGAGGGCAAATCCCAGGGGCGACTCTCCCGCTCGCCAGCTCACGGCAGCTCCGATGTGAGAAAATCTACCCTACACCCCGAAACGTTAACCGTTTTTTGGAGGAAAAGGTGCGAAAGACGGTGGCGGTGAAGCGCATCGAGTCCGAGGGCACCGACGAGCAGGCACTCACCGACATGATGAAGGAGGCGCGCGTCATGCAGTTGTACTTCCACAACAACATTGTCAAGTTCTACGGCTACATCATCGACCGCAAGCCCTACCTGCTCGTCATGGAGTATTGTGACGTAGGGGCATTGGGCTAATTTTCAATTTGTCGAAATAGCATTGGTTCATTCCCATTATCGGGGGGGGCTTTTCCTAAACGCGCAGGCTCGCAGAGATTGTTGAGGAAGAGGAGAGGGCAGGCTAGCAGAGATTGTTGAGGAAGAGGAGAGGGCAGGCTAGCAGAGATTGTTGAGGAAGAGGAGAGGGCAGGCTAGCAGATATTGTTGAGGAAGAGGAGAGGGCAGGCTAGCAGAGATTGTTGAGGAGGAGGAGAGGGCAGGCTTGCAGAAATTTTTTTTTTTGGAGGGGGGGGGGGTTTTTGGGGGGGGGGGGGGGGGGGGGGGGGTTTTTTGGGGGGGGGGGGGGGGGGTTTTGGGGGGGGGGGGGGGGGGGGTTTTTGGGGGGGGGGGGGGGGGGTTTTTTGGGGGGGGGGGGGGGGGGGGTTTTGGGGGGGGGGGGGGGTTTGGGGGGGGGGGGGGGGGGTTTGGGGGGGGGGATTTGAGAAAAGTCGGTTCTTTCGTAGTATCGGGGGGGGCGAATCTTTTGAGTTAGAGACGAAGGAAAGGCAGAAGGAATTTTCGAGAAAGTAATTTTCGACAAAGCGAAATTTGGACAAACTGACAGCAAATCAGGGGCATTGACGCTGAACTGCTCGAAAAGGTTGTGCGCGTTCAGGGCGGCAGTGTCGAGGACCGGCTGCGCGACGATGGCGACAGCATCACGATCCCGACGCGCATCGACTGGACCCACCAAGGGTCGATTGGCCTCGAATATCTGCACTCCAAAAAGTGGGCATTTTGTGAAAATCGTTTTTTTTTGAGAATTTTAGCACTTTAAGGTGCTTTGGCATTATCGGGGGATGAACTTTTTGGAAAAATTTAGAAATTCCTAGCAAATTAGTAGCAAGTGTTTTACGTGTTTTTGGTAAAATATTCCTGTTTTTAAAGCAAGAAAACCATCCAAAAAATTTAAAACTCTCTAAAAACGTTTTGAACAAGTCGAACTTGGCAAAAAAATCTATACCAAAAAGTCAATATTTTTGACAAAATTTTGTAACATCTTCACGTCACAAGAAACACTCACTAATTCTACTTGCAAAATTAGATACCAAGAAAATGAACCCCCCCGATAATGCAAAAGAACCTCCCATTTCCAGCTGCATCCACCGCGACATTGCCACGCGCAACTGCCTGATCCACCAGAATGCCCTGAAGCTCGCCGATTTCGGCATGTGCCGCCACACGGCCATCTACAAGGTCGACCTCAGCAAGGCGCTCAACGTGCGCTGGCTCGCGCCAGAAGTGTGGAAAACGGGCGAGACGAAGCCGTGCACCGACGTCTACGCGTTTGGCGTGATGATCTGGGAGCTGTTCGAGATCCCGTACAACTCGCCGTACGCGTCGATGAAGGCCGGCCAAGTCAAGGTCGGTTCTGGACTGTTAGCGGGGGGGGGAGCACTTGCTGTTTTTCCACCTATACTTTACGCAATCATTAATTTTAAAGCAATTAAAATTTAAGGCTATGCCAAGCCTAAGCCTAAGCCTAAGCCTAAGCCTAAGCCTAAGCCTAAGCCTAAGCCTAAGCCTAAGCCTAAGCCTAAGCCTAAGCCTAAGCCTAAGCCTAAGCCTAAGCCTATGCTTAAGCCTAACTAAGCATACCTGTTGATGATAAATTATGTATTTTTATAGTGTTTTTAGTAGTTTTTGATTGCTAGCAAGTGATAAAAAATGTTTTAAAATTCCCAAATTTTGCCCTTTTTGGGTTTTTCTTACATTTTTGCCCAGAAAATCGGCAAAATTTTCAGCAAAAAGTCATGCAGGGCTACCGGATGAAGCCGCAGGACTGTATGCCGAAGGAGATGGCCGACGTGCTCGCCCTCGCCTGGCATCACAAACCCGAGCGCCGCCCCACCGCCAGCGAGCTGCGCCTCAAATTGCGCCCCATCTGCAAGGTGGTCGCAAAAAAAACGTCGCCATAATGGTCTTTAGAAGTACTGCCCGAACATTGAGCTCGATGACGAGTCGGGCGGTGACGAAAAGCCGCCTCCCGAGAAGAGCTCAGTGGTACGCCCCTCAAGAATTCGTCATTCAGAAATTTAAAGGGCTCGAGAAAGATGCATTTGGCGAAAAAGCAAAAAGTTTGCAGCGGGCGGGAGTCGAACCAGGGCTGGTTCACCCCACAGCCCAGCGTGCTAGCCAGTACACCATGGCCTCAACCGAGGGCCGCGGCGAAAGGCCCTCAAATACCTAGGGGGTTTTCCCGGCCGTTTTTCGGGTTTTTTGTTGGCCCGAAATTACATTAAAAAATTACGAATTTCGAATGGGAATGTATATAGGTCCTCCCTTTCTCCAGCCCTTTAAAACCACAAAAATCAAGCCAAAAACACCATTTAGGGGTCGCAAGAGCGCCGGAAAGAGAAGGACAAGGGCACCGCGACGGCGATGCCTGCCGCAGCTGCCGACAAGATGGAGAAGAGTGCGCGGAAGAAGAGCACGGCCAAGACGACGCGCTCCAAAGCCAAATAGCGCCGCCCCGCCGCTACCACCGCCCTCCCGCTCCACTTAATGATCCGACGGCCCCCGGCGACGCTTGACCGGAAACTAGTGTGTACCGCGTATTACCTTAAAAATTCAATTAGTATACTTGAAATTCAGAAATGCAACAGATTTATTCGCTTTGAAATAAATACTCCCACCTTGTGTGCCTCAATGTGTACTTTGCAAAGTGGCGTGGAAGAACATATCATGGTGTTTTTCTTATTGTTTCTCACTTTCACCCTCTCCCTCTCTCTCGCTCTTGCTCTCTCTCGCTCCCTATCTCACTCTCACTCTCTCTCTATTTCTCTCTTTCTCTCTTTCTATGCCGACACCGGTTTGGAGCCACTTGTATTTTTTTTATTCTTGCCGTTGTTGACTCTCCTCGGGCTGCTGACTCATTTGATAGCGGCTGTGAAGGCAGGAAATGTGAATATAAAGAAGATGAGAGAGCGAGCGAGCGAGGGAGCGAGAGCGAGAGAAAGAGCGAGCGAGAGAGAGAGAGAGAAACAAGGATACTTTGATGATCCTCAGGCTCTCTGATTTGCATATGGAATGTTAAATATTCTCGAGCGATGTGGCCCTCTTTTCCCCCAATTTCCACCCATTGGTCGATGATCGGTGCGATGCATGCCGGCATGAAAGGTACATCTTTTTTCGGTTTTAAAGAGGAAGGGAACCTCTAACCCAATTTTGATCGAATTTCCTATCACATTTCGACTATTTCAAACATTTTAACTGGTTTAATGTTGGAAATTGAGGCAGGAAACCGCCACCGCCGCCTGCTGCGCCGATGCCCCGGCTCCGCAGGGCCTGAGGCTAAGAAGGGTAAATTTTGGAGTTTTTAAGTAGGTTAGATGAATCACGGAAATAATGCGTTAGACCACGCTTATGGCAATCTTTGCAGGCGAGGAAGTGAGCGCCGTGCCGGCCGTCGACGGCCTCGCGCCGTGCACCGCCGTGGAGGCTTCGACCCCGCTCACCCCCGTCGACGCGAAGGAGCACTTCGTGCCCGACGATGAGGACAGGCTCCCACTCGGTAACAATAAACTTTTGAGTTTGTCATAACAAATAGCTTCTAATAGCGGAAATAATTACGTTAGATCACGGTTATGGCAATCTTTGCAGACGAGGAAGTGACCGTGCCGGCCGTCGACGGCATCGCGCCGTCCACGCCGGTCCACACCGCCGTCGAGTTTACGAGCCCGCCAACCCCCATGGACGTGAAGGAGGACTACGTGCCCGGCGACCACGACAATAAGCTCGGTAACAATAAACTTTTGAGTTTGTCAGAACAAATAGCTTCTAATAGCGGAAATAATTACGTTAGATCACGGTTATGGCAATCTTTGCAGACGAGGAAGTGAGCGCCGTGCCGGCCGCCGACGGCCTCGAGCACCTCGGCATCGACGTGACGTTCGTGAGCGCAGATCTGCTGAAGGTCGTGGATCAGAATATTCTTCATTTAAATTAGTTTCAGTGCCCCGCGGGATACGTACAGTCCACCATCGGGCGCCTGTTGCGGGTGGAGCTGCGCCCGGTCAGCCACGCGAACACTGAAGACGCCATGCACGGCCCCGTTACGACTCTCCGCCTGGCGCGGGTCGGGTGGTTTTCCGATGAGTAAGTGTTCGATGTTTAAGTCAAACATTTTTAGTGAGGTCGAGCGGATGCGCGTGGCGCTGGTCGGTGATGGGCGGCTCATCTTGATGAAGGACGGGCTGTTCCTCATCAACGTTCTGGTCGGAGGGCGCGGAGGTTATGAGGTGAGTCCTTCCAGATACTGAGCTATCATCCGGCTTTCAAATAAGGGTACTGTTCTATTATGCGGGGTATTTTCGGGATAAATTGGGGTTAAAAAGCTAGTTTTCTATATTTTCGCTGCGCGTTTCCGATACGCCATTCGTAGAGCATCAAAAAAATATAATCAGAGTTTTAATTTCAGCTCAAAATAACGTAATATAACAAAATTATAACCAAAGCAAGGTTTAAACGTGGTTGCCACACAGGGAAACACACAGTTTTCGACATTTTCCATATTCTTACAAAATTTCTTGAACACGATTCGGTAGAAGGTCAAAAATATACTAAGAGTATTTTAGCGCGAAGAGACGGGGAGCAAAACCGGCCGAAGCGTCAGCACAACGGGCGACGAGATCGAGCCGCTGATGGGCGAGCTGCCAAAGACCGCCGCCACCACCACCGATGGCCCGGTAGTCATTTTTGATTGTCTAAACGCTGTAGATAGTGCCATAAAAACTTATTTTATTTTTATTCTTGGCGTCTACGGCATAAACTAAAATTCCATTTTCTAGTGCGGCTACTGCCACCGCATGGTCGGCCCGTTCCGGCCAGTCTACAAGCGCCCATGCTGCAGCGTGTGTCGGCGCATCAAAGAGTAGGTGTTCTTCTAAAATTCGCTCGAGGTTCGAGCAGCCGATTAAAACATCCTATCGTGCTTCTTTCAGACATCCCGAGAAGCAGAACGACTGTATCCAGACGCCCGCGTGCCGCTACTATCGCGAGCAGCGGTATGCAATGTTCAGCACAGAGTTAAAGAATTTTGCACACTCTTGGTTCTCGATAACAATTGAAAATTTAGGGAGCTGCCATCCGGCGAAGGCGACTACTCGATGGTACCATCCGGATGTGGCGCCTGTATCGGTCTGCAGCTCGCTGACGCGCGCGACAAGGCCAACTAGGTGAAAGAGCCGAAAAATACGTAACTATTTATTTTCCAGGCCTCCCCCAACAACATCATCTGCCGGCAATGAAGATGGAAACGGTCCCATTAACCCCATTAAAAAGGCTTAGATTCATTATCTCGTTCATTTGTGTGATGAGATTTGCTATGATTGACCTCGCCGTTATTAATATTTCATGTTCTGATGTTGGAAATAAAGCATTCATTTGGAAGCCGCAGAATAGGAAGTTGCGAACTGCGAAAGAAGCTAATTTCACCGACGTAAATGTTGGGAGAAAAAAGTCGTTCGGTTTCCCGGGGACCGGGATTGCGGCTTTAAAATGTTGGTTTTCTCATGTTTTCTCAAAGCGCTGTGCTCGTATGATCTCGGGTTGTATTGAAAAGGTACCGTTTGGTATCTGTATGCTCTCGGCATTTTCGGCATTTTTGCTCGCTTTTATTTTTTCGGCTTTCCGCATTTCAAGAGCCGCCAGGATGTGACCGTCAATTGGAGCCTCGTGGTGCCCTGCACATTTTCCCGTCCCTTTCATTGTCATCCGCTCAAAAAACATTGCCATTTTCATATTTGCAAACGATTGGCGAGCTTACTTTTTACTTTTTAAACAGTTGCAGACTTACGTCCGTCACTTGCCATAGAAACCCCAGAAAATCCTATCGAACTACCCTTGAAAACTCGTGGAATTCTTCCCCACCATCTGCTTGCTCTTTGAGCTTTACACCCCTCTCTTCCTGACTTAAATCTCGGCAAAACTATCATTTTCAGTTTTCACGACCATGCCTCGAGCCCGGCCCATCATTTTGACGGCGATGCGGGCTGGAATGCTGATGCGGGGCGCAGCCGAGCTCTCAACGAGCGCCGTCCCTTTGCGAGCAGTTGTTGCCAAAAATCCGGCCTTTCGCATCACACGACATGCCACGACAGCGTCCACATCTGATGCCGGACTTCCGACTAAAGAAAAACTGCTGAGCGTCGACTGGATCGTCGAGCACCAGCTGCCCGGGCTCTTCAAGCAGCCCCTCACAGCCTTCATGAACGCCTGCGATCGGAACATTGCGCTAGAAGATCGCCTCTACAATTACAACCTGACCTCCAAGGAGAGTCTCTTCAAGCATATTGCCAAGCTAAGAATTTATTTCCGCTACAAGTTCCCGTTCGTCAAGGTCGAGCACATCGGATCTTGCATCTATGAGGGCGAAGATATGGTGACGATACTTTGGCGCTTGACGTATTTGAAGAGTTCATTCGCGAATTATTTGCCAAGCTTTATGACGGGACGGACGCAGCCGATGACCGTCGAGGAGGGCGCTATGGATTTACACGTGCACGCCGATGGGACGATTTATAAAATTGTCAACCGCAAGTTGACCGCCGCGGATCGCGAGGGCTCGAATATAATGAAACAGCTGAAACTCGAGAGCCAAGAGGAGCGGACCGAGAAGATGGAGCGGCACATTCGAAAAGAGATAAACCAGCAGCTTTAGGGCCTTGCCGTTGTGTGTTGTTCACCCATTTGCTCTCACATTTCTTTGCTCGTAGAATAGACTAGCGTTATTTCGTTGGAGATAAATTTTTTTGCAGAATCGCCCGAATCTGATGGTACAAACCCGCTCGGCAGCCCGACAGTCGAATTCTGCGGACAGGTCGCCGTATCGGTAAATTTTGTGAATGCTGTAATTATTTCTGAATTTTTCCAGATATGTGCCCCGCCAGCATGTGGAGGTGCATTCGACAGGAATCAGCGCCATCGACCATTATTTGCAGGTGCGCCTTTCCGCCGAATTTTCAAAACTTTTGGTTCTTTCGCATTATTGGGGGAACCAACTTTTTTTATTAAGCGTTAAAAAAATCGGCCATCTCCACGTCAAAAAAGCGTAAAAAATACGATTTTTGACCAAAACGGACGTTTTTAATTAGTTTTTCTAGCTGAAATATCATACAATTATTTTTACGGAAAACACTATTAAAACGCTATGAAGTTACTAGACATTTCTAGAATTATACAAAAACGTTAGGTCCGCCCTCGACAATGCGAAAGAACCAAACTTTTTTAGCAAGACTGCATACTTACCCCAGAAGAGATGGCCCGACTGGCAGCCCACAAGTACTCGGCCATCGACATTTCTTGGTTGGATGAATTGTGCATGAAGGTGGGTCGGCGCCAATTTTTGCAATCTTCCGCTTTAGAATTTCTGGGAACGAGTCGTGGAGTACTGTCCGCTCTGGGTCGCGCCGAACCTGATCACATTGGTATGGATGTTGCTTTGTTGCCATTAATTGCTAATTCAGGTGGGCCTGATCGTGAACCTGGCGACCGTCCTCATCTTGTCGTACTACAGCCCGACCGCCAAAGAAGATGCTCCGAGGTGGACGTATGCGCTGGCTGCATTAGGTAATTTTTTGGTGTTTTCACCAACTTTTTTTTTCTTACAACTCGAGAAATACCCAATAACGTACTAGTAAATTATTAGTAAAAGTTCACTATATTTGAACTGGAGAGACCATAAAAAACTGAATTTTTACTTGAAATTTTGAGTAATACTTGAAAATCATTTTTTTTTGTTTTAATCAATTTGTGAAGCTTTTACGTTTAGGCATGGACGTTTGGAAAGGCTTTTAGAAGTACTTCCACTTTTTATATTAAAAAAACTTGGCTTTTAAAGGGATGCCGACGGCATAGTCAATCGGTTACGCGCGGAAAAGAAAATGTCTCTGCGCCTCTCCCCTGGGCGCGCTCTTTCCCCTGTTGGCTACTTGCCAATTTGTTGATGGGGGGGGATCGAACACATGCCGTCCGCAGCCCTTTAAGAAATAAAAGAAAAGTCCAATTCTGGGAACCTGGTTGATTTCGGCATTTTGGCACTAGAATAATCTTTTCCAGGCCTCTTCATCTACCAGACCCTCGATGCCATTGATGGCAAGCAAGCCAGGCGGACCGGATCCTCCTCACCCCTCGGCGAGCTTTTCGACCACGGCTGTGATAGTCTCTCGCAGGTTTTTAAATGTTTTAATTGTCAACGCGATGCGCTTAGATTTTCGTCTGCCTGAACGTGTGCTATGCGCTGCAACTGGGTGACGTGAAACACGGCGTGTTTTTCGTGTCGATCCTGGCGATCATCGTCTTCTACGCCGCACACTGGAGCACTTATTGCACGGGTCAGCTGAGGTGAGGTTTATTCGAAAAATCCCTGTCGCGGAGATGTTGTTGCTGAACTCGTGCTTTCAGATTCGCTCGCTTCGACGTCACCGAGGCTCAGATGTTGGTCATGGCTTTGCTCTTGTCGACTGCAGCCTTCGGGCCGGGTCTCTGGTCGATTGGTAACTTTTACTTGCTTTCCTAAAGTATTCCCATAATAGGTGTCCTTGGCTGCCAGTTGAAGCATGTGGCCGTATTCCTCACGCTGTGCGGGACCATCTACCAAAGCTCTTCCTATCTCTTCACAATCCTAACCGGGGGCATTGGACGAAATGGCAGTACTGTTGCGGGTTTGTGTATGTTCGCCACTCTTACGTTGTTTTCTAGGAACCTCGGTGCTTTTCCCGATTTGCCCACTCTTGGCCGTCATTGTCCCATTCTGCATGATGTACTCGAAGAGCTCGACGGATGCCTTCGAACAGCATCTAACGGCTTTCTCCTTGTTCTTTGGAGCTGTGGCTGCTAAGGTGGGTTAAGATACTTGTTGCGACCGTTCTCATCTCGTTCTTATAGGCTACGAATCGCCTCATCGTAGGGCACATGTCGCGCAGCGAGCTCCCGCTCTGGGATTGGACGTACATTGGGCCGACGCTGCTGATACTTAATCAGTACGTTTCGCTGACGGTTTTTATTGTTAGTGAAGGTTGAATTAAGGAAATTAGTTTACTTATCTTTCTTCATTCATTGCATCAATCAATTTTTAGGTACTACGACTACGTTGTCTGCGAGCAACGTCTGCTCTACTTCTGCGCCATCTACTCCTGGTGCTCCCTGGTGCTGTACTGTGTGATGGTGACGCGACAAATGTGCGCCTACCTCAACATCTCGTGCTTCAAGATCGACAAAGTCAAGCCCTAGGCGCGGAACAAAACCACCACGTTGCTAACGCTGCTGCCATGTAAAGTTATTCCGTGTTGCTCTCATGTCGTTTCTCTTCAAACAGGGCTGTGTACAGTGTTGTGTTCGTTGTCCCTGGGCCCCCAGCTGTGGGTTCTGTACATGTTTTGTACTGCCATATATAGCTTCACCGAATCTCATGCCTAATCTTCTCGTATGTGCATTATATATTTCGAACCCCTACACCTCCTCTACCCCTATATTGTTAAGAAGTTCCTGGGTCAATCTTTCATTACCCGTTTATATCGCCCAACCAATATATCTGTGGTAGCCGAACATTTCATTTGCTTTCCTACTTGCTGCCACCGTTAACGTTTCCCCCAAAATCATCCCGTTGACTAATGTTGCGAAATTTGCCTTACTGATTTCCACGTTCCAGCTTATTAATAAAAGTTGTGCTGATTTTCTTATAGTTTCCGATTGATTTGCCGGGTTCATTCGCCCAGTGCCGCGTACCTTCGATTTTCCAGAATATTTGGCCATTTAGGACCCGCGGGGCTCCTTACCGAATTTTTTCTGGTTGACTTAGTTGGCCTAGTAGTCGAATATAAAATGTTTTTACATTGTTTTAGTACTTGTTAACGAGATGTAAAGTAGAAAAACTTTCAAAAAAGTTAGAAAACCGTTTAAAAAAGTCGAAAAAATCAATTTTGCGAGCTAAAATTAGATTTTTAACTAAAGTTTTTATCCTCAGGTATGCTTAAAAATAATATACAAAAAAATCTAGGCTGGCCCCGAAAGAAAGTTGCTCCCCCGCGAATCCTACAGCAAAAATATTTATTTTTACTTTTTGTGGTTGCTTTGAACGACCCTATTGATTTTCAGCAGCGATGGGTGATCACTACGGCTTCTCATTGACAACGTTCTCGCCGTCCGGCAAGCTGATGCAGATCGAATACGCGCTGAACGCAGTGAAGAATGGACAACCGTCTGTCGGGCTCCGCGCCGCTGATGGCGTCGTCCTGGCCACCGAGAACGTCGGCTCACTGCTGTTCGAGGATCAGCCGAAGATCGAGAAGCTGAGTGACCACATTGGACTCGTCTACTCAGGAATGGCACCAGACTTCCGACTGCTCGTCAAGAAAGGACGAAAGATTGCCATGGAGTACGAGATGGCCTACGGCGAGGAAATCCCCACTGTGCAATTGGTGACAAAGCTGGCGGCAGTGATGCAAGAATACACGCAGTCGGGAGGCGTGCGCCCCTTCGGTACGTTTTATTCGTCACCATTTGAGTTTCTTGTATTTCTAGAGAAAATTTGGACAATAATTTTCCTTTTCAGGAGTCTCCTTGCTAGTGGCCGGATGGGATAAGGAGCCGGGAAACGGCCGCCCTCTCCTCTTCCAATGCGATCCCTCCGGCGCTTACTTTGCCTGGAAAGCAACGGCACTCGGCAAGAATGACGTAAACGCGAAGACGTTCCTCGAAAAACGGTTCAACGAGCAGCTCGAGTTAGAGGACGGTGTGCACACGGCCCTGCTCACCCTACGCGAAAGCTTTGACGTCGGCATGAACGAGGACAACGTCGAGGTGGCCATCTGCAACAAGACCGGCTTCCATCGCCTCACGAAGCAGAAGGTCAAAGATTATCTGGGAGCGTTGTGAAGACCCCGCATTTTTAAACCGATTTGTACCCGTATTACTGAACGATATTTCCCCGTGTTCCCTCTGCGTGATCTTTTACAAGTTTTTCTGTTTGCTTAATTTATGTGCGTGAATAAACATTGTAATTTATACGGATTTGGACTGAATCTTTCAAGCGTCCTGATCGTTGAGTATTGAGCATCACGAAATAGCAATATCTTTGGCGGCGCAGTGCTAGCGACATGGATTCCAAGGTGTTTAGATGCGCTTCCTCAGCCGCGCAACGCAGATTTTTTCCACCAGCCGCAAATATGCGGCTGATGCTTCGAAGAGAAAGTAAACTCTTTTATGTTTGCTAAAATTTTATAATTAGGTACGTGTTCTTGGACGTCACAATTGGAGAGAAGCCCGCCGGGAAGGTGAAGATTGAGGTAACATTTTCGCCATAACCACAACAGCTTTTTGTTAGTTGTTCAACGACATCGTGCCGAAGACTGCTGAAAATTTCAGGGCGCTTTGCACTGGGGAAAAAGGTAATTTCTAACTTTTGTTTGTTCATCGATTTTAGGAGTCGGAAAAATGGGCCGACCGCTGCATTTCAAGGGCTCAACATTCCACCGGATCATCCCAGAGTTCATGGTTCAAGTGAGTCTTAGCCTTTTTTAAGTTGTTGGTTTTCCATTTAGGGCGGCGACTTCACGAACGGAAATGGTACCGGGGGCGAATCGATCTATGGCCAGAAGTTCGGCGACGAAAACTTTGTGATGGAGCACACCGGCCCGGGCGTGCTGTCGATGGCCAACGCGGGACCCAACACGAACGGCTCTCAATTCTTCATCACATGCGCCGAAACGGCATGGTCTGTTTTCAATTCTTATTTTTAACTATTTTTATAGGCTAAATGGTCGACACGTCGTCTTTGGGCAGGTCACCGAGGGCCTGGACGTCGTCAAGCAGATCGAGGCTCAAGGGACAAGACAAGGGCACCCGAAGCAGCAGGTGAATACATCGAGACGCTCGGATATTTGGTTTCTAGGTGACGATCAGCGACTGCGGCGAGTGCAAGAAGCAATAATGGACGCTTCGGGCATTACCAATCTTTTACTATTTGCTCATATCGTTGTTGATTTTGACATGTTCTTCTATTTGTTTCTAGGCTAGCGTGTAGTTTGAATAAAACTAATGAATAAACATTTTCCATTTCACAGTTTGTTCCCGAAATGCTCATCAACTACATGCTACTCGGGCTTGTGCATGGTTGCCGACAAATCGGGCCGCCAGGTCGAGAGCGGAAAGCGGTCCGGTCTGCGCGGCGGGCGGAAGCAGGGTACGTTTTGATGTTGATTTGTCGACGGCGGCTAATTTTTACAGATGCCACTCAGCAGTCGGAGTCGAATCGGGGAAGCTCGGTAAGGAGCCGGGGCACTCGAATCTAATTTCATTTTTAGCCTGCTGATGAGGTACCGCTTCCTAAACCATGGTGGCAGATTCGGAGTTTGTTCAGCAACGCACCCAGGAGGAGCTCGCGGACAACACCCAAAACGGGACTGCTTTTGGCGAATCAGAACTGGCCGCAACTCAGAAAGGTAGAAAAAGCTTTACTGAAACGGGCACAGATGAAAGGTAAGAACAAATTATCTACAGAGCAACCGCCGATCGGCGGCCGGCCACGCGGGGTAATCAAGCTCGCCTACGAGGCGTTCGGTCTGAAGAAGCCGGATGAGCGGAAACGGAGACCGGTTCGGAAAGCGGGCAACTTTTCGACCTAATCCTAATTCTAGAAAATGGCCAAGGGCGATGAAACCAAGCCCCGCGTCAAGCACTCGAACTACTCGCTCGCGTCGGCCGTCGGCCGCTCTTCGGTCGACGAACAGCGGGACGCGGCGGCCAAGCGCGAAGCCAAGGACGCGCCGACTACGCCGAACACGTCGGCGCGCAAAAATAAGGTGGGCCGCTATCGCAGAGCAACGACACAGACTATGGATTTTTTAGAATACGCCAACTACCCCGACACCGACAAGTCCACCCCGGGAATCACCGGCGCCTAGTGGACCCCCGGCAAATGCCACGACTGTCAATACCCACACCAAGACCATCCCAACCTCTGTGGTGAAACCATTGACCGGCAGCAAGAAATTAAGCTTTAGACGCCCTCTTCCACGACAAATACTACCAAAAAGGCCATCCAAAAGCCGAAAAGGAAGGGGTCCGTTTGATTGTCCCACAAAAAGTTCTGATCTTCCGCTTCCAGGGGTATCTGCGGCTGCTGCGCCTCGTGACGCCGGCCGTCCACATCAATTAATCTCAGCTAAACGCTTCAAAATTAATTTCAGAACATATTGTTTAAAAAGGGTTAGACGTTACGTGTTCAGTCGGGTTCGATAAAGGATTTATGCTACGCGGCAAACTGCCCACTATACGACTAGACTTTGTACAGCGAAAGATCCAAGAATTCCGTTTGCCTGTCAAAAAAGCACACCACCCCGGTAATGCACACAGTCCCTGACATCGGATTCATCATCATTCCTTTGTGCGCTCGACTTGGTGCAGGAATTGCTTGAGGCGAGACGAGGCTTTCAGCGTGCCCTCTTCCACCGTCGTGTACTGTCGATCGACGGGAATCTGAAAATAATATTTGGTCGCACTATGGAGGACAAACTTTTTTATTCAAATCGTTCTAATAAAAATGGAAAAATATAATGTATTTTTAAACCGTTTTCCGTGTACCTGAACGTCGAAACCAATTTGGATCAAAAACCCCAAAAATATCGAATCTTCGACCAAAATTTCAAGTAAAAAAGTTGCTCAAATTTCTTTTTATTGCTTTTCCACTTCAATGGTGTTAGCCTTTACTAAAAACACTATTACGACACTTAGTATTGCATTACTAAGCATTTCCGTCCAAAACACACCGCGTCCTGGAGTATTGGGGTTGTGTAGGGGGCGACGAACTTCCGATGGGCCAGCGCGCCAACCACAGCCAAATTCACGCCGTCGACGGCTCCCTAAAAGAAAATTCTCTTCCCATTCGCTAAAACCCGACCTGGAAACGCCGCCAGTACCACCCGATCATGCCGCAGACGAACGTCAGACGATCCTGCAGAGAGCGACGATTTTTAGGTGCATGAAAACAAATACCATCGTCAACCCCTCGGCATCCCGGCGTATCTCGTAACATCGGGCTCGCAACTCCGACGTGCTCATCGTCTGCGCGTGGACGTAGCTGACTATTGGGCCCAGGGCGAGCCCGGCGAGTAGAAAGCGGCCCTAGAGGTGGTATATAGTTGTTCAGGAAATCATACCTGTAGCCGGCGACATTTATTTCTGATGATTTTGTGGGAATTAGAAGTGGTCGTCTCGGGTGTTAACTGGCGCGTGAGATAGAATCGATAGACGGGGTGCACGAACATGCCGCCTAAAAATGAAAGTGTAACAACGTCTACAGGCTAAATAAAATATAAACATTACTAATCCGGATTCTTTTGCATTATCGGGGGGAGGGGCAATTTTTTCTTAGGACCTAATTTTTCAAATATAAACATCGAAAATGTTTTTAAATAGTTTTTCACCATTCCTCACGTGGAAAATTTACAAAATTTTTGCAAAAAGTGCCGAAAACATCGACCTACGACCAAAATTGCCGACTTTCAAAATATCTTTTTTATGCATATTATTTTGTTGCATAATAGAGCAAAAATTCTTACCTATTATCGAGGCGCCCTGAACTCCTTTCAACAGGCCCCAGATTGAATATTCCAAAAACGGTCTCGGGATCTCGGCTAACGTTTCGGCGGTGATCCAACTAAATCAGAAGGATCGTTTAAAACAAATGTGACGGCACCTCGGCGATATTTGGCTGAAATTCGCAAACCAAGATTCGAGCCCGATCATCTTGTGGTCACTGCGAGGTTTTGATAGGTTTTGATATTTCAAAAATCGCAAAGAAATAACTGCCATGGTCTCTTAACAATTCTCTTGCAAATAACTGCTCCCGTTTCCAATAGAAAACCATTTATTCGTCTTGACACCCTATCAAACACAACAACAACAAGATAAATCAACAAGCGTTGGAAATTGACAACAGAAAAACGATGATTAGAAAGTCGTAAAAATAATAACAAGGAGGTTGAGAGCGGGGTCTACTTGCTAGCGCCGTCCTTGAGCCCGGTGATGGCCTTGCGCACCTTGACCTGCTCCTGCTTGCTCATTCGGCGGCAGATGGCCTTCTTGTGCAGCTTGATGTTGCGCTCGCGTTTCGCCTGGAAGGCGTTCAGCTCCTTTTTGTGCTTGGCTCGAGCGACGTCATGTGAAGCCTTGTCCTTGGCTTGTTTTTCCCTTAAAATAGGTTTTTGATGCCAGAAAATAAACAAGCGTACTGATGAAGCTTTCGCAGCATGCCCATCAGCCGCTCTCGCTTCGCATCCTGCGGCTCGAGCAGGACGGCCGTGTGCTTGGCGATCAGCTTGTCATCTGCTCGCGGTTTGCCCGTCTGAAAAATGGGAGTAAACGATCAATAGCAGGCAAGCTAACCCTGCCCACATGCTTTGGCTTCAGGGCGTAGGGCAGTTCGGCCTCGAGCTTCTTCGGGATCTTGAGCGCAGGGGCACGGAAGCCGACGCGTTCCACTTCCTGAAAAGAGGTAAAAAATTTTCGTCATTCCTAACCCGATAATCGCTGTCCTTCTTCATCTCGGGCTTGAGGCCGAGCTCGTGGCGGATGCGGCCCACAGTGCGCATGCCTTCCCACTTGGCCTCGGCGGCCATGAGTCGATCGATGACGGCCGTGTAGAAGTGCGGAATCGGGACCGTGACCCAGCTGCGCAGGAAGACAATGTCTGAAATGAGAATGTTAATAGTTTGAGCAAAATCACGTACCGCTCATCAGAATCTTGTCCTCGAACGTGCAGCGGACGTTGCCAGAAGGCCGGGGGACGGCCTTCTTGATCTCGCCGCGAATACCTAGAAAATGTCGATATTTTCTGCCTTCACAATATCGTGAGGAAGCAATTTTATTACTAGCAGATTTTCTAGGAGCATAAAAAGCAATTCAGACCTACCGGAAACGGTGCGCACGTTGGCACCCTCGAACTTGGCGGCCTCGAGCTGGGACGTGAACATGTCCTGAAAAGCAAAAAGTAAAAAACCGGATCGAAAAAAGCCTGCCTTGATGAACGCCGTCTTCTTGTGGATCTCGTGGGGGGTGCCGACGAGTTTCAGCTTCTTCACCACCTGGTGGTTCTTGTCGAGGTTGAGCACGACGCCGGTCGCACAGATGCGGAACCCTTTCTGAAACGGCTGATGAAACAGATGCGGAAATAAAAACGGACCATCTTCTCGGAGACGCTCTGCACGGCGATGAAGCCAGTGTTTTGCTGTGTGATCGGGCCCCAGAATGTCGCGTGGCAATGCATGTGTTCCGGGGAGTATTTGAGGAAACGCTGGCGCATGTTGTGGTCCTACATTGTGTAATGACAATTCCGAGACAATCCCTACCTGCATGCTGTAGACGGCAATCGTCTGGAAGCGGCGCCAGCCGCAACTGATAATCAGCGGATCGCGAGACTTCAGAAGCCGCTCGTACCAGCGGTGACGCTTCAGGCGAACCTGAGAAGACGGGTGAAGCTTCCTTAAACAACCCTACCTGCACAACACCAATATTTTGCTCGCCGGCCAGCAGCCCGCCAATGATATACGGGGACGTGGGGTCAAAGTTGTCGACCATCTCGCACGGGACGCCCTCGAAGGCGATGCGCACGTATTGGCCCGCGCGGAAACCCTCCAATTTTTCGCGCGCGTCGTCGTCAAGACCCTAGAATTGGGCTGACTTTCAAGGTCTCTTAAAGCCCAACCTCGAAGACGTGCTTGTTGAGCGTGGCCTGGGCGTCGAGTTCGGCCTTGAGGTTGTTGTAGTACTCGTTGTTCTCGTCGTTCTCCGGCTCCATCAGGTTGCGCAATTTCACCTGAAAAAGGGCAATTTGTCGCACAAAAAAATATAGGATACCCACCTTGTGTCCCTTCCTCTTGCCGGGACGGGTAGTTTCCCCTTCTTCTTCTTCTTCCCCGTCAGCTTCTCCATTTTCTAAATTTTACTAGTTTTTCTAAGTTTTGGCTGAGGCACCTTCATCGCCATCCTCTCCGGCTTCATCCCCATCGTCAGCATCTTCCTCGTCCTCTTCCGGCTCCTCCTTCACTGAATTTCCATCAGAATCGAGGTCGAACGCGTCCCAGACGTCGTCCTCCTCGTCGCCCATTTCGGCTGAAACCAAAGTTTTATAATTTTTTTCTGGCAAACTTACCCTTCAATTTATGCTCCTCCTGCGCGTCCTCATCCCATTTTCCGGTAACGAAACAGTCACGGATGGAATCCCTGCAAAAAAAAAGTAAATTTAGCTTTCTTGAAATTTTCACCTTTGCTCCTCATCACCCCAGTCTCTCGTCGCCTTTGAAGTCGACGGGAAGGTGTTGTAGCAGAAGCCGTCGTCCTGAAAAAAGTAAAACACATCAACAAATCTTTTTACCTGTTCCTCGAAGCTCTTCTTCAGCGCGTCGCGGCGTTTGATCATAAACAGCCCGGCAGCAAGCTCGGGCTTATCTTCCTCTTTTTCGTCGGCCATTTCAAGCTCTAAAAATTTTGATGAAAACTGATAATGGCTGGCTCACCATTGCCGTAGACCAGGTTATTCCAATTGACGAATTTCGACTTGGAGGCGATGTAGAGCTGATTGGCGCGCTCGCCGACCTCCTTCCAGTCCTCCTTCTCAGCTGCGTTCTTCAGCATTTGCGGTCGTCTGACTTTGAACAGCTCGCCGTCGTCTTCGTCATCATCGTCGTCTGCGTCGCTGTCATCGTCCTCCATTTCCTGAATTAAAATGAATTTAAAATTTATATCTTTCAGAAACAGAAACGCAAATGAATACCTCATCACTGCCAAAATCCGCATCGGACAGCTTATCGAACTCCCCCTCATCGTCATCACCAGCAAGGTCGTCCTCTTCGTCACCAGAATCCTGCTGCACCGCATTCTAAAACAAAAATTGAAGAACTTGACTCGGCCAAAATACCCTAGAGTCGCCGAGAAGCCTCAGCTCGGCCCCCTCCATCTTGTCGTCGATGCCGGACTTGATATTTTCCAGCGCTTGCACGAGTTCGTCGCGTTTGCGCTAAATTGTCAAATTAAAGTGAAATCCGCAATTGCAACATACAGTTTTCGAAAAGAGCTGCGATCCTTTCGTGTCGACGTAGACAGCGTCTTTGTCGTAGACGATACCGCCGAGGCCCGAGAACGGGGCGTACATCAGCCGTTCCTAAAAAGGTATCTTAGCCTTAAAATTTTGTTTCTTTCGCATTGTCGGTGGGGGAACAACTTTTTAGGGCCTTTTTGCAAATATCCTTTTGCATTCCTTTTTCGCGCCCTCATTCCTTTTTCGCGCCCTCATTCCTTTTTCGCGCCCTCATTCCTTTTTCGCGCCCTCATTCCTTTTTCGCGCCCTCCCCCCTTTCCTTACTTTTTCTCCACCCTTTTGCCATGGCCGACACCGAGATGTCGGATGTCACCGCTGAAATTCGGGAACCGGTGGACCCCAAACTCTCCTCCGCCCTCAACTTTCTCAAATCGTTCATCGATAACTCTTCCCCCAACCCCGAAACAAAGGCCGAAGCATTAGCGTCGTTAGGAGTCTTGACCTCCTTTCTGTCGGATAATTTTGCTCTAGAGGCCAACAAAGTCGCTACCACCGTTATTGAGGCGAAAGAGAGGGCCCGGATTGCCGTTCTGGTTGGTGTACCTGAATCGGCGTCGGCCACCCCCTCGGCTCGTAACTCAGACGACCTGAGCTATGTCCGAGATCTCTCAGATACTATGGGTCTCACCGCCACAATCTACGCTAGTGAGCGTCTCGGTAAACCTGACCCGACCGGTGCCCGTCCCCGCCTCCTTAAAGCTTTTTTTACTTCCTCGAGTTCAGCTACGAGTTTCGTTCGTGTTTTCTCCTCTTTTGGCCGTCGAAGCGATCTTTACAGGAACGTCCGCGTTCGCCCGTCCATGACATTTGAGGAGAGGAAACAAGCCGCGGAGAAGCGCGATCAGGCCCACAAGCTCACCACTGACACCGGCAAGCTTCACGTGGTCTACGCCGGAACCGTCATGCTGAAGGAAGTCGTCGCCCAATTCAAGAAGGAGCAATGGAGCGCCGCGAATCGTGAGGTTATGTTTGAAAATCCTTCTTCCTCCTCTCCTTATCCCTCCTACGCCGCCGCCGCCTCCCTCAAACGCCACGCATCTGCTAGTATCGGTCAATCGCCTCCCCATAAGGCATCTTCCCGTCCTCTCCCTAATACAGCCTTGACTCTAAAACACTAGGTACGCGCGCCGTTGCATAAGCTTCCCCATGTTCCACTCTCCCACACCAACTTAAAATGTTTCTATCTCAATTGCCGCAGTCTTTGCAACAAATTACTTGACCTTCGCGTTTTTCTCACTACTGAAAAGCCAGACATTCTTGCGCTAACTGAGACTTGGCTTTCTGTTAAATTTGCTGACTTAGACATCCTTCCAATCTCCCCTACAAAATTGCCCGCAGAGATCGCCCGCGGGGCGGCGGCGTGGCCATCATTTACCGTGACTCCCTCCCCGTAGTTAAGGTCTCCCCCTCCAAATCCTCTGAGATTATCTCCGTTGACATCTTTTTAAATAACGCCACCCATAAGCTTACCCTTTTCTATAGGCCACCCAACTCTAAGAAAGCGCGGGACGACAAATTTTACAGCGATTTACTAGCCACTTTCGCTCATAATGGACCGTCCGTCGCCGTTGGAGACATTAATGTCGCTTTGCCCAACTCCCATCCGCCCAATTGCCCAGCACATTCCCTTCTCCCGCCGCTTCCCTGAGGCAACTCGTCGACAAGCCCACCAATAAAGTGGTACCCGCACTATCGATTGGCTTCTGGCACCAGATGGTCCCTTTGCACCCTGGTTTCAGTTGTCCCCGCTTTTCTTCCATCCGACCACCCGCGCTTCATCTCTCTCCACGCGTCGGACATTCCTCAACCGCCCACAGCTAAACCTAGACTTGACTACGCTAAGGCCGACTATGCTTCGCTCAGTAATTTCTTTGATACCTTCAATTGGGATTCTGAACTCTCCGACCACCCTTCCATTGACGCAATGTACTCTCATTTCCTTAGAATTTTACGCAGCGGCATTGACGCTTTCACCCCTCCAGCTCATCCGCCGACCCGTAGCGAAGTACCACTACCTGCGCACATTCGCAAGCTCCTGGATTTCAAGAACAAACTTTTTCCCAGAATTGAGGCGTCACCCCGCCTTCGAAAATCTTATCTTTCTCTCTGCGATCGGATCTCCCATAAGATCCGCCGTTGGGAAGAATATAGGCAACGTAAACTTTTCAACTCTAAATTCGGTAAAAATCTCTTCTCCTTCTTAAAATCCTTTCGAAAAAGTTCCCCTCGTTTCTCCGCGCCTTTACGTACCCCGGGCTCTGTCCTTCCTCTACTTTTTGACAAAGATAAAAGTGAACTCCTAGCTAAAACATTCCTGGCAGCACACTGCGCTAATGATACCAATCTTAGGCCCACCCAGGGGATTCCTCCTCCGCTAATCTCCCGCACCCATGTGCAGACTGGCAACTTTCTCTTCCTCCCCGGTGAAATTATCCATGAGCTTAATAAGTCTAAAATTAGCTACTCCTTACCGTCTGATGGGGTACCCCCTATCTTATACAAAAAATGTGCGCGCGCCTTGTCACTTCCCCTTGCCCACATCTTTAACCTTTCTCTCCAGCTAGGACAGCTCCCACTTGCCTGGAAACAATCTTTGATCACGCCAATACTAAAACCGGCCAAGTGCCCCAGCGACCCCAAATCTTATCGCCCCATCGCTATACTCCCAACCCCTCTAAAGTTAATGGAAAGGCTCATCAAAAACCGGCTCTCCTTTTACCTCGAACGCTTTAACCTCTTGCCTGAGCAACAATTCGGATTTAGGAGCCGCGCCTCGGTCGTCGATCAGCTCTTAGTTAGTCACGAGGATTGGGGGGCTGCGCTCGAGGCCAAAAACGCTGTAGATATTGCTTTCTTTGACTTTTCTCGCGCCTTCGATACAGTCGACTGTTCCCTCCTCCTTACGCGTTGCCTAGAATGCGGTATTACTGGTCCACTTTTGAATTGGCTACGCGCTTATCTTCACTCGCGCTCCTTCAAAGTTCGCGTAAATGACACCTTCAGCGAATCGTGCCCGGTCCATAGCGGAGTTCCTCAAGGGTCGGTACTAGGCCCACTCCTCTTCTCCATTTTTATTTCTTCTCTTCCCTCTGCCCTTGCTGACTTCCCCCGTGTCTCAATTAAAATGTTCGCAGATGACGTCAAGTTATACATCTGTTACACTCGGGGAGAAGAAGATTTCGCCCATACTATGCTACAAAGTGCTATCTCTAGGTTTCACACTTGGGCTTCCACGAGCGGTTTATCCTTTTCCTGCGAGAAATCGCAAATACTTCACTTAGGTGTATGGAATCCTAAATTCACCTACTTCCTGGGCCCCTATCAGCTTTCTTCCGCGTCGCATACCCGCGATCTCGGTATTGTCGTGACCAATCGTCTCACCAACGATCATACCCTCGAGCAACGTTATCTGAAAGCTTCACGCGCCATGTATGCTCTACTGAGAAACCTCAAAATTCGCAACCCGGCGCTTTTGGTTAAATCCTTCAAAGCTTATGTCCTCCCAATAGCCGAATTCGCCTCCCCGATCTGGTCGCCTCGAACCACTTTCTGGCGCGATAAGTTCGAAACCATACAAAAAATTTTCACTCGCCTTGTGTTCCAACGCTGCCACCTCCCACCCCAGCCCTATCCCGTAAGATGTACTTTCCTAAAGCTAAAGTCTATGCATCATAGACGCGTAATTTCCGACCTTATGTACGGCTTTAAGATCCTACACGGACGTGTCATGTTCCCCGGGCCGCCATCTTCACTTTCAAACTAGGCTTTGGCCGAAATAAGAGACTTTTATTCCACGTTCCTAAGGCCCGGACAGAATCGCGTAAATCTGCCTTCTCCTCCCGAATCACACGCTGGTTCAACCTACTTCCACCCGGCATAATAGCTAAGTGCAATCCGAAGTCTTTCCGCAAGCGCATTTCTAAGCCGACCTCTTTACTATGCTAAAACTTAATGCCTAAATTCAAGCCAACCTCTAGCCCGCGCCCTTTCCCCTCCCCGCCCCACTCTTATAATCTACAGCCGCTTCGTCGGCTTTCCTTTAGATCTTCTACCCCGCCTCAAGTTTTGACGTCAAATCCTTCCGCCACGAACCGCCAACATTGTGAAGCTCCTACCGGCACCCCGAAGACTTTCCCAATCATCCACCCATTGTTTCCCCCTTCCACCACCCTCTCCCCACCACCCCCCACCTACATAAGTTTGGTCGTCCAGTTCAGGTCCCTTTTATCCCAACAGTTCCTTATCACACGCAGACGTTGGAGGCCTCAACGGGGTAGTACAACTCAGCTGTTGGGATTGTCCTCTAAAGGGTCCTTTTCCGGTCTCCCATCTTATCAACCCATACTCTCCTCCCCTTCATCCAGCCCCATGTCTTTTTGTCTTTTTATCTCCTCCTCTACACCCCTTCCCCATACCCATCCACCACTCCCGTCTTCATTTTAAAATTCTACAATATGTGCACCGTCTCCATTCTGTGATTCTTTTTACTGTTTTTTTACGTTGCTTGCCAACGGCGCTCCACGCGCATGATAAATAAATAAATATTGCAAATGTTTCCAAACGATTTTTTTACTAATGTTAAACTTGAAAACTTCACAAAATTATTAGAAAATTCTCAAAAACATCGATTTTTCGACCAAAATCGCCGATTTTTCAACAAAAATGTTGACTTATTTAAAGTTTTTAGCCAGTTTTTCTTGTTGAAACATAGTTATATAATACTAAAAACACTATTAAAATACTTCCTATTAAGTTACAAGACATTTCTAGACTTACACAAAAGATCCCCCCCGCCTCGATAATGCGAAAGAAGCAAAATTTTCTCGTGATCTCTACCTTCTCGTTCAGCCCGCGCTTCTTCAGGTTATCCGGAAACGGGCACGGGTCTGACATTGAGGTGATGGAGGTGATGCGCATGTCGCCCATCCCGGGGATGTGCACCTAGAAAGTCACCGTTTTCAAGCAGTAATTCGAAACACAAACCGCCGAGAGATCTTTCAATTGGGCGCCGCGAACGTAGCCGTAAAGACAAATGTTCCGGTCCGCTTTCGGTGCTTGGCGGAGCGTCTAAAACATACATAGATTATTTTTGGTTCTTTTGCAATATCGGGGGGGGGCGCAATTGTTTATAAGGACCCAATTTTTCAAATATAAATCAAGGGAGCATTTCTAAACTTTTTTAGAAATACCAACGTCAAAATTTCACAAATGTTGATTAAGGAATACAAAACAAACGATTTTGGAGCCAAATTTCGAATAAAAATGTTTTTCCAAGGTTTTGTGTTTGTTTTTCCACTTAAAATTGACGGACATTTTGCTAAAAACATTATTACAGTATTTTTCGAGCCAAATGGCCGATTTTCGATAAAGATTTGATCCAAAAAAAATTCAAAGTGAGTTTTGTATGTCTTCTATTAAAATACAGCTCAGTTTTGCCAAAAATGCTATTAAAATACCAACATACGTTACGAGGGATTTCTAAAACCCCGATATTGCAAAAAAACCCTGATTCTTCGACTATAAAACTCACCTCTGGGTCCGTGATGTCCTCAAAACGATCGCAGAGCACGTAGGGATGAGCATCTCGCCAGGGCATTGGCCGGAATTTCATGACGGTGATAAATCTAGAAATTACATGAAATCTAAGCGTACTTGTCAATTATCACCTGGCCAAATTTCTGAGCTCGGTCGGCAGGTATTTCTCGTGGTGCAACTTGGACAAATAGAAGAGCTTGCAGCCCTAGAAAATTGAGATCATCGCTGGCATCCAAAATTCACCTGATACACCTCGGTCCAGAAGCGGTGCTTCAGATGCTTTTTCACCTTCTTCTGCTTGGACAATTTGGGGATGGCGTCGAGGTGGTTGAGCACGCCAAGCACGCGCGGCATCCCGTGAACCTGACAAGTCATTTATTAATGCATAATAATAAAATTCCTCCATACCTGGCAGATATTGAGAAATTCGAAGTGTTCCATCTCAAACCCGTACGAAGCGTCGACCATTAGAAGCACCTGAAATCAAAATTATTGGGTCCTGGGCTGGTAGCAGGGTGGTAATTTGCTAAGCAATCCTTTCCGGTCTATATAACAAAATATAAACCCTTTTATAGCATTTTACACAGTTTTTAGATAAGTGAAGCTCATAAAAATTTTAAAAAATTTTCGAAATTTTTGAGTGTTGGTCAAAAATGTATGAAAAATGCGCCAAAAGGTCGCAATTCGTTGAATTGTCAAACTTATTAAATTCTTCAACTTTCTTGCATTCAAAAACTACCAAAAACATTATAAAAATACACTATCTAATATGAATAGGTAAGCATAAACCCAAAAAGAAAACGTAGTTTCCCCCCGCTTAAAAGCCCAGTACCATTTATTAGTGGAACCAAAACCAAACACTTACCAAATCGGCTACCTTTGCCACATCGATCATGTGGTTAATGTCATTTTTCACCTCGATGAAAGTGACGCGCCGCAATTTGCTGGTGACAATCGTGACCGGGCCTAAATTTGGGTATTTCAACCATTTCCGGAAGTCCTAGCTACCCTTGATTTGACTGATCGATCCGCGAATGTAGTTCTTGACGAGGCCGCGGATCAACAGACTTTTGCCGACCTGGAAAGGGTATTTTAAATATTATTTTGCCCTTTCCAACCCTGGAAGGCCCGACAACGGCCACGACGATTGGCGGAGGGATCAGCGGCGTTCGGTTGACGTACGGGATGTGCTTTTTGCGCTCGCTTTGATCGGCCGCCCTGAAAAAAAGTCATTTTCAAAAACAAGCCCTCTTACCTGCGAACGGCCTGATTCGCCCGCTTCGCCGACTTGAATGTGTAGCCCTTGCGCGCGCGATTGATCTAAAAGAAAGGGTTTGAGGTTGGGGTGGGTTTTTTTCAAATTGGGTTTTTAATATTTTTTTTTTTAAAAAATTTATTATTTTTTTTTTTGAAAATTGGGATAAAAAACAAAACCAAAACGGGTTTAAAAATGAATACAAAACAAAAAGGCAAAAAAAATTATGTAAATTTTTAAAATAAAAAGTTTAAAAAAAAATCCTGTATTCTGGTTTTTTTTTTTCTCTTTTTTTTTTTTTCTTTTTTTTTTTCATTTTTTTTTGGTTTTTATTGGATTTTTTTTGTTTTTTTTTTTGGGGGTTTTTTGGGGGTTGTTTTTTTTTTTTGTTTTTTTTTTCTTGCGGGTCTCGGGGGTTGTGGGGGGGGGGGGGTGGGATAGGGGGGGAAATATGGGAAAAAAATTGTAAAAAAACAAAAATTAAAAAAAAAAAATAAATTTATTTTATAATTTTTTTTTATGGATATTTTGGGGAAAGGTGGATCCGGAAAAATTAAATTTGATGTTTTTATGGGTTTGTTTTTGGTTTTTTAAAAAAAATTTAACAACAATTAAATAGGGGCCGGTTTGTTTTTAAAGGGGGACTTTTATAAAATAAAAAAGGATAAAATTTTAAAGTAGAATTTAAAAAAAATGGACATATAATTCCAAAGGGGGGAAAAAAACCGGGTTTAGTAAGGAAAGGCCAGTTAGAAGCCAGTGAATCAGCTACATCTTGCGGCTCCTTCGTCAGCGTGCCGAGCTTCTTCTTCCGGTCATGGTCCTTCGTCACTTTGCCACCTTTGACGTGACCTAGCAAAGGAAAAGTGTAACTAACGGAAAACTATCATACTTCTGTGCTCCTTGCGCTTGTTCGTTGCCCCATCGGGGTCGGGTTTTCCCATGGATGATGCCTAGAAAAAAGAAATTCGATTTTAATCGAAGGCACAAAAAATCGAAAAGCGAGGAAGCATAAAAAATGAGTCAAAAAAACAGAAGTTGGTTTATTTATTTTATTTAGGTCCCAAAGAATCGTACAGGCTATGAAAAGTGTGCGTTGCTGGGAGTGTCACGTAGGCGCAGATCAAAAACATTTCAAAATTTGCAAAGTGGTATTAAAAATGAAACAAGGTAAAAAGACAGTAACTTTTAACGAAAATTTTGTTTTTGAATACAATAGCGTGCTCTTTTTTTTCCTGGTTTGGGCTGCGTGAAGGTGCTTGAATACAAACCTTGGAGAGTTCTACAATTTTTACAAGGCTACACAAAAACGTCAGATGATTGCAGACAAATCTTGGCGCGTTTTACAATAGTTTCTACAAGGCTACACAGAAACGTTTATTAAAAGACAAGCGAACTCATTAAAATGATATTTCGGATGGGACGATCGTAATCGACATTGTCAGATGATCGACAACGTTGCGCCCCGCATGCCGTCCCAAGCCCAGCCAGGGTCGGCGAAGATGCCGCCGGGTCATCATCACGACGTCTCAACAAATGCATGTATACTTGAAGCTGTTACTGACCGTCGTTCGGTGGTGGGCATCGGAAGTACATAGTGTCGATTTCAGGTCCATAATCCTGCAAAAAGAGTTTAAAAAGCCGTTGTCGTGCAAAACGAATTTTTATTGAGTTTTTTTTGGTGTGCCGAATCTCGTACTTTCTTCTGGGTACGTGTACTTTCGACCTTGACACAGTTGGGCGGAACTGATTGTAATTGAATCTTCAAAAATGGACCTGCGCAGCATATTGCTGAAACAGCGTCCGTATCTCCAGAGCAGCCTCAGAATCCTGGTCCACGATCGTCGTCGCGCCCAACTTTGCCGCCAGGTCCTGGAAAGTCCTTTTCTTTCCTCTCACTCTCGAGAGTCTCTGTCTCTCTCTGTCTCTCTCCCACACACACCCACACACACTATTAGAACGTACAGGATGTCTGAGGTGGATCCTGCAGGCTGTATGAGTTGCTATATGCCGTACACAATCTCCCATTGGCCAATCCGCTCCTCCGGTCCAGAATCTCCTGGATTTAAGTGATTTCTGCGCGTTATTGACTCACACGGATAATGACAGTTAGTATGTGTGTGCATCTAGCGTACCTGGATGACGTCTGGTATCTCCCAGGCATCTTGAATATTCCAGGCGAGCGCCCGATTGTTCCACAGCTCGCAATGCTGCTCTCGCCACTCCCGAATTAGCTGAAGCTCCTGGAAGCAGGTCAACCCAAATACGCAAACTTCCGACGTCAGACAAAAAAATAAGGGCCGTCGGCCCTAATGATTTGTGAATCGAATATTTAGAGTGCGAGAGAGAGAGAGGGAGAGAGAGAGAGAATGGCGCGGAAACCACGGTGCATGTGCCATTTTAAAAACGAGCTGAAAAACAACCTTGGACCACGGCTGGTGCAACCAGAAGCCGAGCAACCATGTCTGCAAATGACTTGTTAAAGGGGCTCGGAAGTTAAAATTCGCGCCTCCGAGGATTGTACCTGCGGGTCAAAAAGCGAAAGGGTCGCTGCGAGAAGTGCCAGAAAAGTGATTTGATTGCGAAAAAAACGTAAAATTTTTGAGTAAAACCGAAAAGTCCTCGGGGCGTGAAGGACTTTTTCAATGGGCGGCGATCGTGATATTTTGTAAGGCACCCAATCTCTCGATCTCGGTGATTCTCTGATCAATTTTCATAATTTAAAAGTCTAGATTGATCAAAATTCGTTGAGGATTCCAAAAACCGCATCAGAATTTTGAAATTCAATCGTTTTCGCGTCCAAACAGGGCAAAAGACCATGCGGCGCGGTGGCGTTGCGGTCGCATCTGGCTATTTGCCAGGAATCACAGCAGGGGGCCGTGGACCAATTTTCGGAGCCCCTTTAATCATACGCAGGAAAAAATAACCGGAGGACTCAACGTTTTTTATAATAAAAATAGTTTTAAATATGTTTTCGATATCTAAAAAGCTCTTAATATATTTTTCGGCCCTTTATCGAATAGAGTTGAAAAAACTCCGAAAAATAGCGAAAATATTGAACATTTTGGAGCCCCAAAATTCCGAAAATTTCGCAAATTGGCATCCCCCTCGTGATCCTATTTGTACCCAACTCTCTAATTTTTGGAATAGTGTGGCTCAGGACGGAATAATACGCACGTAGGCGGCTTTGAGGACATCGGGACGACATCCGATGAAGCGGGAAACTATTGGGAATGTGTCCATGGTGACAGGGCCGAGGCAACACGCGTGCACGTATCGAATCGAACCCAACGCTTTCGCCATCTAAAGGAATTTCGGTTCTGGACTGTGAGCGGGGGGGGGTAGGGAACCAAATTTTGTCATAGGGCCGTAGAGAAATACAATGAAAAGTTGGGTTCCCCTCCTGCGAAAAATCCCTCGTTACCCCCAGAGAGGAATTTCTGGCACCGAAAAAAAGACGAAGAATTCCGCTCAATAAACGGCAAAACTAACCTGAATGCGACGCTTTTTTATCCACTTTATGCGGACCAAAGGACCGTCGGTCTAAAATCAGTTGTTGATAGGAACCAAGAGACAGCGGAGGGCTTACTATATCTGCCCTTCGCTCGACCCGGAAATGGAAAGGCGACCAGTCAGGGGCCTGAAAACGCAACGATGTGATAGAAGCCAAGTAAAGTTTTAATCAGAAAACCCCGACCGAGCAGGCTAGCAAAGATCCTTTGCGGAATCGGCCTGTAGTGAGCCCGATAATGCAGGCTAGCAAATAAACTTTTTTCGAAGGATCAGAAAACCTTTGAGGGATGGCTAGCAAAGATTCTTAGCGGAATAAGACAGATGCCACCTTCAATAAGATGCAATAAAACGTTTCCTACCACTAAATAGTTGCTTGCAATATCGAGTTCGAGTATTCGCACCGCCCGGATTCGTGTCAGCATCCGGGTCAATGGTTCAAAATATCGATCGCTCTTCATCCGGTAGCGTCTGAAATCGGTTTCAGTAATTGCAAGCAAATGCGATACGCCTGGCAATACTACTCTAATGTAATGAAAAGGGACCGAATACGCTTTTTTAATATTTCGAGCCTTGCTTGCTCATGTTCCGGAAGACCACCAATGTACGTTCCCGACGCATCATACTCGGACGGATAGTCGTCATCTATGCACACCCTGAAAATTCATATTATCTGCGTCGTTTGAAATACACATTCCCTCGACGATTTTCAATCCCTTAAAAATAAGTTGCCTTTTGCCATAGAGATGGTAGAGCCTTTTATTCGGGTATGCAGCGCAGAAACCCGCTCCGCCACGACTCATCACCGCCATGCTGACGTTAGGAAATTCCATCTAAAATCCCTCGCTCGTTTAATTGTCGTTAAAAGTCGTGGATCACCAGATTTTTCGACCGACCTGCTCGGATTTTCCTGGCAAAAACAATCCGCTGATGTTGAGGGCGTCGATGCGACCCGGCAGCAGTCCCCTCATATTAATGTGCTGTCTTAAAGGGATTGTCATGAGCGGTGAATGTGAAACTGAACTCGACTAATTTCGTAGGGGAGAGGGCGGCAAGGGCCCTCTGGGCCCCCCTCCTACGGGCCTTGTGGAGACTGTTTTACACAGGGCTTTTTTCTTACAAATTACAGAACTTTTTTCATTTCATTTCGCTATTGTCGCTATTCTTTACAGCCATTAGCGCAACGAACCGCCGTGATGCCATACTTTACACTATTTTGAAACTGAAAAACGCCCGTTTTAGCCGTTATTTTGACTACAATCCGGTAAAGTATACCGAAATGATTTGGTGGTCCGGTGGAGCGTGATTAATTCATCTGGATTTAGGTGATCGAGCACCAGCTCAATGCCGGCGACGGGTAGACGGTTCATTTTCGACAGAAACCACCGCTAAAAATTAGAACTAGAATCAATAAAACAATATAAAATATCTCAAAGTCGTTCCGAACAGCGCGGTGCATAAAAGCGTGATCCTTTCGCTGACCTCCTAGCGAAGATATAGATACGAATAATCGAAGCGGTGATGGCCGTAGGGCACTATTTGAGATGTCCCTGTCACTGAGCTAAATCTTTGTGAAGCCAGATTCGCCGCCAAGCGCTCGTATTCCTCATCTTGATCGATCGATCTCCTCTCGTAGTCCTCAGCGATCACCTCTAAAGTCATAAAAAGCGCCAATGTATCTCGTGCCATATTTATTCTCTTTGGTCTCTCAGCAATCACAAAGAAAAACGTAGAATTCCGCATCAATCCAAGTACGGACGAGGTGACCAGGCCTTCGCGTGTAGGATGGGCTTGTGGGGGAGTCGGGGATCTCGTCTAAAATGAGGTAAATTCAATAAGCACAAAAAATACTGCGGCTCATCCTGTCGCAGCATATATTCACGGACACGCCATTTCAAGTCGAGCCGCTTCTTTTCATGGACGGGCGGATTCCGTCGCCACTCCTCGCTCACCAGTTTCCATCTAAAAAGCGCATAAAATAGGAAAAACGACGACCAACTTTTGCACGGGGTCAAAGCGATAGCCCAATCGACCGGGCTCCGGATTCAGCACTGGGCGCAGTCCCAGTTCGGCTGCTGTCCTGGGCAGCTCTTCAGCTGGACGGGGATCTTCTAGAAAAACAGGCAATTTTTGATGACAGCTCAACCTTACCAATTTGAGGGGCTGATGACGTCGAGCAAAATCGATGTACCCGAGCCCGAGGCGCCACGTTCGCACGCCGATCGTAGGAATTTGATCGGGTTAAGCCGGGAGGTCGAGGAGGTAGATTCTCCTTGTCTTTTGGAGCTCGTGGACCAGCTCGCCGTGCTGCCCTTCGCTCTTCCCACTGAACGGAAGCATTACGCAAGTTTCAAAAATTTCAGAAATCAAAAATCGTAGTGTTATCGGAGGAACCAAATTTTTCCTAAACGTCCAGAAATGCCTAGTACATTAATACAAGATCTTAATAGTGTTTTGTAAAATAGAAATTTTTTTATTTTAAAATAAATTTTTCTAGTTTTTTTGTTTGATAAAATTTTGGTAGAAATCTATATTTTTTTTTCTATTTTATCATCAAGATGTGTAGTTTTTACGTTTAGCAATAGGAATAAAGCGTTTAAAAACACTTCCCCAATCTATATCGGTAAAAAGTTTCTCCCCCAATAATGCAAAAGAACCCAAAAACCCTACAGCCTTTTCATCGATGTCCATTTGCGCTATGTCGGCGTAGACACGTCCCATCAAGTCGTAGGCCTGGCTGAGCAGCGGGTCCAGGTATGGATCGGCGGTAATCTAATTTTCAATAATATACAGAAAAATTAATTAGTCAAACCTGGAAGCCGTCGGCAAATTCGAAGGGCCTTGGGAAGGGCAAAAACTGGTCAGTGTAGAGAGCATCTAAAAAAAATCACAATTTCGCACTCGAAGGCTGGTTCTTTCGTGGTATCGGGGGGATAGTAGTTTTTATTTACCGAATCATAGTCTAATAGTGTTTTTATTAAAAACTAACTATATTTCAACTAGAAGACTATGAAAAACCTTGAAAAAGTAAAAAAATTGGTCGAAAAACAGATTTTTGATGTTTTTTAGTAAAATTATTGGTAGTTTTGACGTTTAGGAATAGCAAAAAAAACTAGTTAAACCCTTATACTATCTATATTTGAAAAAATAGATGCTATGAAAAAAGTCCCCCCCCCACCCGATAATGGGAAAGAACCGAAAGGCTCGTCGTACCTGGCCTTTCGCGGTGTTTCGGACGGAGCGGTGACTCGAACTTGTGCAAAGGGCCCGGCTCGACTTCGACGGAATGCCCGAACGATGACCGGTCCCCCGGCTCCTCTTCTAGCTCGATTATAGCTGCAAAAAAAAACACAATGTAAAACTTTACAAAAATAACCCCCACCCTTTGTCAGCGCCTCTAAGTCTCCAATATCGTCCAGGCCGACCCCAAGCTCATCGAGCACTTCCAGAATATCGTCGGTCGTTATTTCGTCATCGGCTTCCATTCGTATTTCTCAGATATCAATAGTGGAAGTCCTTCTAAACGCCTTTTTACTATCGATAAAGATAACATTTTACTCATTTTTATGAAAAAAATATCAAAATAACGGTTTTTGCCCAAAAATTCGACACTTTAAAAAGTTTTTACATGGTACTATCATGCACCTAGGTGAAACATAGCTCTAGGATATTAAAAAACTCTATTAAAACGTTTCCTATTAAGTTAATCGAAATTTAAGACTTATGCAAAAAAGCCCCCCCCCCCCGAGAATGTGAAAGAATGTCAAATCGTCGATAAAAGTTTTTTAGCTATAAAAAGGTCAATAAACAACATTTTTGAAAAAAATTATACAATTGTTGAACGAATTACGTAATGTTTATGCGCCGGGCACGTATTCGTACTATTGCCGTTGCCGCCGAGCCGTGCGTGCAGATTGTGCCATGGAATGGCGGGAGATTTCGACATTTCGGATTCTCTCCCCAACTGTTACTCTTTCTCTCTTTTTTTTGCGCAAACATTCCTTGCTGCAAAACATTCGAAACTGCCGGATGCTTACCGGCAATCACGAGCTTGTTGATTCGTCATCAAGAACTATCTAGGCGTGTGCGAACTTGGCTCATTTGCTCCTATTCCTTGGTTTTCATATAGTAGGCATCTAATAAAGAACTGAACAAGCGCGTGAGGATATTGCTCATTTGCTACGATTGCTCGCATTCCATCCATAGGAACCGAACGAAACGTCTAGACGTGTGCTGACTGGCCCAGTTGCTCTTCTTTCTTGGATTTCCTATATTACACAGCCAAAAAAGAACCTATAGAACTTTCCTAGACTTACCAAGAACTATACAGACGCTGAGGATCTTACACATTTGCTCCTATTTCTTGGGTCCTGTATTTACAAGCGCGAAGTTTCATCATAATTTATATACCCTATATCAGGCATCCAAAACGAACCACCTAGACTTGTACGGGCGTGGCTCATTTGCTCCGGTTCCTTGAGGTTCTTTTTATATTACACATCCAATAAAAAGTATAAAAATGTGTGAGGATCTTGCTCTGTCTTGCCTAGCTCTTTTGCTTCTTTTTCTCGGGTTTCATATATTAGACAAATTTGTCGCAACTTTACTGCATACCGCTCTCCGTTTGGCGTTTTTAATAGATCGGTTCGTCAATTTATATTTTTTTCAGAACCAAACTATGTCTACCTCAGTCAAGCATCGCGAATTCATCAGCGAGCCGATGGGCGAAAAAGACGTCGATGCCATCGCCGGGATTGGACCGACCTATGGCGAGAAATTGAAGAGCAGCGGATTCGACAAGGCCTACGTGCTCTTCGGACAATTTCTACTCCTGAAGAAGGACGAGGAGCTGTTCGTAGATTGGCTGAAGGAGACGGCGGGAGTTTCAAAGCAACACGGCACGAACTGCTTTAACTGTCTCAACGAGTGGGCGTCGCAATTTATCTAAGGTGAGCTGGTTTCTGCTTTTTAGAGTGATGCCGGTTCTCAGTTTTACGCCGATAAAAAATTCTTTTTTCAGAGCTGGTTCCTCCGATGCCCCTCCCCCTCGAACCGCCACATAGAAGAAATTCACCCTGCCTCAACCCACTTCACCCACTCATCTCGGTCCGTTCCATAATCTCGTTGATTTTTACAACTTATGATTTTTCACATTGCACATTCATGTCATGATACTGTCAAATAAATGTATTGGTACCTGCTCAAGTGGTGCATTTATATTTGGCGAACAGTTCATAGGACCGCAAATATTTCTTTAGACCTTGTTTCTGGGTCACAAATACCAAGAGGGATCGCGTCGAAAGCGTCTAAAATGCTTTTTTTGCAGTTCAATATGAGCACAAGCGAAAACCGGGAACGAGCGCAGCGTCTGAAGCTTCCGAATGCCGTAGTGGGACGTATTGTAAAAAATGCGCTTCCCGATAATGCAAAAATGTCATCAGGTCCGTGTTGCGCTAACCTTTTTCATCAAGAAATTTGTTTAGAGGCACGTTGTGTCGTTTCCCGAGCTGCCTCTGTTTTCGTCCTCAACATGGCCACTTTTGCTACTGATCATGCACAGGTATGGAATTTTTTTTGCGGTGCTCTGCTCGGCAAGCCTGATTACTTCTTCATGTCCACCTTTTCAGGGCAAAAAGCGGAAGATGGTCACCGGCGAAGATGTTATTGCGGCGTTGAAAGGCCTGGAATGCGAACGTCTGGAGAAAAAGGTACTCTTTTGTAGGCGAGTCTGATATTCGTTTTTTTGCAGCTAACTGCCATGGTCGAATCGTGGAAGTCGAAGAAGGCTGACAAGGCCGCCGAGCAAGCCAAGAAGAGAGCCGACAAGAAAGCTGCTGCTGTTAGCGAAGCCATTAACGGTAATTTTTTCATAGTGGCTGGAAGATGTTTTTAGATGTTTCCGCGATCCCGGAAACTGAAGCAGCGGACGAGGAGCCGACTGCTGCTTCACGGGACGAGCTTGATAAATCGAAGGTACGGTTTTCTTTGTCGTTGTTGACTTCAAATTTTTGTGTAGGATGATGCGCAAGATACCGAAGAACCCGATCGGCCATCTTCAGCCGCTGGACCAGAAGACGACCTACCCGAAACTGCTCCCCTTTCATAGTATGTATGAAGTTATCAATTTTCGAATTACGCGTATCTCATCTTTCCCAGCTGTATTTTCGATCTCTGTCTATTTCTGATTTTCACATTGCCGTATAAATTTATCGCTTCTGATGCAGACGATCTGGCTTGGTAACGGTCTATTCAAACTTTCTACAACCAAGAAACCGGTCGAAGGGACGCACAAATGCCAAGAAACCCGCGGTGTCTGTCATGAGTTTTGGAGTTTAGGGAGTGGTAGTAGCTTCATGTCGACGAGCCTTTGGACGATTTTGGGTGCTGAGTGTTCGTGGTCGATATTCTGATGACGGCCACGTGGCGATGCTGCTCTACTAGGCCGAGAAATACAAGTAGTTGACGTCGGATCTGAAGCAAGACGTATATTTTATTTTTTTTTAAAGTTTAAATTTGAGGAGAGAACGCTTTCTACATACCTTTCTAAACATAAACAGAGTGACCCAAGCGAAGCCGATGCTGTGCAGATCCGAGCCGAGCTTGAAGAAAAAGTAGAATGCGCCGACCGGCCAAACCCGAGCGCCGGCGACAAGCCACGGCACTTGCTCGATGGCGACGGCGATTGCGGTGACGAGGCCACCTGAATTTTCCCCCCGGTAATTCCATATGGCTCTATAACGAAATATAAACCTTTTTGCAAGATTTTACATCGTCCTTAGATACAAAAACTCTAGAAAAGGTTCTAAAAATGTTGGAAATTTCTGATTTTCGTTCTAAACTTTTTGAAACTTGTCCAAAAAGGGTCAAAATTCTTTGGCTTACCTGTACATGACAACATCGCGGCCACCGTGACGCGGTAGACGCGACGACTGCGCTCGTTCTAAAGTACTATAGTAGGTATACCTATTACATTATTGATATCATGTAGTTTGTGCTTATAATTTCGAACGTAAGTTGCTTTGCGGTGCTGTCGTAACCCAACAAGTTCAACGAATTTACCCCGTTTCGCAGCAACGCCGGGAGATAGCCAAAGATCACGATATAGAATAGGATTGACAGCCCGACGAGCACGTTCGGCAACAGGGTGAAGATGTTGTAGAAGATGCGCAGCGGGGCGACGGTGGTGGAGAGGCCGAGCTGAAGATGTTGATAACGTTCGATAGGTATTTTTGCTAGCCAGATCCTAGATGGAAACGCAGTTCTGAAGGATATTTGCTAGCCTGCCTCTCAGAAAAGAAAAGTTTTATCAAACGTACGTAAAAACATGTTTGCTAGCTTGCTCTGCTTAGAATGCTACACAGCCAAGCGTTACTCATTGATCTCTCTCTCCCTCTCGCTCTCTCTCTCCTTCTCTCGCTCTCTCTCCCCCCTCTCTACCTGGTAAGCCAGCGAATCCTCCCATTTGTAGGCGGCATCCGTCTCGATGGGATACACGATGGGGACGACGGCACCGAGCGACAGCACCCACACGACCCGGCCGAGCTGCTGGAGCTGGGCGGCTCCCTGTTTTTTATGTATTAATTTTTATATATTTTACTGCCTATTTTTCACAGTATTAAAACGTTGATTTTAAAATCATACCCGGTCCAGCGAGGCGGCGCTCCGAATGACGCTGAAGCGCGTTAGGGCCAGGACGAACATCCACAGGGCCGACTGGGAGAAGAAGCCGAGCTGCCCGATCTGAACATAGGCTTCGGTTATGCTTAGGCTTAGGCACTGACTTGGGCCTGGGCTTGGGCTTAGGCTTAGGCTTAGGCTTAGGCTCTGCCAGCCTACTTTCAAGCCCCAAAACCCACATAAGAGATTTTCCCCAGCCAGAACGCGTTGGCCTGCAGGAATTCGGGGTGCACGCCGAGGTTGGCCGGCTCGTTGACGAGCAGCGAGATGGAGCAGTGGACGAGAAGGCAGATACCTAGGGGACTGGAAGCCGGCGTGACTTTGACGCTTACTCAAGTGCCGTAGACAAATCAGAAACGTTCGACCGGTCTCCTGGGGGTCCACCGTGCTCGTTGCGTATAGTATCAAAGCGTACAGAGGGAGGGTGAGCAGCACCAGCATGTCGAGCATCACGCAAAGGATTATGTACAGGGAATCCATCTGAACGGGGCGGGCTAGCAGATATTGTTGAGGAAGAGGAGAGGGCAGGCTAGCAGAGATTGTTGAGGAAGAGGAGAGGGCAGGCTAGCAGAGATTGTTGAGGAAGAGGAGAGGGCAGGCTAGCAGAGATTGTTGAGGAAGAGGAGAGGGCAGGCTAGCAGAGATTATCGGGGTTCTTAACAGAGAATTCTACAAATACCGTATCTTCGCTCCTATTTTGACAACAAATAGGCGTAAGGTGTGGAATTTGAAAGTTCGGTACATCAGCCGACCTTTTTTGCGCGGTAATTACAACTGCAGGAGACGAAATCACCATTTTCGGTGCCCAAAAAAGGCCTAATTGGGCCTTATAAAAAAACCCGCAGCCGGCATGCTAGCAGGGGTCATTTGGGAAAAGAAAATAACAATCACATTGGCGAGTAGACTGGTTGGTAATTGGTATTTTACCCCCCCCCGCGCTGTTTCCTGAAAAAAAACACGGAAATGTGGCTTGGAACAGGGCAGCGGCGGTGTCTACCGGTAAAATTGTGTGCCTGAAAGGGTAGGCTAGCAGGGTTCATTGAGGTAGAAAAAGAGGCCAAAGTCAGGGTCTTTCTTCCCTTTCTATCCCGATTCCAAAAATGACAAAAATTCGGTGCAAAGTGCCGTACTCTTCGGCCAAGCACCCATTCAACATCCTCTAATTTTCACACGCTCTCCTTTTTCGTACTACCGTAGTACGCCTTGTACGGCCAGAATGGGCAAATAGCAAATTTTCCCGCCTTTCCCCCTCGTCACGATGCACATAACGCGGGGCACAAAATATGAAACCGAGGGCGTAAATTGGAGGGTGGCGTAGGTTGCCGCAAAAATAGGCATTATAATTATTTCCATTAAGGAATTGTGATTCAGCAAAAACCTGAAAAGTTCTTTGGAAAAGATCTCTGCTAGCCTGCCCTCTCCTCTTCCTCAACAATCTCTGCTAGCCTGCCCTCTCCTCTTCCTCAACAATCTCTGCTAGCCTGCCCTCTCCTCTTCCTCAACAATCTCTGCTAGCCTTCCCTCTCCTCTTCCTCAACAATCTCTGCTAGCCTGCCCTCTCCTCTTCCTCAACAATCTCTGCTAGCCTGCCCTCTCCTCTTCCTCAACAATCTCTGCTAGCCTGCCCCTCCTCTTCCGCAACAATCTCTGCTAGCCTGCCCTCTCCTCTTCCTCAACAATCTCTGCTAGCCTGCCCTCCCCTCTTCCTCAACAATCTCTGCTAGTCTGCCCTCTCCTCTTCCTCAACAATCTCTGCTAGCCTGCCCTCGCCTCTTCCCCAACAATCTCTGCCAGCTTGCCCAACACACAATTCAACAACAGGAACACAAAATTCAAAACCCAAGCCATTTATTTTAACACGTTTAAGCGAATGGTGTCTCACATCAACAGCAAAAATCGACGCATCAAATTCAGCAGATAATCGGCATGTAATTAACGGGAGGCAGCGGGGACGGTGCAGCTTTTTAAAGGGACGATTACATCGGAGGCGTCGGTCAGCTGTCGCGGCTAGTTGAACTGAAAAACTTGGATTTTTACCAGGGATTCTTGTGGAACGCGAGGACCGGCGAAAAGTTAGACCTACCGTACGCTCGGGCACATAGCGAGGCCCCCGGTACGGGACGCCGAGGTCCCAGTCGAGCGCATCGGCAGGCGAGCAGCCGTTTTGCTGAACGGATCGAGGGTTCTTTGGCATTATTGGGGGGGGTAAGTAAAACGTAGCCAAAAAAGTTTATTTCCCCCACCCGATAATGCAAAAGAACCCCAAAGCTTTATCAAGCCTTCCGCGGCTCTTGAAAATACCTTGGCGGCGACGTCGATCATCTTCCACACAAAGTCATAATCCGGGATGTCCTTGTAGCTGAGCTGGTCGAGGTAGCCAAGGATTCTAGAAAGAGTTTAGGGATAGAGAGAGGGTGAGAGAGAAAGTTAGAGAGAGAGAGAGAGAGAGAGAGAGAGAGAGAGCTAGAGACTGCTCCTCACCGCGAAAACGCCTCAAACGGGCAGCCCTCGAGCAGCTGCGGGAGCAGCTTGTCCCTCGAGTCCTCCTTCGACGCCATGATCTTGGCGCGCTCGGTGGCCGGAAACTGCTTCCACGGCAAGGAGCCGGTGATCAGCTCGATCATCATGTACAGCCAGCTCTCGATGTCGTCGCGTCGGGACTGCTCTTCCGAGTGGTGGACGGCTCTTTAAAGGGATGGTGACAGGAGAATTCCCCAGAGAATCTCTGCTAGGCTGCCCTCTCCTCTTCCTCAACAATCTCTGCTGGCCTGCCCTCTCCTCTCCCTCAACAATCTCTGCTAGCCTGCCCCCAAACTCACAGAGCCGCGTATCGTGTTGTCCCTCGAAACGGGGCCGACGCCCTAGGCTTCCGGATCTCCTTTCCAGCGCCCCTGGACGTGACGTACTTTTTAGTCAAGTGTAATTGAACGCTTACTTGAACTGCCTGCCCATGCCGAAATCGATGATGAACACGGTGTGCGAGTCGGCGTCGTCCCCGATGGCGAAGTTCAGCGGCTTGATGTCGCGGTGCAGGTAGCCAATCTAATAGCAAATGGTCGCTGCTAGCACGCCCTCTTACCCTATGTAAATCACGGATGCCCTGCAGCGCCTGCTCGGCCACCTTCAGCCCGGTGTTGATGGAGAAGGTGCGGTGGGGGCGGACCTTGCGGAGGTGCCAAAGGTTGGGGCCGAGCTGAAAGTTAGTGGCTCTCTCGCCCTCCAGCTCTGTCTCTGTCTCTCTCTCTGTCTCTCTCTCTCTCTCGCTTTCTCCCCCTCACCAGCGTCATCGTGATGAAGCAGAAGCGCTCGCATTGGCCCTTGTCGAAAATCTGCAACAGCAAGATTGTCTGCCCGTTTGTCCGTAACGCATTAATAGGAGGCTACTGTAGCCTTGACTTCACTGGTCCTTGAAAACGACCAACCATGCAGAAATGCGGGCTCTTGATGGCGTTGCCCTGGTCGAGGACGTGGCACTCGAGGGGCAGCACCTGAAGCCGTAGGCTTAGGTTTAGGTAGGCTTGGGCTGGGGCTTGGGTTAGCTTAAGCTTAGCTTAGGTTTAGCTTAAGCTTAGGCTTTGGCTTAGGCTTAGCGTAGGCTTAACACCGACCTGCTTCTTCACCGACACGTGCTCGCACTTCATCGCCATCTTCTTGCCGTCCGACTTGCGCTGCACCTGGTAGACGCTCCCGAACGTGCCGGACCCGATCTCGCGCGTCACCTGAGGCGGCGAGAGAGTTCATAGAGAGATAGTGAGAGAGAGAGAGAGAGAGAAGCACTGTAGCAGAAACCCTTGCGGATTACCTCGTACACAACATTTCCCTCGACGCTGTTCACGAACTTGCCCACCGTCGGCATCTCGCCAACGGCCACAGGCTATAAAAATCGTGTTTAATCGGGTTTTTTACCATAAAAAAACACAAAATAAAGCAGGCCAGCAGAGATCATTGAGGAAATCGAAGCTAGCAGTTTTCCTAGCGAATTCCAATTTTTTTTACCTACCGGTGCCTTGGCCCCGCCGGCCGTTTTGCCCGACATCAGATGGCAAAAATGGGGATTTTATGCAAATCTGGGCAGGGCGGATTCTCGCTTAGTATTTTCATCTCAAAATTAGCGCCCGGAAGTGTCCCGAAATTTGCATAAGTCTAAGTATATTTAAGCCGACCAGCTCCTCGGCCGTTCATTCTTCGGCTCCGCCGGCTCGCCTGGGCTGCCGCATCTACCGTCAGCTACTGCAAACCCGCCGCGAAGATGGGCAAGGACGACAAAAAGAAGAAGGCCGCCCCCAAGAAGGAGGCGAAGAAGGACGATGATGGTGGCGGCAAGACGCAGACCGGACCCCCGCCCGGAGCTCCTCCGCCCCCTTCCGGCCCGCGCCCTGCCACCAACGCCAAGGAGGAGGTCGGGTTTTATTTTGGGGCAGGGTAGCAGAGATTGTTGAGGAAGAGGAGACGGCAGGCTAGCAGTGATTGTTGAGGAAGAGCAGAGATTATTTCCCAATTTTCAGGTGCAGCGCTGGTGCGACACTTGTCTCCAGAAGGGTGTCCAGGGGTTGCGCGACGAGTTCGCCTCCCAGATCAAGCGCTACGTGCCGGCGGACATGCAGTTCGAGGCGTTCAAGACGAACCACCCGGCTGGCCGCAACCGGTAAGTCCGTTGTATCGTGGCGCCCCGCTTTGCTCCAGCGCTGTAAAGTACACCAAAATGTTCGTCTCGTTCTGGCGAGTATTTTGGTATACTTTACACCCCCGCAACACAACAAAATAACCCCCCGTTTCCAGATATCAAGACGTGCCGTGCCAGGACAAGGGCCGCGTCGTCCTCCGCCCCCCAGCCCCCTGCGACTACATCCACGCGAACTTTGTGCGCACGCCGATGGGCGAGCAGCGCTTTATCTGCACCCAGGGCCCCCTCGACAACACCATCATCGACTTTTGGTATATGATCATACAGGTTGGTATATATTCTGTGTTTGATGCGTTTTATCACTAGAAAGCCATCAAACTATTTTTTTTAATTCTTAAAATTCGAAATTTTGACCATTTTTGCTCATTTTTCATATATTTTTGACGAAAACGTCCAAATTTTTCCATTTCTAATTTTTATATTGTTTTTTTATATCCAAAAACTACGTAAAATGCTATAAAAATGGTGTATATTTTGTTATAGGGTTACAGGGAAAAATTTGGTTTGACCCCCCCCCCGCTAACAGTCCAGGACCGTCTTACCTGCGACACCTATCGACCGGTCCTTTCGCAGGAGGAGACCGACTCGATCATCATGCTGTGCAACGTCATCGAGAAGGGGCTGCTGAAGTGCGCGCAGTACTGGCCGAACGAGCAGGGGCAAAACCTGAAGCCGGCCGACAACATTGAAATTGTCAACGTCGAGACGCGCGCGATGATGCCCGAGGACCAGAGCATCCGGCTCTGCGTCCTCAAGCTCAAGTGGAACTTTGGCAGCCCGCAGGAGCGCGAGGTAGAGCTACAGCCATCTCGAAACCATATCGCTAAATCCCCTGAATAGCATTTTCAAAAGATGCCTCAAAAAGAATTGCCTGCCTGCTTTTTTACTACTCCTAAACGTCAAAATTTTACATATTCTCATTGATCATTAGCTAAAGAAAGCTAGAGAGCTAAAGTCAGCTAAAAGCTTTTCAATTATTTTTTCAATTTAAAATAGTTAAATTTGATAAAACACCAGTAAAATTTAGATCGTTTTTCGAATCGAAAAATTGTCAGATTTTACCAAAAACTACAAATATACGTCAATTTATTCTACTAAATATTTCTAGGTTTATAGAAAAAGGTTAAACATAATTATATAAAACGCGAATTAAAAAAATAATACTTAAATCTTACTAACGACCCTATTAAAATACTAATTTACGTTCCTAGGCATTAAAGCCATCTTTCAGGTGCGGCACTACCAATGGCTGGATTGGCCGGATCGCGGCGTGCCGATCGTCAAGGGACACACGCCCACCGAACTGCTGTCCCGCGTCCGCGGCACGAAGAAGCCCATCGCCGTCCACTGCTCGGCCGGCATCGGCAGGACCGGTAGGGGGGCCAACTAGCAACGACCCTTTGAGCCACCGCTTCCAGGTACCATCGTGGCCATCGAGTACACGCTGGAGCGCCTGATGACCGGCCAGTGCACGGTGGACATGGACAAGCTGCTGAAGGAGGTGCGCGACCAGCGCCCGTACACCATCCAGAACGACGCGGTACGCCCCGGATCACTATACTAAACTTACCTTGGCCTTTTAGCAGTACCTCTACATCCATCGCGTGCTGCTGAACTACTTCTTCGGCAAGTACAGTCACGCCAAGGGCAAGGAGCAGCTGGAGAAGTACAACAAGTTTATCGCCGACTACGAGAAGGCCACCGCCTAGCCGACCGGAGCACGACGCGCATTCCTCTTCTTCTTTCTCTTTTTAGCATGGCCGAGGCCTGAATTTCCGCGTTTTTTTCTTCCAAACAAAAGAAAACACAACCCAAGAAATCGCCTGTGATTTTATGCTTTACCATTCATATGCCATTTTCATTGTTCCTGGGAAATAAAGCGTTTTACAAATAGTGGCATGTCGACCAGACAGAATTATCGAAAGATATTTATACGCACAAGGTCGAGAGTGTACACGCGAGATCTCAAAAGTGACAAAATACAAAATACGATTTCATGGGTACAGCCGCGAAGAGATTGGCCCCGCCGGATCCTTTTCCGGTTCCGTCTCGCGCAGGTCGTAGTTGATGAACTCTTCAGTGTTGACGAAAATCTGAAAAAAAAGTGAAGGCTCATCGATGGAACACGCAACGAACCCGCAAAAACACATGGGCCAGCCCGGATCGACAAATCTGTTTGAGGCTCATCCTGAAAAATACACATCATGACAAATTCCACAGATCCGGGTACCTCTGTAAATCGGCGCACCCGACGCAGTCCAACATCTCAGCCAGGAGCACGTCATCGGATTTCGGAATGTCCATGTACTCGCGCTCGTACAGCTTCTTCCGCAGCGCGACGAGTAACGCTCTAAAAATTTATATGAAAGCTGCTGCAAATTCTCCAACCTCAAATCCTCAATCGTCAACAGCCCGTCGCCGTCGCCGTCGAAAATGTCAAAAAGATATCGGCAGGTGGCGAGGCAATGTGGGTTGTCCATCGCGAGCCGGTATGTGCAGAATGCCTAAAAAATATCGGTTTTTGCATTATGGAGGGGCGAGAAATTTTTTTGTATTAATCTTACCCCAAAATCGATTCCATCATTCTCGAAGCTCATCTTCTTTTGGCAGAGTCGGTACACGAATTCCGGATTCACGTCTTCCATCGCCTAGAATGGGGAAATTCCAAGCAAGAGCAGAAAAAGCGAAACCTTCAATTCCTCATAATTCAGCAGACCGTCCTGATTCGTGTCAAGCGCCTGGAATTCGCCGAGAATCCGCAGCAGGTTCGTCTTTGAGAACCTGAGAACGATTTTCCAATTTAACACCAAAACACGTACCAATTATTGGAATCCAGCGCGAGCGAGTCGCGCATCTCCCGGACGAGCCTGGGTATAGATTAGAATTGAAAGGACGAAAAAACATACCCGCTTGATAACAGGTCCTTAATTTGGTAGTTCGAGGTGCCGGCGCCATCCAAACAAAACGAGAACTTGGAGCGGTAGATGCAGAGGGCGTAGTCGACGTCTTCCTCAGGGAAATTGGCGTATTCGCGGATAAACGCCGTCAAATATTCGTTCATGTCCTAAACAGATATTTCGAAATTTTCAGCGAAACATCGAAAGAATTCGCAGGCAAAAAAATGGGTATCTTACTAACCTTCTCGCCTAGAATTCGCCCATTCGTCGCCGCATAAGCCGTCAGCTTCCACCGCTCAACGACATAGTCATTTATCGTCTCGACCACCAGTTGGAAATCCTGAAACGTACAGATATTCAAAACAAGAAAGAACCTACCTCGACCGGCACCCGAAAATACGCATTTGAAAAGTTCTTGAAGATGGAGAGCTGGACGAACGGGCTGGACAAGCGTTCCCGATAGAATTTGGGGCACGCCGGGTCGAGTAGCGATTTCTGAAATGAAACGGAGATTTTCTCAATTTCATAAAAATCCCGGGAGTGCGCAGAATGCCAAAAACTACCTTGAGCTCTTCCAGGCTCAATGAAAATTCTCCGGTGCTCGAGCAGTGCTTCCCGTATTTGTTGACGGCATCGAGGAACCTCTAAAACGCGAAAATTACGATGATTAGCGCGGAGCTTACATGCACTTCATCCGGCTCGGGGAGCAGCGGCTTTTCCGCGTCCAGGTAGGCGCACAAGGCTTCGATGTTCAGCCGCAGACATATTTCTGAAGGTCTGGCCGGCATCGGCTGAAATTTTAATAAGTAAAAAAGTAGTAAAGTGAGGAATTAAGCTTTTATAAAACAGGTTTGTTTAATTTTCAAATTTTCCAAAGTCGTTCCGAACCTTTTCCCGGCCTCATCAATGTGTGGTTTGTAGCCGCGCGTACACTGACAATTCCTCGCGTAAAATCCTTCTAAAATTAATAATTAGTGTTTTTCTAATAGAATCTTTCTAATTCTTGGAGAATGCCCGCCTACAATCATCTGATGCATCCGCGCAACATCTACAAGGACGCGCCGCCCGACTTCCAGCAGCTCGCCTTAGAATATCCCCGTTTCCGCAAGCACTGCACTTACTCGAGTGGCAAGGTTGGTATTTGAAGGTTATTTAGATGCCAGAAAATGGCAGAATACGAAACGCACGAAAAAAACAACATTTTTTCAGTTAGTCGTTGATTTTCGTGACGTCGACGCCGTGCGAGAGTTGACTCGAGCAACCCTTCATAAAGACTTTCGACTTTCGGTGGACCTTCCCGAGGTTTGGTTAGCTTTTCCGAGGTTTATATCTACTCTTTTGCAGAATTCCCTGGTTCCTCGTATCCCGCAGAAGCTGAACTATCTGCTTTGGATCGAAGATTTGTTGGCGCTGAATTCACTTGACAAACGAAGAGTGCATGGGATCGACATTGGTAACCAGTAAAAGAATGCTTGATTTCCTTGCAGGAACCGGTGCCTCGTGCATCTATTCGTTGCTGGGAGCCCGGAAAAATCACTGGGATTTCGTGGCAACGGACGTGGACGAAACGAGCTTAGCGTAACGTTATTTTTTCGGCCTCATTTTGCTCTAGTACAGCCAGAGCGAACATCGTGGCCAACGAGCTGCAAGACAGGATCAGGACGTTTCTCGTCGAAGGTGATGAAATTATCCGGGTAAGCACTTTGCAATGATAAGCGTCGAATCCTTTTTAGCCAGTCGTCGATGCCTACCCGGACGAAAAATTCACATTTACACTTTGCAATCCGCCGTTCTTCAGTGACGAGGAGCTGAACGAGGTGAAGAAATTCTTTCAGCCCTCATTTTTTTAGCGTTTCAACTATTCAACGGGAAGAGGTGGCTATTCGAACCAGGACAACGAGGACAAACACAAGCGACGAGCGCCAAATTCCTCTACTGTAGCAAAGGGCAACGAGCTGGCCACTGAAGGAGGCGAGGTGGCTTTTGTTGGACGGATCATTGCCGAGTCGACGAAGATCCGGGATCGTGTTAGGTAAGGTTGTTTTTAAATCCATAAATAGAAGTTTCAGGATTTTTACTGTGATGTTGGGCAAGAAATCTTCAAAGTTAGCCATCCGAAAGCGCCTTTCCGACCTTGACAACGTCTTCTTTGCCTTCTCTATCCTTTACCAAGGAAAAACGATTCGCTGGGTGGTCGCTTGGACTTTTGCGACCGACATTTCTCTGCATGTAAGGATTTAGATACTATGGATCAGGATTTGTTCAGCCTGATACGATAATTTCTGAGGACGAGACGTTCCTGGAAACCAAGATAACGCTGGAGGCTTTGAAAACAATTCTGGAAGGTTTTCGGATAATCATCTTTCATCAAGGACAGGCATTTCTACGGTAATCTTTTAGGGGTTTCGCCCCAGACACGAATTTAGATGTGAAGCACAACAGAATACTTGGAATCGTAAACGTCGACTTTCCAGGACACTACCCACAGATGATCGAGCCAAGTAAGCAAATTTGAAAGCCCGTTGTCATTAGCTTTTTAGCGTCTCAAAGGCCGGCCCCGGCAGCGAAATTCGGTCAGGCAAAGTCGAAGAGGTAAGCAACTTTTTGAAAGGGAACGAAAATTTCAACTATTAGGTAGGGGAAGCAGGTCGCGGTCTCCTCCGATTTTCCGTCCACCATCCGATCAGCAAAGAAGGCCTGGTCGCGACGTTCGAACACGGCTCCAAACCTACTTACGACTCACTTATTGCCTTTTTACGAAAAACTCTACTTTCTAGGGAGCATATAATTTGAGAGGTGTTTCTGGTGATTGCTACGGGTGTGCACGGCTTGTGATTGATTCGGTTTAATTTTCTATTTCTATTTCTATTTCTATGTGAATTTGATAATAAAGATATTGTCTGTTGCTTGACAACGAATCCTTGCCCTTAGTATATTGGATGACTATCATGAAGTCAAACGCGGCGCAAAAATTTTATTAAAAAAAAATTCAAGAGATGCTTGGAAGGATACGATTGAAGTGGAGGCTTGCGTCACAGCTTCAGCTCGCGGCGACAGCTTGGTCATCATCGGCGCCTTCTCCGTCACGTTTACCAGGTGTGCTGACGTCGAAAAAGTAAAAAAAATGACAAAGGCGGTTTTGTTTTTAGCCATTCCAGGTTGACGATCTTTCAGATGGACCCAGCCTCGCCCACTTCATAAGTGCATCTAAATCCCGCCGGAAGCCCAAAGTCGCGCCCTCCATCGAGGAGTCCGACTCGTATCTAGCTCCCGAGGACTATGACGGTCAGGGCAGACTCGTCAAGCTCATCACGTACGGATGCCAAATGAACGAAAACGACATGGAGCTCGTTCGTGCTTTTCTCGTCAACAGCAACTATCGGGGGACCGACAATTTGGAGCAGGTTTGTTGGGTGTATTCTTGGTAAAATTTGGCGTCTAGGCCGACATTGCGCTTCTTATGACCTGCTCGATCCGAGAGGGAGCTGAGGCGAAGGTCTGGCGGGAGCTGATGCGGATACGAAAAGCAGCCAAGCGCGTTCAGACTGTCGGTGTATTGGGTAATTTGACGTTTTCGAGAAAAACCAATCACTTAGGATGCATGGCCGAACGGATAGGGCATAAACTCTTCGAGAAACGGGGGCTCTGCGACGTGGTGGCAGGCCCGGACTCGTATCGGGACCTTCCAAGATTACTGGCGGTTTCGCGAGCCGGTACACACGATTTCAAAGGCATAAGATTTTTTAGGCAACAACGCGATCAATGTGCAACTTTCGCTGGAGGAAACGTACGCAGAGGTGGCTCCGGTGCGCAAGGATGAGAACGGGAAAACGGCTTTTGTGTAAGTTAGCCGATTATTAGTGAGTAGCAAATAGCTTTTTGGGTACTGGACTGTTAACCGGGAGAAAAAGCTAAAAAATGTCGCTGTTTCAAACATTAAAAAATATGTTTATAACTTTTTAGCCATCTAAAACCAATGAAAATATGGTATAAATGACGAACGGACAAAAAGTCGTTCCCCCCTGCTCACAGTCTCGTACCTTTTTTAGCTCAATCATGCGTGGATGCGACAATATGTGCACCTACTGCATCGTCCCGTTTACGCGCGGCAAAGAGCGGAGCCGCCCGATCGACTCGATTGTTGAGGAGGTCCGGAGATTATCAGGGGAGGTGAGGGCATTCTAAAAAATCTCAATTCCGCTCTAGGGCGTTCGTCAAATCACCTTACTCGGCCAGAACGTCAACAGCTACCGCGATTTCTCAGAGTCCACGTTTTCCGTGAGTTTGTTTTTGTTTTCAGGAGTATTTTGAATTTCAGACTGCCGGCGATGGTGTCCAGAGCATCGCCGACTTTCGGACGATTTACAAGCCAAAACAGGGCGGGCGCACGTTTCTGACGTTGCTGGATCTGGTATCACGGTCAGTTATTTTTTGGTTCTTTCGCATTATCGGGGGGGGGGGGTAAGAAATTTATTTTTAGGCCGATTTTATAGCTTAAATAGCGGACGTTTATAAACTTTTTTTTACTATTCCTATACGTAACAAATTTACACATTTTCATGGATAAATACCAAAAAATATCGATTTTTCGACCAGACTATTTAAAATGTTTTTCTAGTTGAGATCTAGTTTTATCTTACTAAGAACATTATTAAAATACTTCCTATTAAGTTACTAGGCAAGAATCATAAAAAAAAATCGTGTCCCCCCTCCCCGGATAATGCCAAAAAAATCTATTTTTTAGTTTTTATCTTTTTTATCTTTTTGTAGTGTCGACCCGATGATGAGGATCCGCTTCACCTCACCGCATCCCAAAGACTTTCCGACTCCAGTAAGTAGTTTCCTTTGATGCAAACGAAGATATTTCTAGGTCCTTGATTTGATCGCCGAACGTTCGAACATTTGCAACCAGATCCACCTTCCCGCTCAAAGTGGCTCGGACGCAGTGCTGGAAACGATGGGAAGAGGGCGAGTTTAAACCAGCTCGATTTATATTTTTTTTTTCAGTTACACGCGTGACCTATATATGCGACTGGTCGCCGACGTGCGCGCCAAGATACCAAATGTCGCGTTGACGAGTGACTTCATCGCGGGCTTTTGCGGCGAGACTGAGGAGCAGCACCAGGACACGCTGCAGCTCATCCGCGACGTCAAATACGACTTTTGCTACGTGTTTCCCTACAGTATGAGAGAGGTGAGAGGCCGTTGGCAGAATTTTTAATCAATCTACTTCAGAAAACGAAGGCGAATCGACAGTTGCGGGATGATGTTCCGGAAGAGGTTGGCGGCAGGCTTCGGCTTGACAATTTTTAGATTAAAAAACGGCGCCACATCGAGCTGTCAGTGGCTTTCCGAGAAGAAGCCGAGAAGCTTCATGCATCCCTGCAAGGCGGCGAACAAACTGTTCTCGTGGAAGGGGTATGTTTTTATGGTTCTTTCGCTTTATCGAGGGGAGGAATTTTTTGTGTTAGTCTAGAAATTCCTAGTAACGTAATAGGAGGTATTTTAAGTGGTTTTAGTATAAAAATACTTATATTTCATTAGAAAAGCTATCTTAAAACTTCCAAAAATTTTGAAAAAGTCTAAATGTTGGCCAAGAACAGCCCTTTAGTAAAAAAAAGCGATATTTTTGTGTTTTTTTAATAAAAATTTGTAAGGTTTTTACGTTTAGGATTAGCAAAAAACCCTTTAGAAACACTTCAGCTATTCATATTTGAAAATTGGATCTTAAGAAAAAAGTTGGGTCCCCCGCCGATCATGCGAAAGAACCTTCATTTTAAATATGGCAGTATCAAATCTTGTTTTAGCACAGCAAACGCAGCACTGAGCAGCTGTTTGGCCGCGTCGACGGGGGCACAAAGGCCATCGTGAGTTTTTTCCCCGATTAAAAAACTGTCCCTGTTTTAGTTCCCCGCAATCTGTGAAAACGGCGACACGTTGAGCCCGGGCGACTACGTCAAAGTTAAGGTAGAGATCGCTCATTTCGTAAAAATTTCTGCTTCAGGTCGTTTCTTCCAACTCCCAGACGCTGTTCGCCGACGCCCTACAAAAGACGACAACACTGTAGCCATAGTATTACGATAGCCTAATGATGTTTCTTGATACAATTTTGGTTTTATCTGAATTTTTTTTATTGCTTTACGTGTTCCCCGAATAAAGTTGTTAAAACATACCCTGCTGCAAAATATCGCCATACACATCAAAGAGTGGGCCACAGATTGGCCATAACGGCCGAGTGGACGGCTTGACTTGAACGACTCGGAATTGATCGCGAGTCGCGGCAAGCTCATGGGAAGCTCCTTTTTAAAAGCTGTACAAAATACCGTAGCCCGGACTGAGTATGGCATCCGATCGGGGCATGGCGGACTCGACTTTTAAGCGATTTCATTTTCACGGTGCTTTTTCGCAACAACTATACCTTGGTTATTCCTTTTTCTTTTCTATTTTTCTGTCTTCTTTTTTGCACCAATGGCTTTTTCAGGATGCCCTCCGACGCAAGGAAAGCGAGGCAAGCCGCGAAGAAAGGTGGCGGCCGGGGAAAGGTTCTAACTTGCCTTGAAACCGTTCTATGGCTGTTTTAGGGCCCCCAAATCAAACCGGATGCGAAGGCGTCGGTGGGGGAGGAACAGCTCCTCGACGATGTCGACGCTGTAGACGAGCCCGACAATGTGGACGCGGCGGCCGCGATGCTCGCCAAAATTGAGCTCGACAATGCAAAGGCGCGCAGCGTCGCCGGTGCGCTCACATCGAACCCGAAATCCGTCGATGTTAAGGTGAAACTTAGTTGGTTTTTGGTTTACAGCCATTTAGGTCGAAGGGCTGACCGTCACGTTTCACGGCCGCGAGATCGTTACCGACACCAAGCTCGAGCTGAACATGGGCCGCCGCTACGGGCTGATCGGACTGAATGGATCTGGTAAATTATCTTTTAACATAGATTACGTTTTCCTTAGGCAAATCCACGATCATGCAGTCGATTTACAACCGCGAGATGCCGCTGCCTGACCATCTGGACATGTTCATGGTATCACGTGAGATGGAAGCATCGACCAAGACCGCTCTGCAAGCTGTCGTCGACGTCGATGAGGAGCGCAAGCATCTGGAAAAGCTCTCCGAGGAGTTGGCTGCTTGTGATGATGATGGTAGGGATAGAAAGGGTTCAAGCAATCTGTTTTTCTTAGAGTCGCAGCAAAAGCTGATGGACATCTACGAGCGACTCGACGAGATGGATGCAGACTTGGCCGAGGCGAAGGCCGCAAATATTCTTCACGGGCTCGGCTTCTCGAAGACGATGCAGGCCAAGAAGTGCAAGGATTTCTCTGGTATTCCGCTGCTCATCGATGACTCCTTCCCTTTCTTTAGGTGGTTGGAGGATGCGGATCGCGCTCGCGCGTGCGCTGTTCCTAAAGCCGTCGTTGCTACTGCTCGACGAGCCGACGAACCACTTGGATCTCGAAGCTTGCGTGTGGCTCGAAGAAGAGCTCGCCAAGTAATGAATCCTTGCATCCTCTAGTCGTTTCTTAGGTACAAACGATGCTTACTGATCGTCTCTCACTCTCAAGATTTCATGAACGGTGTCTGCACAAACATCATCCATCTTTTCCAGCGTCAGCTGGTTTATTTTGGGGTTGGTCGATTATCTATTTCTCATAGGATTTTTAGGGAAACTACGATTCGTTCATCAAGACGCGAGAGGAACTCCTGGAGAACCAGATCAAGCGTTACAATTGGGAGCAGTCTCAACTACAGAACATGAAAGACTACGTTGCACGGTATTTTTTGTAGCGATGCACTTTATTTCTCTTTTTAGATTCGGTCACGGCTCGGCGAAACTGGCGCGACAAGCGCAATCCAAGGAGAAGACGATGGCAAAGATGATCGCCGGCGGTCTGACGGAAAAAGCCGTTCAGGAAACGGTAATAATTTCTTTTTTATTTGTTGCACTCGCTTCAGGTAAAACAATTCTACTTTTTCGACGCCGGCGAGATCCCGCCGCCCGTCATTATGGTGCAGCACGTGTCGTTCCGCTACAATGAAAAGACGGTAAAGTTTTGAAGTTTTCAGTATACTTATGTATATTTTTAGCCTTGGATCTACCATGACATCGATTTTGGCATCGATCTCGACACACGTATCGCCCTCGTCGGCCCGAACGGAGCCGGCAAGTCGACGCTGTTGAAGGTAGCACTTTGTGTTTTTTTTTTGTATAAAATCTGTTGTCAGTTGATTTGCAACGATGTGCTGCCCACCGACGGGCTCATCAGGCGGCACTCTCACTGCAAAATCGGCCGCTACCATCAGGTGACTCGTGGCGGCTTTTATTGTGAATGCTTTTTTCAGCATCTCCACGAAGAGCTGCCCTTGGACCTGTCGGCGCTCGAGTTCATGATGACGTCTTTCCCGGAGGTGAAGGAGAAGGAGGAGATGCGCAAGATCGTCGGCCGCTATGGCATTACTGGCCGCGAGCAGGTATTCGATTTTTCAAATATTTACAAAAATCCAGGTGTGCCCAATGAAACAACTGTCAGATGGGCAGCGCTGTCGCGTCTCATTCGCATGGCTGGCTTGGCAACAGGTATATAATACGAGGATTACTTTTAACCTAAAAATTAGCCGCATCTACTCCTCCTCGACGAACCGACGAATCATCTCGACATGGAATCCATCGACGCGCTGGCTGAAGCGATCAACTGCTTTGCCGGCGGCCTCATTCTCGTCTCTCACGACTTCCGACTGGTTTCTCAGGTCAGTTTGTTTAGCTTTGATTTTTATTGGGTTTTTTCTTAGGTGGCAAAAGAAGTCTGGGTGTGCGACAAGCAGACGATCACCAAGTGGGAGGGCGGCATCATGAGCTACAAGGAGCACCTGCGCAAGGAGCTCGAACGGGAGCGCAAACGCCGCGAGAAGCTCACCGAACGCTAAGATTGCGATAATATCCACATAACCGTTGTTATGATTGTTTTTTTGTTTTTAGATGTTGCGTGGTTTTTGCTTGTTTTTAGATCTTCTTGGGAAATAAATTGTTATGCCGTCAACGGGCGTTGTGTTTTTATAAATATTTATACGCCAAAAACGTTCTGTACATCTAGGCCTTGTAGTTGAGGTCCATGCTGACGCCGCATGGGCCCGCGGTGGTGCCCTTGTACTGGTGGATGTGCGCAGCCGTCCAGCCGCCGTAATGCGGGAAGCTGAACACGGAGCAGTAATTTACGAAGACGCGAGGACAAACTTGTTGAGGCTCTCCTGGCCGTTGTAGTTGGGCCACCACAGCGGCTCGCCCTTCATCCCCGTCCAGTCGCCGACGATCTGCGGCCACGAGTACTGGCCGCTGTAGATTCCCGTCTTGACGCCCATTTTCTAGAGGCCGTTGTGGATCTCGAGCCACTCCCTACCTTGGCCTCGTTGACCATGCCCTGGATGAATTCGCGGTTGTGGTTGTGGTCGCTGGGCCACGCGTTGCCCTCAATGTCCATCCAAAGGGTGTTGATCTGAAGGTGCAAACGATGTGTAATGACCGTTCAGGCTTCACCCACCTTGGCTCCCTCGGCCTTGAGCTTGTTCAGGGCGGCGGAGACCTGAGCGGCACCGGAAGGGCAGTTTGAGCGCGTGCACGGGTAGATGTAGCCGTCAACATCGGTCCAACCGGCTAAAAACGAGTTTTAACTGTTTTTCTACTTGATTATCGGACCTGCTCGTGCGTGCTTAATGTTCTGGATGCCCGTCTCGTCGGCTCGGTTCACCTAGAAGCGCAGGTTTTTTTAGAACTCGGAAATTTTGAAAACTATTTCTTGCTACCGACCTCTTCCCAAACCCTGGCGGTGAAGAAGGTGATCCCATTTTTCTTCAAGCACTCGAACCCAGCGACCGACACGGCCTGGATTCCGTCCCAACCTTTAGCGGCTGAAGCGGTGGCCACTAGCGCCGCGGAGAAGATTAACAACGTTCTAGAGAGCAGAGAATGTTAGGTTCTTCTATATAAATTCTTACCTCATCGTTGCCAACAACTAGAATAATTTAGACTCGAAAGAACGACCAGAATCGGGTGTCTGATCCCCTTCCGAGGCCGCTATATATACCCCCGGCCGTTATCGGTAGAAGGTGAGGGGCTGGGGCGTCAATGAAGAGTCCAAAGGTCCGTTGCGTAGTCGCGGTATTTTGGGAAAAGCCCGGATCTAGAAGCGACACGTGACTCGCACACACAAATCGGCCAATCAGTTCACGCAGTGATCTTTAAAGAGGGGTTAGCGGTTACTAGCTTTTAAAAACCTATCTTAGAGATTAAGTTATTTAGGGTAAAAAATTCGATTTTTAAACATTGATTTTTTGAGCATTTTATATCTAAAAACTATGTAAAATGCTATAAAATGGTTTATATTTCGTTATAGGGCTGTGAAAATGAAAAATTAAGCTTAGCGCAACGATTTCTATCCACTTTTATATAACTTTCCCGGCCAGCAGGTAATCAAAACAGATGCTATTTACGGTAATATTTGCACAGATTCCGAGGCTTTATGCGGCGCTGAGTCAGTGGCGACCTTTCGCGCGTTGACCGCCAGGGATCACCAAAATATGTTTTCGGTTTCCAGGGCTGACGCGTCGAATTTCACAAAAATTTCCGCAGCTTTTCCGTTAACGTTTCACAACAAAAAATTAGAAAAGCATACGCCTTCGTTTTACAATATGTTTCACAAATATGTTAGTGGCAGTGTTTCTTAATGTTTTTTTACTATTCCTTGAAAAAACTACAAATGTTTATGAAAAAACATAAAAAATATCGATTTTAGATAGTTTTTCTATTTTTCCTATTAATTTACTAGGCATAGCTTGTCAATTGACGCTTTCCGTGCGTCTCTTTCTCTCTCTCGCTCGCTATCTCGCTAACTCGCTCCTTTTCATAATTTTATTAAAAAACCACACATAAATTAAGCCTTGTAATTCAGGTCCATGCTGACGCCGCACGGGCCCGCCGTGGTGCCCTTGTACTGGTGGATCGTCGGCTTCGACCAGCCGCCAAAGGCCACAAAGCTGGAATTGAGGTTGAGGGCAGGCGGGCAGGGCTCATTGGGGAAATCGATCCCCAAAGACTCTCTGCTAGCTTGCCCTGACGACTTACTGGTCCAGGTTGGCCTGCCCGTTGTAGTTGGCCCACCAGAGGGGGTATTTCGCGGCGCCGGCCCAGTTTCCGGTGATTTCCGGATAGTCGTAGTGCGCGGCATACATTCCCACTTCTACGCCCATTTTCTGAAGAATAGGATGAGAGTGAGAGAGAGAGAGAGAGATAGAAAGAGAGAGAAATGCATACCGTAGCCTGTGTCAACATTCCCTCGATAAATTCCTGGTTGTGCTTCGTGTCCTTCGGCCATGTCCCCTCGATGTCCATCCAGAGACGACCGACCTAAAGCGAAATTCCTCAACAATCCTGCTAGCCTGCCCACCTTGGCGCCCTTCGCCTTCAGCTCGTTGATGACCTTCTCGACTTGGACGGCGCCGCTTGAACAGCTCGATGACGTGCACGGGTAGATGTAGCCGTCGACGTCAGTCCAGCCGGCTGAAACGAATTTTGAAAAGGCAGGCTAGCAGAGGTTTTTGAGGAAGTGGATAGGGCAGGCTAGCAGAGATTCTTTGTATAGCCTCCCTGAGAACCCGCTCACCTTTCCGCGCATTAATGATATTCTGAATGCCGACCTCGTCAATAAGTTGGTTCTATAATTCGTAAGCTTCCGGCAAAGAGCCACAAAAATACCGAACGGCCAACGCGGGCAATCAAAAACTCGTATCCGTTTTTCTTCAGACACTCGAAGCCGGATACGGTGACTGCCTGAAGGTTAGAAATCCTTGCATCTGAATTCAACTGTACAAACCTGAATTCCGTCCCAGCCGAGCTTTGAGAACACGCCGGGGATGAGCAACAGGGAGATGAGGGCGAGGCGCATACTAAATTTGCAAAAAATTGAATCAGAAAGGGCAGGCGAGCAGTGATTTTTGTGGAATTTCGTGCCAGAAAGATCCATGCCGGCAACACAGATAGTCAAACACCAAACTTGGCTCCGCAACCCTTATCAATATTCCGGGGCGCTGCTGGCATTTCCGAAATAGATTCTAGCAGGAGATTGAGGGATCCAAACCACAGATCAGGGCTGGCTAGCAGAGTTTGTTGAAGAAGAGGAGAGGGCCGGCTAGCAGAGATTGTTGAGGAAAAGGAGAGGGCAGGCTAGCAGAGATTGTTGAGGAAGAGAAAAGGGTTTTTTTGTCAGATCAGAATAAAAAAATTAGCATAATCGAAGGGGAAACCCATTCGAGCGCAAAAATTTATCATTTCTCCACCCCCGAAAAATTCAAGATGCCCCCGAAACTCAGCGGCTCCAAGAATGTGGGGCTTATTTTTGGGCCCCGAATTTTATGCAATTTTCAGGACAAGAAGAAGGACAAAAGCGGCGGGAAGAAGCCGGAGGACAAGGAACCGGTGGGTCCGAAGGCATCTCTCCTAACCTGCCCTTTTCTAGGAGGCGTGGGACCAGATCGAGATCCCGAAGGGCGCCTACCTGGAAGGGCTGAAGATCCGCGATGCGCGCCAACGGGACAAGACCTACCTGAAGATGGCGCAGGCGGCGGCCATGGTACGTGTAGATGTACTAGGCCATGGACATGTTTAGCTTCGTGAACAAGCCACTTGCGTGGGCAATCAGGTCACCCAGACCGGTGGCGGCACCACGCTCGCCAACACTGTCGTCGCCCAGCGTGCCGACGACGGCTTCGGATCGCTGGTACGTCTTCATCCTCAATGATCTCTGCCAGCCTGCCAGTATCCAACAACCTTAAAGCATCGATTCCCTAGATGGAGTCTTTCCTCCGCGATCTCGACGCTGATGAGAAGATGTGTCGGCCCACCGAAGAAGTTCAGAAGTGAGAAGCGAGCGCTGTTTTTGAAGCCTAGGCCTAAGCCGTAGCCTAAGCCTAAGCCTAAGCCTAAGCCTAAGCCTAAGCCTAAGCCTAAGCCTAAGCCCAAGCCTATGCCTAAGCCTATGCCTAATCCTAAGCCGAAGCCTATGCCTAAGCCTAAGCTTGTCCTAATCTCTCTTTTACAGCTTTCGCCCGCACAAGCTGCCGAAGATTTGGGCCGAGGTAAACCTGTTTGCGCCCTTACCCTGCGCCCTTTCGACAGTATGCCCGGGCGCGTCTGGTGTACGGTGACCGTGTGATGCCCAACTGGGAGAAGACGTGCGCCCCCGACCGCATGGTCAAGCCGGATGGTAATATGATTTTAAGATTTCGGTTCAAGTAGTTCAAGTAGTGGTTTAAGTGTATACTTTTTATAGTGATTTTTTTCTTTGAGCTGTACGATTCGAAATTTGCACATTTTCTTCCAGCCGCCGAGGAGCTGCCGAAAGACTCTGGCGGCCCGCCGCTGCACAACGACGGCCCGGCCGACTGGGAGATGGCGGTCAGCGGATTTTGTAGTCTAAGCCTAAGCCCAAGCCTAAGCTTATTGCACAGGTCTAAGCCTAAGCCTAAACCTGTGGCTAAGCTTAGCCTAAGCCTAACCTAGGCTTAAGCCAAGCCTAAGCTAAGCCTAAGCCAAGCCTAAGCAAAAATTCGAAGCCCATAGTATTGTTCGTTTTCCAGATCGACGACATCACCGACCAGACGCCGTTCTGGAACTGAGCTGGCCACGACACCACCACGAGCCCAAGGACCCCCAGAATTTACAAACCATTCTTGTAATGTGCAAATTAATGAACGTGTTGTGCTGTTTTTGATTGTGTGATTTGAACCTTGGGCCGTTTGGGGCGAATAAATGACGCATTAATAGTCAGATGACGTTCTCTCGCTCTCTCCCCCCCCCTCTCTCTCTCTCTCTCTCACTGTCCTCAGGCTTCCGGAATTTTCGAGCTGGTATCAGTTTCGACCCTGGAACGCTGGAAAACAGATTTTTGCGGAAAGCCCTATTGTTCAGGGGCGGCTCCCCGGGGCCAAGCGATCAAAGGATTAAGCCCGGGCGCATTCTATCTCTCTCCTCTCTCTCTCTCTCTCTCTCTCTCTCTCTCTCTCTCTTTCTCTCTCTCTCTCTCTGACCGCTTCTCTCGCCATTGAAACCGAACAATACCAAAAACCGGCCCTGTTTTCCGGGTTTTCCACAGCTTATAAAGGCATCAACTGGGGTGGCTGAATTTCCTCCAGCATCTCTGCTAGCCTGTCCTTGCATATTCCACCATTTCCGCAAATGGCCTCTGCTAGCTAGCCATCAATCTAAGCCGCCCCAATTTTTCACGCACCACCAAATTAGTGCCGGCGGGGCCCCCCCACATGCCGCCCTGGGCCACCGGCCAACGAATTACGGATTCATGGGTTTCGGGCGAGAGAGAGGGAGAGAGAGAGTGACAGTGAGAGAGACAGAGCGAGAGAGAGACAGAGAGAGAGACATAGAGAGTCAGAGAGGCGAAAAAGACAATGCAAAATCCATTCAACTGTTCCTCCCCGACTGGGCAGCCACGATTTTGAACAAAGTCGTTTTTCACAGATTTTATTCTTATTTTTTTTTTCTAATTCGCTGGCCAGCTAGTTGAGATTATTTTGGAATTTACCAGCAAGATCGATGACTACAAATTATAAAAACTAAAACTTCCGCAAAAACCGCTGTTAACCTACGCCGAAATCTGTGCTTCTAGGAGCGCTGCTAGCCTACACTTTCGCCATTTTTTTCAGAATTCCCGAAAAATCTCTGCCGCTACGATTTCCGACCAATCGCTGCTAACTTGTCCATCTCAAGTTTGTTTTTCCCGAAAATTTGAAAATTGCCGAAAAGAGAAAAATAAAATTTTGCATTCATTGGTAAGAGGATCCCTTCAAAACCTGTTCCGGATTGCCCGCATTTTCCCTCCACAATTTCTGCCGGTTACCTACTTGCTAAACGATATCTGCTAGCCTGCTCGCGCCCCCAAAACTTTGATTGATACGCTAACCACCTAGTCAGCTGCGCCCCCCCTCCGGCTTTGATCGGCCGTCATTAGGCTGGAAATGTCCATCCGGGGCAAAGGAGGCAGAGTGAGAGAGAGGGTGGGAGAGGGTGAGAGAGAGAGAGAACGAGCAGACAAACTCCCGACACCGGAAATCAGATTTCCGGCTTGGGCCGCCTGCCCCGGAGGGCACACCCCGAAGCCTGCATAAATTGGGGGCCCCCGTTTGGAATATGCAAATTACCCTGGCTGCCAAACGGGCGCAATAGCTGTGAATTTTTCCAGGTTCTTGGGAGGGCTAGCAGAGAACATTCGGGATTTTTGGGCACCTCTGGTAATCTGCTCTTTCCTCTTCCTCAACAATTTTTTTGCCTCTCCTTTTTCTTCCCCACATTTCCTTTTCCTCCCCCTCCTTCCCCCAAAATTTTTTTTGTCTCCCCTCCCCCTTCCCTCCACACTTTTTCTCCCCCCCCCCTCCTCCTCCCTCAACAATCTCTGCTAGCCTGCCCTTTCCTCTTCCTCAACAATCTCTGCTAGCCTGCCCTCTCCTCTTCCTCAACAATCTCTGCTAGCCTGCCCTCTCCTCTTCCTCAACAATCTCTGCTAGCCTGCCCTCTCCTCTTCCTCAACAATCTCTGCTAGCCTGCCCTCTCCTCTTCCTCAACAATCTCTGCTAGCTTGCCGGGAACGCTGACAATTTTTATAGCCAATTAATCCGCCCAGATCTAAATGAGGATCCCAGGTGGAATATTTGCCCAATTTTCTCTGCCGTCTCCTCTTCCGCAACAATATTTGCCCCTTGTCGGCGCTCAAAGAAGGAGCGACACCCCCAAATGCACAAATAGTCTGGGCAGCGATCCCGGATCATCCCTTTTGATCGATAATTTGGGCAAACTTGCAGAGATTATTGAGGAAAAGGAGAGGGCAGGCTAGCAGAGATTGTTGAGGAAAAGGAGAGGGCAGGCTAGCAGAGATTGTTGAGGAAGAGGAGAGGGCGGGCTAGCAGAGATTGTTGAGGAAAAGAGGGCAGGCTAGCAGAGATCCTTGAGGAAAAGGGGAGGGCAGGCTAGCAGAGATTGTTGAGGAAGAGGAGAGGGCGGGCAGCGGACTTCAGAAGGTCGGGCTAGCCGGATTTTTCAGGATTTCAAGGCAATCTAAGCATCAAGGTTTCCGCAAGGCATCTCTGCTAGCCTGCCCCTAATTTTACCTCCAATTTGCTTTGCAAAAATCCATTTTTGGGCACGCCACGCGGCACACAGTCCACCCCCCGCATCCCACGCACTTCCCGTTTCACCTTTTGTTATGTGTGTGCGTCTCTCTCTCTCACCCTCTCTCTCTCTCTCTCTCTCTCTCTCTCTCTCTCTCCACCTGTGCGCGGGGCGGTGAGACCGAGATAGCGAGAGCAAATTTCACTTTTCCCCTGTCGCCCTTTTGATTTTCGGAGCGGCGCTAATGTATTGTTAAACTAAAATTTTCTTTAGTATGCTAATTTTTTACTATTTTACTGAAACGGCTGTCACCCGCCCTGTAGAAGCCGCGCAAGGTGGAGTGATGCGTAGTGGCACGTTTTGCCCCCCGACTGCCACCATTAATGGGACCGGACCCATCAGCTTCTCTTCTCTCTCTCTCTCTCTCTCTCTCTCTCTCTCTCTCTCTCGCTTTCCCTCGCTCGCTTTCCATGGTTACGCCACGGCAATTCGAGCCTTTAAAGGGAGTGGGAAGCGAAATTTTTTACGCAATTCCAGGTGTGGAACGTACCTAAGGGGTTTAGACGTCTTTTCTGAGCCTAAGCCTAAGCCTAAGCGTAACCCTACGCCTACTTTTAGCAATTTAGTAGTGTTTTCCATAACAAGCTCTACTTGAAGCGGAAAAATTCTTTAAGAAACCTTCAAAAAATCTAAAAAACTCGAAATTTGTTCGTGAAATCTTCTTTGTATTTTTGAATGGAAATTTGTAAAGTTTTTGCCGTTTAGAACCCTAGGCCCCGATAATGCAAAAGCACCGCCTTTTAATAACCCTCAATAGCCCAGGCTCCATAAATCGGTCATAAATATGTTTGAATCGGAAAATGGGGCCCGGGGTGGGAACGATCTTCTTCGGAAATCGATCCACCCCCGATCCCAGCCTACATTTATGCGGGGCGGAAAGTGACGAGTCCGTTTGGAGCCTGATAACGCTCCCCGTCGCCCAGCCTCACCTCCCAAAAATCGCGTTTCCCCCCACTTTTTATATGTTCTCGCGTTTGTAGGCGAATTCCCTAATGAACTCCGCAAGCCTGCATCGATTCCTGAAGAGTCTCTGTAATCTCGCCTGTAAAAATTCTCTATTAATAGATGCTCGTATCTTTTCGCCCTTTTCCTTGATGGTCACTCTCTCTCTCTCTCTCTCTCTCTCTCTCTCTCTCTCTCTCTGTCTCTCTCTAGCTCTTTTTCCACTCGCACTCTCTCTCAATAAATATCTCGCGCTCTCTGACTATGTCGCTCTCGCACTCTTTATCTCCCGCTCTCTCTCCCTGTCTCTCTCGCAGTCTCTCTCTTCATCTCGAGCTCTCGCTCCCTCTCAATAACGCGCACGCTCTGTCTCGCTTCTGTGCTCTATCTCACTCTCCCTCGCTCGCTCTCTCGCTCTCTATCTCACTCACTCTGTCTCTCGCTCTCTCTCGCTCTCTCGCCCTCTGGGGTCCAATACCTCAAAGAATCTCTGCATACTTGCTGCTTCTCACCAATTTTCAAACGGCTTCCTCAAGTCTGCCTTCGCCTAAAGAGTTTCTGCTAGCTTTCTCAGTCTCGCAAATTTCCCAAAGAGTCTTTGCTATCTTTCCAAGCTGATTCGGCTAGGATCTCTGTTAGCCGAAATCTCACCTAAAACACCACCCGTCCATCTCGTCACTTCGATTGTTTGGAAAGGGGGGTATTTCGGGGGGAGGGAAGAGCCTAATGGTGGTGTCGGGCATCCGTTTCAATCGGATTACCCACCCGGAGGGTTGGAAGTGCCCCAGGGCTGGTAGACCCTTTCCACAGCCATCGCCCTCGAATTTCCGCTCGTTTTTACACCTCCTTCATAGCCCAAAATGGATCCAGCAGACTATCAGAGGTCCTTGAGGAAGCTAAAGTCTGAAACCTTGCCTTCCACCCACTCTCGCCCCGGCTGAAAAAGAACAACGGGGTGAGCACTCGCTCATCTTGCTTGTTCTCCCTCTCTCCCTCTCTCTCTCTCTCTCTCTCGCCACACGAACACGACAATAGGGCTCGTCGACAAGGGCCGCCCAAGATTTATGGCACCCCCCACCCCAAAACTCGAACCCACTTCAAGTGTTTCTACTCGTAGAAGTTTTGCACCGGGCAGGCTAAGCCTAAGCCTAAGCTAAGCCTAAGCCTAAGCCTACGCCTAAGCCTAAGCCTAAGCCTAAGCCTGACTTAGGCCTAAGCCTAGGCCTCAGCCTAATCCTGAACTAGACCTCACCTAAGCCTGACCTAAGCCTAGGCCTCTGTCTAGGCCTAAGCTAAGCCTAAGCTCAAACCTAAGCCCAAGCCTAAGCCTAAGCCTAACTTAAGACTGAACCTAAGCCAAGGCCTAAGCCTGACCCGGCCTAAGCCGAAACCAAAGCATAACCGGACCTCTCCCTGTCCTCAACAATCTCTGCTAGCCTGCCCATCCAATTTCATAGCCCCGGGGCCATACGGTAATCCGTGAAGCCGCAAAATTGGGGCCCGCAATGTAAACGCCCACACCCTAATCCCATTTTCTGGATTCCAGTACGCTTCGCTACAAATCAGAAGGGAAGCTATTTGCGAGATTGCTGGCTCGTTCTCTCTCTCTCTCCTCTCTCTCTCTCGCTCTCTCTCGCTCATTTCCCATTTCTAGGTACCGTCTACGGGTTTGTGCCGTCGCCCCTCTCGGCCCGGCACATCGCGATGAAGGTGGTGCGGGTCAAGAAGGGTGTGGCAGCCATTGTCTTTCTCTCTCTCGCCCTGCTCGCACTCGGGGCTCTCTCGTTTTTCGCCGGTTCGTCGGGAGACGCCGACGGGCATGTGGAGCCACAACGTGTTCGGGATGTGCAGGTAGGTGGAAGAGTTCTTTCTCTCTCTCTCTCTCTCTCTCTCTCTCTCTCTCTCCCTCTCTTTAGCTCTCTCGGACCTTGTCATTTCCTCAAAAAATCTCTGCTAGCCTGCCCTCTTGCAGCACCGCAACAAATTCCGGCCTGAATCCGAGCTGAAGGAGCAGCTGGAAAGACGTCCCGAGGTCGCGCCAGTCAAGCCACGGACGGAACCGGAAGTCGCGCATGAAGGTATCGCTCTCTTTCTCTCTCTCTCTCTCTCTCTCTCTCTCTCTATCTCGCTACCCCTCTCTTTCAGAAATCCACGAACAGGAGCGAAAACTGGAAGAAAAAGAAGAAAATGAGAAGGTGGACGCACTAAGGGCGAAGCTACACCCAGTTGAGCCGACGAAAGCAGCTGCCGATCCGGAGAACGGTAAAATGCTTTCCGGGCAGGCTAGCAGGCATTTTGAGGAAAAAAATCCCAAGAAGATCGTTCAGCTAATGTTTCCTGAAATGTTTCTGCTAGCCTGCCCTCCTCACGAAACTCTGCTAGCCTACCACGATTCCTAAAAAATCACTGCTAGCCTGCCTGGACTTCCCAGCCTCATAAAAATCCTAAAAAATAAAGTTTCTCCTAAAAAACTTTTGCTAACATGGACGCAATGGTTCTGGTTAGTTAGCGGGGGGCTGGCTTGGGTTTAGACTAAGGCTGAGGCTGAGGCTTAAGCTTAGGCTTCGGATTCTCAAGCGGCCTATCGGGAAGTCCCGCTAAATTCCTAATAAATTTCTGCTAGCTTGCCTCGAATTCCCAAAGAATCTCTGCTAGCCTACCACCCTGTCCAACACTTCCACAAATTCGATTTTCAGAAAAACGGAAGGAACAAGTGGTGAAGATGATGCTGCACGCGTGGCACGGCTACCGCAATTATACCTGGGGCGAGAATGAGGTTTTCCTCAATAAACCCTGCTAGCCCGCCCTCTTTTTCAGATCAAGCCAATCTCTGGGCAGCCGAACAACCAGGGGATTTTTGGAGGGGCCGGCATGGGAGCGACCATTGTCGACGCGGCCGACACGCTGTGGCTGATGGGGCTCAAGGAGGAATACGAGCAGGTAGGCGGCTAGCGGAGATTCTTGAGGAACTTTGTCGACAATCCTTAATACCCAGTTTTAGGCCCGGGACTGGATCCGCGACAATTTCGACATGAAAAAGAAGGCGACGGGAACGCTGTCGGTTTTTGAGACGACGATCCGGTTCCTTGGAGGCCTGCTGTCCCTTAATGCGTTGACCGGCGAGGCTTTCTACGTGTAGGTTTTTAAAGGGCGGGTGAAGGCAAGTCTTCAATGGCCCTTTAAAACCGAAAAAATTAGTAATTTTTAGAGCAAAAGCCAAAGATGTCGGCGACTCGCTTTTGAAGGCTTTTAACACGCCGACCGGGATCCCGAAATCGCAACTATCCGTTCAGACAGGGTAGGCAAGCTAGCACACATTGTTGAGGTAGGAGAGGGCAGGCTAGCAGAGATTGTTGAGGAAGAGGAGAGGGCAGGCTAGCAGAGATTGTTGAGGAAGAGGAGAGGGCAGGCTAGCAGAGATTGTTGAGGAAGAGGAGAGGGCAGGCTAGCAGAGATTGTTGAGGAAGAGGAGAGGGCAGGCTAGCAGATATTGTTGAGGAAAAAGAGAGGGCTGGCTAGCAAATATTTTTTAGGCTAGCAATCAGCTGTTAGCTAACCTCGGAAATCTCAGGATTCCTAAAATTTTATTGTTTCCAGCGAGAGCCAAAACTTTGGCTGGGCCTCGTCGATGTCGATTCTCTCCGAGATCGGCACGCTGCACCTCGAGTTCGCCGAGTTATCCCGGATCACCGGCGACCCAGTCTACCTCCAGAAAGTGCAGAAAGTGCGCGACGTGCTCGACAAGGCGCAGAAGCTCGACGGCCTCTACCCCAACTACATCTCGCCGACGGACGGGCGGTTTAGTGGAAGTCAGTGGCGTGCCTCTACGATTTCAACGATCTCTGTCCGCATATAGCTGGAGGTTTTCAGGTCACATCTCGCTCGGGGCGCTCGGCGATTCGTTCTATGAGTACTTGATCAAGGCGTGGCTCTACTCGAATTTCCGGGACGACCAGGCGCGTCGGATGTATTGGGCGGTTAGCGAGAAGATACAGGAAAAGTGAATTTTATCGGTATTTGGATCCCCAATTATCTCTGCTAGCCTGCCCTCTCCTCTTCCTCAACAATCTCTGCTAGCCTGCTCTCTCCTCTTCCTCAACAATCTCTGCTAGCCTGCCTCTCCTCTTCCTCAACAATCTCTGCTAGCCTGCTCTCTCCTCTTCCTCAACAATCTCTCCCGGCCTGCTCTCCTGTCATGCTCCCTTTAACACCCACAGTATCCTCTTCCAGAATGGTCAGCCATTCCCGGTCGAATCTGACGTATCTCGTTGAGTTGCGGAACGGCCGTGCGGAGCATCAGGTGGGTACGGTAGCCTGCCCCAACCGATTACGACATTTAATTCGCGACTTCATAACAATTTATAGATGGGTCATCTGGCCTGTTTTGCGGTTGGGATGTTTGCCTTGGAGGGGCATTACGAGAAAGAGCCGGCCAGGAAGGTGAGAGAGAGAGAGAGAGTGAGAGAGAGAGAGCGAAAGAGCGAGAGCGAGCGGGAGTGAGAGAGAACTAACTAGATATTTTGCAGGCCCGTGTCCAAAACCTTGCTGAAGAGCTCGGGCGAACCTGCCACGAATCGTACATCCGCTCCGAGAGCCACATCGGCCCTGAAATGTTCTATTTTATCGGCCAGGAGGACGCGACCGCCAAGTACGGCTTAAGCTGTTTCTCGACAATCTCTGCTAGCTTGCTATCCTTCGGATGTTGGCAAGCAGGCAGAGATTCTTGAGGAACCCCCAAAAATTGCAGACAAACCGGCGCCAACGGCTACATCTTGCGCCCCGAGGTGATCGAGGGGTGGTTTTATCTATGGCGGCTGACGGGGAAACAGGTAGCGCGCTCTGAAATTTCTTTCCGCAAAGGATCTCTGCTAGCCTGTCCAGATTTAACTGATTTCTTCCAGATGTACCGCGATTGGGTGTGGGACGCCGTCGAGTCGATGGAGAAGTGGTGCAGACGGGAAAAGGGATATGTAGGGTTGCAGAATGTCTACAAACCAGAACAAGTGAGCTAGCAGAGATTGTTGAGGAAGAGGAGAGGGCAGGCTAGCAGAGATTGTTGAGGAAGAGGAGAGGGCAGGCTAGCAGAGATTGTTGAGGAAGAGGAGAGGGCAGGCTAGCAGAGATTGTTGAGGAAGAGGAGAGGGCAGGCTAGCAGAGATTGTTGAGGAAGAGGAGAGGGCAGGCTAGCAGAGATTGTTGAGGAAAGGAGAGGGCAGGCTAGCAGAGATTGTTGAGGAAGAGGAGAGGGCAGGCTAGCAGAGATTGTTGAGGAAGAGGAGAGGGCAGGCTAGCAGAGATTGTTGAGGAAGAGGAGAGGGAAGGCTAGCAGAGATTGTTGAGGAAGAGGAGAGGGCAGGCTAGCAGAGATTGTTGAGGAAGAGGAGACGCCAAGCTAGCAGTGATCATTTGGGAATTCCAGGGCGCCGACGATGTGCAGCAATCCTTTTTCTTGGCCGAGACCCTGAAGTACGCCTACTTGACGTTTACCGAAGATACGGTAATGGCGCTCGACGCTTGGGTCTTTAATACCGAAGCACATCCACTGCCCGTCAACAAGGAGTACCCGATGAAGGAGCAAGCCGCGGCCCAAGCCTAAGCCAAGCCTCCAAGCCATGTTATTCGCCTTATCTTCTCGATTTCCCGGTTCCTCTAACAAGGAGTAGCTTTTAGGTGCTTTTGGAGTTTCTGGACGGGACCTAGCTAGTTCGATAGAGAAAAAATTCTGAACACCATACCATTTTCAAAAAGTGCTGATCGATAAAGGAATCTTAGAAAATTTAATTTAAAGTTCGCGCTTTTTTCTAGTTTTCGGGTCCATTTCCTCGGTTGACGTCGTTTTCGGGGCTGGGCAAGGCGCCATTCATAACATTCCGCCAAGGCCTCCATCACAGGTTGCATTGGCGTATTGGTAGTGCGCTCGCCTACCAACTTTTTAACATTTTTTTGCCTCGGGTTCGATTCTTCGCGCCGGCTAACCGTTTGCTTTTTGGGTCTTGAACCCGTTATCGGCGCATAAAATTTTAATTCTCAAAAAAGCAAAAAGTTAACGATAAATAAGAATCGAACTTGTGGCAAAAGTTCAAAAAAACTTCGTAGGCCCACGCACTAGCCACTTGGCTATGCCTAGGACGGGATCCAGGGCGCGTGAAGTCCCCATGTGGCAGGGCCGGTCGACCGCCGCAAATCACCTCAAATCACCACAAGGGTTCGGGTACCGGGAACGTTTTTACTTAAATTAAATTTTCGAAAACACCTTTATCGATCAGCACTTTTTGAAAACGGGATATTGCTCAGAATTTTTTTCTCTATCGAACTAGCTAGGTCCCGTCCCGAAACTCCAAAAGCACCTAAAAACGACTCCTTGTAAGACGATTCATAGCCCACCCCCACCCCAGGTTTTTATAGATTCTATGGATTTCTCCCTATCGGGTTTCCCTCAACACCCTTAGACTTTACTTTACTTCCCGCGCCCTTTAGAAGCCAGAAAACCGCCATTATTTTGCGCAGATTCCTACAGTACCCCCTTGTTTCTTGTCATTTTTTAATACCCTGGTCGAAGAAAGGTACGGGTACCGCCCCCCACACAATTTTCCCAGTTTTATGATCTTTTTGTTGCTCCCTCTTTCCCCCCCCCCCCCCCCCCCCCCCCCCCCCCCCCCCTCCCCCCCCCCCCCCCCCCCCCCCCCCTCTCTCTCTCTCTCTCTCTCTCTCTCTCTCTCTCTCACTCTCTCACTCTCCCTGTGTCGCTGTTTGCCATCACAATTACCCGCTGTGATATTCAACAAGGAGCTGTATGCCTCCAAGAGTTTTTATTGGGTCCACATTTTGGTACGAATAAATCATAAACCAAAATGCTGATTCCAATAACACAAATACTCAAAAAATTCGAATGCACAACATTTGATATTTAAATACAAAAACGTGGCACCATACCGTTCTCCTCAACAATCTCTGCTAGCCTGCCCTTTCCTCTTCCTCAACAATCTCTGCTAGCCTGCCCTTTCCTCTTCCTCAACAATCTCTGCTAGCCTGCCCTTTCCTCTTCCTCAACAATCTCTGCTAGCCTGCCCTCTCCTCTTCCTCAACAATCTCTGCTAGCCTGCCCTCTCCTCTTCCTCAACAATCTCTGCTAGCCTGCCCTCTCATCGTCCTCAACAATCTCTGCTAGCCTGCCCTCTCCTCTTCCTCAACAATCTCTGCTAGCCTGCCCTCTCCTCTTCCTCAACAATCTCTGCTAGCCTGCCCTCTTCTCGTCCTCAACAATTTCAATATCCTGGACGCACGGAAACCCTCCTGGACGCTCTCATCTGCCTCAACAAGCGGCTTCGCAAAAGATCAAAAATTTCCATAGGAGCAATTGCATCCCGGGAAGAGAAGGTGCTTAGCATGTGGCGGTCATAAAACTTACTGCAATTTATTGCGTAACTTACTCACTGACTACTACAATGACTACCACGTCGACTTCTATTCAACTGAATGTGGGTGGTTTTTTCTTGCCGTCAAGCCATTGCCTTAAGGCGTTCATTCCGAGACTATGCCTTTTAGACGATCAGCCGCTTGCACCGGCGAGTCGAGGAGGCGAAGCTCGAATTTGGCAAGGCGTGCGAGCGCGAGGAAGCCCTTGCCGAAGAGTTGGGCCGACAGGTATATCATTTTTTGTGGGCAACCTAGAAAGGAAAAGAAACAACCGCTGCCTAAGCAAAAGCCTAAACCCACGCATAGCAGCCTAACCTAAGGTTCAGCCTAAGCTTAACAAAGGCCTTAGCATTAGCCTAAGCCTACAGGTTGCAAAAAAAAGACACATTTGGGTCGAAATAACTCCGAACATAAGAATCGAAGTGCTTACCATCCAAATCTTAAATATCTGCATAAGATTTAACACAACTTATTTTTTCGATTTTATACCAACTTACTATTACCTTTACGACCGAAAATTTCTTCTTGAACGCGGTTGAAAATTTGATTTTTGCCTAAAATATATACATTTTAAAATTAATGGAAAATCTTAGAATTTATCAGTCAATTTCATTTTTTAAAGCAAAACAATTTTCTATTTTCTTATTTTTTTCTTTAATTATAACTCCTTATAACTCCTCCTATCTATATTTTTCAATGACCTATCCAAATACTAATTCCATTCCACACCAAATTCCACCACAATCTATTATTTTTTATTCTCTAAAACGTCCCCCACGTACTGTAATTTCTTTTTCCCCTTTTCTCGGGCCCCTACTTCATCCGCTGAAATTTTTTTTAGCAATAAGTATGGCACCTTCTCCAAATACGAGACTACTATCCACAAACTTCAGAAAAAGACTAAAAACTATTTTTAATCCTCACAAAATTTTAAATTTTTTGTCAATTGTCCAAAACTCTACTATTATTTTAAAACATCAACAATTCCATGCAAAACCCACAAAATCGCAAATTTCTTTTCTACATAACCCCTGGAGCCTTTTACATGCCATCACAAAATTCCATAAATACGATTTTCATCGAGGGCCCTCTAGAGCGATTTAAGACACCTTAAAATACTGATTTTGTTAAATAACAATTACACCAAGTCAAAACAAGCCAGACCGATTTTGTCCAGTAGCCGGTCAATTTTCGAATTATTAAAAAAAAAACCACCTAATCTTTGATACGATTATACTTTATGTTATTATTTACCCTTCAAATTCCACAATCTACCCAAAATTATTACTTTCACTCAAAATCAAATCACCCTATTCCAAAATCGAAGTTTAAAATTCTTTAAAAAAATTTTCGACGGAAAATTTCTTAGTCTTTGCATAGTTTTATTCAACTGATAGCACGACATATTGCTCAAAATATCCCTACGACTCCACCTTCCAAAATTTTTTACGCAACCTCGAATTCGGTTTATTTCGGTTTTGATAATTTTCCTGCCCAACCGCTGGTTAAAAAAATTCATGAATAAGGCTTTAGGATGCGCTATTCAAATTATATCAGATAAAAATAAAACGAAATTTTCACACCATTAAATTTCATAAAATGTGACAAATTCAAAAGCACAACAACCTTTTGAGCCCTAAAGACCCCTTCCAAAGGGTACTCTCATTTCTAGATATAATAACCCCAACTACAACTAACAAAGAAAACTACCCCTTTGCAATCTAGAAATATTTTTCCAAATTGTTTCAACCAAAATCCATGACCAGGGGTCTTAAAACTCGAAAATTCTCGATCTCAAAAATTCTTTAATATTTATATTACCCTTACAAAACTATTTGTTTTCCCATAGTTTTTTATATTAAAAATTTAAAATTCTCCATAAATTTCTCCCAACTTTACCACCCTCAAAAATTTTAATTTTTATATTCCTATATTACTTACTAATAAAATTATCACCACCACAAAAAAATACAAATATTCAACAATTTTCATTTAGGGTATCCAAAAATCAAAAATCAATTTTATTTTCCAATATTTATTATACACCCATTTCTACCTTATTATTTACCCAAACTTCCTTTTTTCACACCCTTAGCCTAGGCCTTAACAGGTGCTTATCCAACTTTGCTTTAAGTATGCTTAGCCTAGCATAGCTTTAGGTTTGAGCCTAAGCACCGCCTATCTCAGCTTACCCAAGAAGCCCGAGTAGGCGCCTTAGGGGGCACGGCTTAGTTTGGTACGACTCCAGATAACCCCCCAGCCGGCACCCAACTTTTGTATCTCGTCTGCCTGTTCATCTACAGGTGTGTAAAGTATACCAAAATGTTCGTCTTGCTCTCGCGAGTATTTTGGTATATTTTACACACCTGTAGATGAACAGGGAGCCGAGATACGGTAGGTGGGGGTCGGCTGGGGGGTTATCTGGAGTTTAGCCCTTAGTTTACTTGGCTTCAGCTAAACCTGCGCTCGGTTGCAATGAAAATGAATGATAATGAAAACTGCTGTCAAGCCAATTTTTTTCAGGAGGCAATCTACGACTCGGTGAACAAGTATCTGCACCTCGTCGTCAAGGAAGAAGAGGACGGCATCCGGGCGGACTGGCAAGCCCAAGACGAAGCGCGGCTGACTCTCGGTGGCGTGGAGACGTGCCCCGAGTCGAAAGTGCCGGTATGCTTGATGTTTTGATTTGGCATTGACTTAAAGGGATACCCAAGGTTTTGGCTGCAAATACATAGTTATGGATTCCGGGCAGTACAAATGACGCGCGAATTTTGTGCGGCAACGGCTGGGGCACAGATTGGCACTCCCACTTGTGGCTTCCCCATCCCACCCAATGGCTTGCCACTATGGCCAATTGGATCGCTACAAACCGCGTTCCAGCAGTCTCTTCCCGTGGTGACAACCGTTTTTCAGGTGCTGGTGACCTCGGAGCAAGCCTACTGGGACCCGCTGCTGAAGTGGTTCGAGCGATCGCTGTGTGCCGGAGAAGCCGCCGCTAGGGGCCTGTACACCGACGTGAGCACCAAAGAGCTCTCCAAGGTACGCTTGTAGGCAGCTTGGCTTTTGTTTCACTTAGGCTCTTGGCTTAGGCTTAGACTTAGGGACTTAGGCTTAGGCTTAGATTTAGCTTAGCCTTAGGCTGAGGTTTGGGCTTAAGCTAGGGCTTAGGTTAAGGAGTAAAGAAAGTAACTTGAATTTTGCCATTAGTTTTTCGATCTACGATAATATTTATTTGCAGCTTCTCACGACGGCGCTGCGATCAAACGTCGACGAGGCTTTCCGCGAGTGGAAGGACGCCCGAGTTGCGACCCTGGAGAAGCGAGGCCGCTACCGAGAGCTTGTGGGTGCTTGTGTGCTTGACTGAACTATCTGCCTTCACCAACCTCCTTTGTAGTGAGACACGCACGGCCTTTTTCAGCAGACACAGAGCGTCGGACTGACGATCGGCTTCTACGACTCCAAAGAGCAGACACGCGCGGATTAGCAGACGGCCAACCATGGGCTGACACCTTCGGAAAGGATACGCACGACGACAACGACGATGACGAAACCGTTTTTGTTTGCTTTTCCTCATTATTGCCGTGTGAAATAAATTTGTGTACGATACGGTACGATACAGTGACTACCAAATTCGCAGAATGCCGCCTCTAAACAGAGTTTTTGAGCCTGGAAGTTCTGAATAAATTTATCATAAAAATTAAGTTTTTATTTTTTGCCCCTTAAGCTTCTTTTGTTAAAAAGTCGACAGTTGCTTAGGCGTAGCTTAGGCTTCGACTTAAGCTTAGGCTCACAGCGTCCTCCCCTCACCCTGCCATACTTGTTAAATAAAGATATAACACGACCAATACAGCCAATCAGTTCAAAATCGCGTCCAAGACATCCTGCGAAAATCTTTATATACATAGACTAGTACGAGGGACTACAAAACACACGATATCTACATACATATACACGTTGCACATTACGGGGACAAGTCACGAGGCAGGGGGAGGTCAGTAGTCGTCCGCCGAGTGGGGATCACCACAGCTCCATCGTGATGTTCGTCTTCAGGTTGACGGCGATGTGGTAGGGTAGATAGGGCATGAGGTGGAAACCGCTGTACAGCTCGATGTCACGGATGCGGGCCGTGTAGGAGAGGAGGAGGCGATCGGTTGGCTGGAATCAAGAAATAAGTGATTTCTGCTAGCCTGCCCTCTTCTCTTCCTCAACATTGTCTGCTAGCCTGCCCTCTCCTCTTCCTCAACAATCTCTGCTAGCCTGCCCTCTCCTCTTCCTCAACAATCTCTGCTAGCCTGCCCTCTCCTCTTCCTCAACAATCTCTGCTAGACTGCCCTCTCCTCTTCCTTAACAATCTCTGCTAGCCTGCCCTCTCCTCTTCCTCAACAATCTCTGCTAGCCTGCCCTCTCCTCTTCCTCAACAATCTCTGCTAGCCTGCCCTCTCCTCTTCCTCAACAATCTCTGCTAGCCTGCCCTCTAAATTCTGAGGGGCTACGGAACCAACCAGACAGTTGGGGTCCTCGAAGTCCATTGGCACGAGGAAGGAGAGAGTGCGGGTCGCAGCCGGTTCTAAAACGAACATTTTTGGGGCAGGCTAGCAGAGATGTTTAGGGAAACGTGGCTAACAGTACCTTGGCAGTAATATTCTTGGAGAAAGTTGTTTTCGCACCTCACGATGATACGGTAGGCGTACCAGCGCGATCGGCTGTAAGTGAGTCTGTTAAAGGGCGTGAGAGAGAGAGAGAGAGAGATAGTGAGAGAAGTCAGCACGTACAAGTGAGTGTAGCCAGAATACACGACGATCCCGAGCTGCTTCTCCTGCCATTCCCAGACCAGCTTTTGCAGCGGCTCCCAAATCTTGGACCAGAATTGCGGCGTAGCGGCCGGGGGGTTGCCTTGTTCTGGAATGGAAGGTGCTTTGGCGTTATCGGGGGGAGCGACCTTTTGCGTGTAGGGATGTAAAAGCGCATTCCGGAATACCTACCTAACCTCTCGAATTGGGCGAAACGGCCAGGCGAGCCCGGCCATGGGCCATGATGCGATTCGATGTAGAGACGGCCTGAGCGCAGGTTTAGAAGAGAGAGAGAGAGACCGAGACAGCGAGATAGAGAGTACCTTCCCGGTGAGGCACCATCGTGGCGATCACGATCCCTTGCTTTTCTGATCGCAGGCAATACGCATGGGTGCCCGCCATCGTCTTGAACGGCATCAGCTAGAGCAGAGAATTTTCGGAAGCGGAAGCTTGGTTCATATCCCGTTCTTTCAAGGGTTCATATCCCCCTTAAAAACACAAGCACCAGAAGCTTGTTTACCATAGGCGCCCGGTAAGGTGTCTTCCACATCATGGCGTTGTGCTTGCAATCACTAAACGGATTTGGGTTAGGCTGTTTCCGGTATTCGACTCTTAGCGGGGGGAGGGGGTTAGTAGAGATTGTTGAGGAAGAGGAGAGGGCGGGCTAGCAGAGATTGTTGAGGAAGAGGAGAGGACAGGTTAGCAGAGATTGTTGAGGAAGAGGAGAGGGCAGGCTAGCAGAGATTGTTGAGGAAGAGGAGAGGGCAGGCTAGCAAAGATTGTTGAGGAAGAGGAGAGGGCAGGCTAGCAGAGATTGTTAAGGAAGAGGAGAGGACAGGTTAGCAGAGATTGTTGAGGAAGAGGAGAGGGCAGGCTAGCAGAGATCGTTGAGGAAGAGGAGAGGGCAGGCTAGCAAACCGCTTGCAGGTTACGGTACGCAAAAGCATACTCCATGTCCTTGGACCCATCGTAGAACGGGTCCTCTCGATCGTTTTTCGGCATTTTCAAGGCCGGCCACAGCTTGCCCAGCGTGCCGTTGTTGCGCACCGGCTCGACGCCGAGGATTTCTGAAATTGGCCGGAGATTACCGTAGTTTTAAAGGGGTTGTGACAGCTGAAATTAAAATGCTCTTCTATCCCCAAAAAGCAAATTCCGCCAGGAATTCCCGCTAGTTTGCCCCTGCCCTAAAAAACCTCACCACTAAACAAATTGTAGTATTCGACGTTCTGGAAGGGAGCGAGCAGGGCTCCGCGCTTGAACGCCGGCCCCATCGCGTAGAAGACGGTCGTCATCTGGAACGGGGCGGAATTTTCGCGACTTTTTTGCCTTTAAGGGGCATTTAAAGGGCCCTTACGGGCAAGTACCAGCCTCCGGCGCCAAGTAGTCCCATCCGTGGTTGCTGCCCAGCACGTCTTTTCCCGGCTCGAGGCTAAAATTGCTTAAAAAGCGTCCTTCTCCGCAGGGGTTTCTGCTAGCCTGCTCTGCCGTAAAGCGCGAAAAAATTACACTTTGAACTCGACGCCCGGCTCGGAGAGCAGGAAGATATCGCCGACGCGCGGGTGATCCGAGAAGTGGAGCCTGGAAATGGGATTTCTCTCTCTCTCTCTCTCTCTCTCTCTCTCTCTCTCTCTCTTTCTCTCTCTGTCTCTCTCACTCTCACCTCGGCGGAAGCAGCTTCTTGTCGTAGATTTTGAAGCCGTCTCGCGGCCTTTCGCATTTGGCCTTCTCGAAGTAGGCGGAGGGAAGTGGACCTAGAAAAAACGGGTACTCGACTGTTAGCGGGGGGGGCAAATTTCCCAAGTCAGCCCGTATTGCTGCAATCAAAAACCGACCATTTTCACCCCGGTGAATCCGGGTAACCACCCCCGGCAGGGTCTGCTCGCCGCCGAAGTCGTATCCGCTCAGGTCGACGTTTCGCCTGACGTCCATAAAGCCTAAATGGTCGCTGCTTGGGCTTAAGCTTAGGTTTAGGCCTAGGCCACCACCAAAAAGTACCGTGATCGGACAGGAAGGCAAAATTCGTGCAGCCCAAACGACCCGTCTGGTAGAGCTCGTTTAGGAATTTCGCCATTTCCGTGTCGAGCCGCTCCAAGACGGTTCTCACCTGAACATTTTTTGTATCGAAAATGAAGCGCTGCTCCTCCTCAAAAATCTCTGCTAGCCTACCTCGTTCGAATCGCCCTTGAATCCGTGTCTCGTCGCGTCCGGCTCGTCCATGTAGCCGAGGATCAGGCTAGGGCGATCGGCGGATGGTTTCGCGAGTTGCTCCAGCACCCAGCCGAACACCTCGCTCATCTGCCGGTTCGGCTGGTAGGGTTCGGTGATGAATGGTGATTCTGTAGGTATGGCTGCGTGAAGCCTAAGCCTAAGCTTAAGCCCAAGACTAGCCGAAGTCTAAGCCTAAGCCTAAGCCTACGCCTAAGCCTACCTGGGTAATGCGGACAGCCAGGGAACTGGAAACAGGCGACCTTCTTCCCGGTCTGCCGGTGGAACGTCGTCCAAAACTGCAAAAAAACTTTCACAGACTTTCAAGTCGAGGGCAGTCCAGCAGAGACTCTTGCGGAAACGGAAAATCCCTCACCGGCTCTCCGCTATCGTAGAATTGACGCTCGGTGGGGCTCGGTTTTCGGATGTCGATAGGCCGCGCCTTGATCCTCGGGTCGTACATCTGAAAAATGGAGCTCCAAATTCCTCTTCTTCCTCAAAATTTGCTCCTCTTCCTCAAAAATCTCTGCTAGCTCGCCCCGCCCGCTCTCAAATAATCTCTGCTAGCTCACCCAGGCATCGACGATCCCGTGAAAGCCGGGGTAGAGCCCGGTGGCGATGCTCATATGGTTCGGAAACGTCTTGGACTGAAACGACGGGAAGACGCCCTGAAAATGGGCTTTAAAGGAGCATTCAAGTCTTGAGAATTCCGCACAGCACCTCTGCTAGCCTGCCCTACTCGGGGGACGTTTCAAACAGTAAAAATCCAATATACCTCCGCCTTCACCCCTCGCTCGGCGATAAAGTCAAAATTGCGCAGGATTCCCCGGTCGAAATAATCCTTGGCCAGGCCGTCCATCGAGAAGATGACCAGCGGGATGTTGTCAGGACTGGAACCAGATCAAATGGTCTTTGCTGGCTGCCTATGCCCCTCAATTCAAGGTCCCTTTAAAAGCCCTACTCGCATTTTCCATCCTCATCAGCCCGAAGTGTCTCGTAGTGCCAGGCGTACTTGGCGGCATCGAGCGAAACGGGATTGCCTGGAAATGTGAGGCTAGCAGAGATTGTTGAGGAAGAGGAGAGGGCAGGCTAGCAGAGATTGCTGAGGAAGAGGACAGGGCAGGCTAGCAGAGATTGTTTAGGAAGAGGACAGGGCAGGCTAGCAGAGATTGCTGAGGAAGAGGACAGGGCAGGCTAGCAGAGATTGTTTAGGAAGAGGGCAGGGCAGGCTAGCAGAGATTGTTGTGGAAGAGGATAGGGCAGGCTAACAGAGATTGTTGAGGAAGAGGAGAGGGCAGGCTAGCAGAGATTGCTGAGGAAGAGGACAGGGCAGGCTAGCAGAGATTGTTGTGGAAGAGGATAGGGCAGGCTAACAGAGATTGTTGAGGAAGAGGAGAGGGCAGGCTAGCAGCGTTCATTTGTGCACCTCACCTCTCGGCAACGCGATAAAATAGTAGCCGGCGCCGGCCGCGCCGGCTGCCAACGCCGTCAGCCCTATGAGGATGACAACCTAAATTCCGCTCGGCTCCAAACTACGAAAATCACCTCTTTGAAAGTTGGCAGCCGGAAGTGGTTGGGAGAAACTGTATCAAATACGATAAGCTTGATTTTCACGGGCTAAATACCTTTTGGGAACCCATCAATGACAATCGCCTTTTTTGGCTTTGCTGTCTGTTGCGTCGGCATGCGGAGGGGGTCGCTGAAATTTAGTTGATCTTTTGATTACCTGAATAATGATTTCTACCTTAAGACTAGTCAGTTTTATCCTTGAAAAAGGTCTAAAATTTCAATAGCTACGATTTGTTGAGGGCGTAGCCCAATAGCCCGGCAAGCAACAGCCAAATCTTGGGCGATGCTGGCCGTCAATGGGGGCTTTTTGGAAATTGCACGGATTCAGATTTGGTATTCACCTAGCGCCCTAATGATACTAACTACCAAATTTGAATATTTATGGGTTTTTGAGAAAGCGCTGCTGCTTCCTCCTCCCCCCGCTAATAGCCCAGTATCGTAAAAACAAAGCATTATTTCTTTTCAAAATCCGGCTTCCTGGTTCCTTTAAAAAATTAAAAACAACCTCGGTAGATATTATAGTATTTAAAAACCTCATTTTTCCTTCTTTTTGTGCCATTTCATTTAGCCATTTTTCATCACAAAAATCTACGTATTTCTAAGAATTTTTGACTTACTCGACACTTCCATATTTTGCCATTTTCGGGCTCAACTTTCGACTTCATTAATGTGCATTTAAAATGGCAAGAAAATTGGAATATTTTGGTATGTTAATCGTGAAAATTGCCCCGGAAGATCAGGGCATAATCGAATAGAGAAGCGGCGGGGAGAAATGATAAGGCTCGGGGAAAGGTTGATAGCTAGTCTAGGCTAGGCCCGCAGATTTGGATATTTTTGGAAATTCTGATATTTCATAAAAACTTACAAAAAATTTGGGAAATTGCGTGAAAAAGAATTTTAAACAGGTCATGCAAAAAAATGAACTGTTTTGTTATGTCCTCCAACGCCTATTCTTTGGCTGGTTGACTCAGAAAGCTTTTTAGACCGGAAAAACTTTGTGAATTGTTCTAAAAGCCTACAGAATTTCTGCCTGTCTCCATCTCTCTCCCTCTCACTCTTTGCTCTCTCTCGCTCTCTCTCGCTCTCTCTCTAACTCTATCGCTCTCTTTCGCTCGCTCGCTCTCTCCCTCTCCCTCCTCTCACTCTCTAACTCTATAGCTCTCCCTCTACTGCTCTCTCACTCTATCACTCTCTCACTCTCTCACTCTTTCTCTCTCCCTCTCTCTCTCTCTCTCGCTCTCCCTCTCTATGTTTCTCTCGCTCTCTAAAATGTCAATAAAATAAAATAAATCTTTATTCACAAAAATACAGAATGATACACGAGTACGGTGGGAGGATAAATCGTATTTTCACATTCACAACCCATCAGCGAACAACCAAGAGGAAAAACGACGATTTTAAAGGGAGTGTGACAGCTGGGAGCGAAGCATAACCTAAGCGTAAGCCTATGCCCACGTTTAATGCTAAGCCTGAGCCTGAGCCTAAGCTTAAGCTAAGCCCAAGCCTAAGCCCAAGCCGAAGCACTTACCTAAGTTCACCCCGCTGTCACGCTCCCTTTAAAATGATCGACACGCGGCTATCACAATAATTCGTGTGGAGGAAAAGCTGGGCGTTCAAGTGAAATGTTACACAACCAAAAAACAAACACCGAAAAACCGGATTACGGTACCGCGAGAAAAATAGGAAAAATTTCTATAAAAAAATCAGGTGCAAAATACGGCGTTACGATAGCTTATTACGCAGCTGGCAAAGAGATCCGGCTTGAAAAAAACACACTCGAAAAACGCTAAAATAATTGGCTACAACTCGAATCCGTGGAATAGTTTTGGAGAGGCGGGGGCTGATATGGCGCGTGGACGGCGAAGGGCACATTTTAGTGGGGCGGGGGGAAGCTGGGAGCAGGGGTACGGTAGGTGGTGGTATTATCACAACGGAATCTGGGCCGGCATGCAGTAAGGCAATGGGGTTTTGAAGCGGATGGAGTGTATATTGGGGAGTTCCTGGTATTAAAGGGACCGGGAAGGCAGGAATTTTCTGTCTCTAGCTCTGACACACGCTCTCGCTCTCTAACTCTCTGTCTCTCTCGCCTTCTCAGTCCCTTTAAACCCCAAAAAATGAGCATATCAGGCCTATTTGTGAAAGGAGCGGCACTTGTCGAGGAGGAAGGACAGGCTGGGGAGGCGGTCATGGAGGGCCAGCGCGTCCAACGACAGCTCCGACGGCTTCAGGTGAACGGTCTGGCGTTGCTGATGGCCACCGGATGCGGATTGTTGTAGAAGGGAGGAAACCAGGTCCGCGCTGAAAAATATTAAATAATCCCTGCTAGCCTGCCCTATCCTCTTCCTTACACAATCTCTGCTAGCCTGCCCTCTCCTCTTCCTCAACAATCTCTGCTAGCCTTCCCTCTCCTCTTCCTCAACAATCTCTGCTAGCCTTCCCTCTCCTCTTCCTCAACAATCTCTGCCAGCCTGCCCTCTTCTCTTCCTCAACAATCTCTGCTAGCCTTCCCTCTCCTCTTCCTCAACAATCTCTGCTAGCCTGCCCTCTCCTCTTCCTCAACAATCTCTGCTAGCCTTCCCTCTCCTCTTCCTCAACAATCTCTGCTAGCCTTCCCTCTCCTCTTCCTCAACAATCTCTGCTAGCCTTCCCTCTCCTCTTCCTCAACAATCTCTGCTAGCCTTCCCTCTCCTCTTCCTCAACAATCTCTGCCAGCCTGCCCTCTCCTCTTCCTCAACAATCTCTGCTAGCCTGCCCTCTCCTCCTCCTCCTCAACATTCTCTGCCAGCCTACCTGTTCTGCATAGATCCCGGCAGCTGCTTCGACGAGGTGGTGGTGGACAGGCCGAGCTGCTCAAGATCCCTAAAAAGTCATGTTCTACAATATTCCATTGCTACCGTACCTCTCCAAGAAAGCAGCACTCGACGTGACCGTCTGCGGGCCCTTCGGATCAAAGAAATCGACGTCAAGCAGGGTGGAGCCTGGGGAGGAGCCGCCTGAAAATTTTGGGGTTTGGTGGGGCAGGCTAGCAAAGATTATTGAGGAAGGGAGTTGAGGAGGAGACTTGCATACCAGATTTCAGGGGGTTAACAAGTCCGGCATCGGCCCAGTTGAAGTCGGCCGGCGGGACGGCGAGCGAGTCGGCCATCTTGAACGGGGGCGGGGACTGGAAAGGCGGGGTTTTCAGGCTGAATACGAGTTTTTTAACATTTAGGTGAGTGCAGAGTACACCCCTGTACTGCAGGTTACGGTAGAGTCCAAAAAACACTCGATTAGATACCCGAAATGAATCAGGGTTTGAAAAGAAACGTGAACTAGGCTTAAGCCTAAGCCTAAGACTAAGCCCAAGTGAACGTGGACAAGTTTAGAAGCACCCAAATTCGCGCATTTCCGCATTTCCCTCTGTTAGCCCGACCACCCCCGAGAACAGCGAGCGCTACCGAAGATTTGCTCCTTGCCGCAGCCGCCGGCTGGCTGCCGCCCGCGCCGCTACCGCTCTCCGCGCGACGGCTTGAGCTCCAGAAGCGGAGCGACCGGCGTGAGAACCAGGTACGCTGAGGTTGGAGCTGTAACGGATACAGGGTGTGTGATGGGAGAGATAGTGAGCAAGAGAGAGAGAGAGAGAGAGGCAAAGAGAGAGAGAGAGAGAGAGGGCGAGAGAGATCCTTACCGACGGCTTCAAAACTTAGTCATTTTTACGGCTCCCTGACCTTTACCTGATCATGATTAGCTGGCGTAATCGATCCCCCGGCGCCGTTTTGCTTGGTGGTAATCGATGTGCCGCTTCCGCTTGTCGACAGCGTCACCGGGCGGCCACCGCGACCACTGAAAAACTCAGTTTTTAAACAATTGAAATCAAATTAAATAATTTTAAATTGTAATTTTAACAGAAACCAGGGTTGAAAAGCCACTTCGCGACTTTTCAACCCTGGCCCCGATTTATCCTATGAGAATTCACGACTTGAATAATTTTCTCGAACCACAACGCCAAAAATCAAAAAAAAAATACGCCTTCGGTCCCTTTATATAGGGTTTCCTCGCTTCCGGTGCATGCTAATTGATTTCTAACAAAGTGCAGGACCGAGATTTTTTACAAAAAACTATTTTTAATATCGAAAATACCACTTTTTCCGCAATTTTGCATGTGTGCAGTCATCGCAAGACCATTACACACCTAAAGAGGTATGATGCATACCTCAAACTCCCTCCCCAGACCCGCTTTTGCTGGTACACCCAGACGGAAGTTGCATTCAAATGCACACACACACACAGACACTATTTTTTTATATATAGTAGGATTCGGTTCACCCCCCTCGATATTGAAAAGCATCGATTCTTTTCGCAACTTTTCAGCATTTTTCAAGCTTTTTGGATCCCCTAAAAAGCCCGGCTCCATCCCCGGCGCCCTTCACATTAACTCAGAAATTCCAATCGTGTGCACTTCACCCCCCCACCCCCTTGGGGTGTGGCAGGAGTACTGGAGCGGAAAAATTCATTGGCAGCCCCCTAGGGGTGGCCGCAATTATCTTTACTGAGACATGAGAGAGGGCCCAGGAAATGGGCCCTTTTAGATGCCCGTCCAGCCACATCACTACCATACAATCGCCTATGCATCCGGAAATCACGGGATTCCGTGGCAGTCCGGGGGGTACGGTAGCGGGATGCGTTGCTATCGAGGATGAGGAGAGGGCAGGCTAGCAGAGATTGTTGGGGAAGAGGAGAGGGCAGGCTAGCAGAGATTGTTGAGGAAGAGGAGAGGGCAGGCTAGCAGAGATTGTTGAGGAATAGGAAAGGGCAGGCTAGCAGAGATTGTTGAGGAAGAGTAGAGGGCAGGCTAGCCGAGAACATTTTCAAAAGCCCGACCTATTCTCTCCAATCGGCGTCGGCACGAGGACGGCGTCGGACAGCGCCTGCGTCGTCGTCGTCGTGCGGATAGCGTGCTGAATTGAATTGATTTGAGGAGTTCCCCAATGATCTCTGCAGCCTGCCGTCGACTTCAAGAAATGCACGTATTTTGATACCTTATCGACTCCCAGGGCTTCATGAAACAAGGCTTCCAGGGCCGAGTCTGGGAACTGGTAGCGCAGGGAGACGGCCTCCTCGACGATGCGCAGCGCCAGCCAAATCTCTGAGCATCTGGAAATAGAGGTACTTGAGGTTTTTTAGACATTCTTCCTATCTCTCTCACTCTCTCTCTCTCTCTCTCTCGCTATCCCCAAGTGCAACTGGCTACGCCATGAAATTCGTACCGGGATACAATCTCCGACACGAGCATCGATGGCTCCTCGCCAGCGTCGAGCGTCTCGCGAATCGCAAAAACATGAGCATCTTCTGGGCGGTCGTCGGGGTACTCCTGAAAAAAATATTCACGTCTCTCTCTCTCTCTCTCTCTCTCTCGCGCGCTTTCTCTGACCTCATCAACCAGCAACCCATCAAAATCCGTCGAGATCGCCAGCTTGTCGCCGATCAGCGGGAGTGAGATCTGAAATTAGGGCATTAAAGGGAGAGCGAGCGAGCGAGAGAGAGAGAGAGAGAGAGAGAGAGAGAGGGGGGGAGGGGAGAGAGAGAAAGAAAGAAAGACAGACGGCTGCTACCTCCGGAATTTTCGGCGGCGGCGGAGCGGCCACAAAGTCCGCTTCGTCCCAGTCGTCGGCGTCGTTGATCGAGGCGCGCGTGGCCGGCTATAAATTGAAGCATTTTAAGGTTTAAAATTCAATAGAAAAAATTGTTTAAAAATTCAACTTCGATTTCGATCGATCGATTTCACGCGCCATACCTTACTTTCCACTACCGTAGCCGCGGCCGCAAAGTCACCCCACTCGTCGTCATCATCGTCGGCATCGCCAGAACCGGAAGGGGCGGCCTAGAGGGTTGGTTTGAATGTTTAAAGGGATGGTGCCACAAACCGCAAAGGCATCCCAGCCCTGGGCGGGCGTCTCCGAGCCCTGCGTCGAATTCAAGCCGTCTTCCTTTGCCGAAAAGCCCCAGTTCGCGTCTGAAACGCGGGTCAATTATTCGGGATCTCTTGCTCTCGCTCTCTCGCTCTCTCTCACGCTCTATCTTTCTTCTACTCCCCCCGTTAACACTCCAGTACCCTCCAACGCCTTTTATAGACCAAAAACTACCTCCGGAGCCCTGGGTCGAGTCCTCCTGAGCGCGCAGCGTCTGCTGATCATCTAACGACGACGTGCTCGCCACCGTGAAGTCCCCAAACTCATCGTCATCCTCTTCTGGAGCTAAAAATTTATTCCCGCCATTTTCGACGTATTTAAGGTACTTTGTTTCTGTAGAAAAAATCTCTGAAGCCTACCAGCAGCCGGCAAAGTAGAGTCGGACTTCGCCGGCTCATCCGGTGTCAGCGAGCCGTTCAGCTCGCCCTGCTCCTGCTCAACAACGGCTTCCAGCGACGCCGACTTCGAGGCGAGCGACAGGTTTTCTGGAAAAATCACTATGTCAAATGGTAGCTCGCAGAGCAGGCTAGCAGAGATCCTATGGGAAATCCTGGAATCCTAGAAATGACTGCTCTTACCGTCGTTTGGCTTGAACGTGCTCGCGTCGTGCTGCTCGTACTCGCGGACCGTCTCGCTGATGCCGGACATTGTATCGATATGGCCGTTGGGGAGCTGCTTGGCCACCTTGATCACCATCTGCTGCTGCTCCTCGTGCACAACGCCTGAAAAATTTTTCGCGGTTCTGAATAAAATAAAATCGATATTCTTGTATTCTAACAAAAACTTGTGAAGATTTCAGGTTTAAGAATCCAGAAAAACTGTGTAAAAGCACCTCTGCAATTTATATTAGCCATTAAAATCGCCGAGACCCACTTTTCAGCTGCGTCACCGAGCCGTCCGACCACTCGGTGGTGTACTCGGGCACGGAGGTCGGCTCTTCGACAAAGTTGCGCGGCACCTCGGCCACCGACGGGGGATGCGCTGCAAATGCTATTTAAACAACTAAAAAATTGTAAAACTCACAAATGCTATCAAAATCCGGGTCCGGCAACGACATGTCCCGGTCGCTGTCATCGCTGTCTTCTTCTAAATTTCGGAATGGGAAAGAAAGTAAAAGGCTAAATATGAATCTCATTATTTAGCTCAAACATTAAGCTCAATTAAGATACCCACCAACGACATGAATGAACCGGGGCTCGTCCTGTGTTTCGGCCACCACATTAAAGGGTGGTGGCCCCTCGTCCATCCTTAAAAACGTATCATACACTTCGATTCATAGATTGCATAGACGCTCATAAAAGTGTCCGGAAATAGCGTATAGTTAAAGTTAATAAAAGTGCATATCATTTTCCTATATTGGGGCGTTAGAAAACGGTCACAAATTCGCTGATAAGGTAGTTATAGCCTAGGGACGCAACGCATCTTCAAAAGTTCTTTTTGTTTTTGCCATAGCTTTTTTATGACAATATCTTGTGTTGTAATCACTCATAGTATATTCGACGCTCTACCGAGAGAAAAATCGAGACTAAATGTCGTATGGCTGTCGTGGTTTTCCACCCCGTAAAAAGCCGGATTTGTCATTAAACGCCCGCGGTCGGCTGCTAGAATCTAACAATAGATTGGCGCTGTAAGAAATATGCCAACGGCACCCCACCGAACTAATTGCCGTGCCGAAAACCGTGCCAAAACCGGTCCGGCCAGTCGAAACAAATCACAAGAGCACACAGAATTCGGGGCGGCGCTAGCGGCTGTTAAACGCGCACGCGACGCCCGCGTGGATAGTAACCTCCCGTACCCGGGGTTTCCTAATACCTTTTTTTTCCAAAAGGTTGTCCAAAAGTATAAAATTTATATTTTAAACTTAAACTTAGCTATTTTCTTGCAAAAATCTGTTTCTTTATAGAATGGCCTCTTCTCAATACGAATCGGCGCCCAACTCGTCGCGAAACTCGACCAAACGCCCGAAAACTGACGCCGAAATGTGAGCACCCGTTTGCCGAGCTCGTCAAAACCTTACTTTTTCTTGCGTCCACAACACATTGCTGTTGGTGGTTTTCGGGCGTTGATAGAGAAATGAGCGCATTTTAGTTTTCTTTGTATGCCGCCGCGAAACGGCTCGATTCTACCGTTTTATGCAAATTTTAGCGGCCAAGAATACGATGCGGCCGTCCACAGCGGTTTGCTCGTGCCCTTGGATGTTCATCAGGTTTATTAGATCTAAAAAAGGGTTTAAAAAGGTTCTAGGTCCCCATCGTCTTTCACCCGGAATACGACGTGCGCTTCTTCGGCATCGAAAAGTGGCACCCGTTCGACGCGTGCAAGTGGGGCAAGGTTTTTCAGCGGTTGAAAGGTGGTTGCGATTCTAGTTTGTAATATTAATCTGATTTTTAGACTATAAACTACTCAGCGACGAGTCGATAGTAAAACCGAAAGAGGCGACGAGACGTGATCTACGAATCGTGCACCCAGCCTCGTATCTAAACATGTTATTCGTTCCCTGCTATGCGGCAAAGGTCGGGTTTTTTATATGTTACGCGATTGCTAAAGGTGTAGAAATTCATTAGATAAAGAGATTAAACCACAAATTGGTTTTTCTAAGGAAATTTCTAGTTTTTTTCTCAGATCTTCGAGCTGCCCATCGTCGCCTTCATCCCCTATTGCCTGCTCAATCACTATTTATTACGAAGGATGAGGTAAAAAAATCTTTATTTTTCGGTTCTTTGGCATTTTCGGGGGGTCAAATGTTTTCTTAGGATTTAATTTTTCACCTATAAATGTTTCTTTATTTTCTTTTCAAATATAGGGGAAGTGTTTCTGAATCGTTTTCTTTGCTTTTCTTACACTTAAAAACTTTAAAAATTTTATAAAAAATGACAAAAATATAGATTTTTCGACCAAAAACGGCCGTGTTGACCAATTTTCGACGTTTTAAACGTTTTTAAAGTTTTTAGTTAGTTTTTCTAGCTGAAATATGGTTTTTTATTAAAAGCATTATTGAAATACTGCTATTACGTTACTAGACGACTAGACTTATGCAAAACTGCTCGACCGTCCGTCCCCCCCGATAATGCGAAAGATCCATTTTCTGTAAAACCGCCTTTAGATTCCACGTCGGGGGCACCGTGGCCGCGTGCCGGTTAGCGCTGCTGAAAAACTGGGCGATCAACATTGGCGGTGGTTTCCATCATGCGTCTGCGGATCGGGGTTTGATGATCCTTTTTCTGAATTAGTTTTTTGATCTTTTAGGTGGCGGTTTCTGCGTGTACGCCGACATAACATTGGCCATCAAGATTCTACTACTCCTAAACCTGGTCCGCCGGGTGATCATCGTCGATTTGGATGCGCATCAGGTAGGAAAAGTTCTAAAAATCGGTACTGGCCTGTTAGCAGAGGGGAAATCTGTTGCTAATGTACATATAAGATATTTTATAGTGTTTAATAATTTTTAATGGCATGAAAGCTAAAAGAAATTTTTTAAGTTTGAAATTTTGTAAATTTTTACCGTTTCTCGTCATTTTTCGTACATTTTTTTGGCCAAAAAGTCAGAAATTTTCGAGATTTTGTTTATGTTTTTATATCTAAAGACTGTAAAATGCTAAGCCTTTCTTCTAAGGGATCAGCTATCTACGCTCTAAAAAGCTCGAAAAATATGCAACTTTTTGTACCATCTTTCGTTTTAAAAAGCAGATTTTAAAAATAATGTGCGCGGATTTAAAAAAGATGTGTAAAAATGCGCGGATTCTTTTCGCTGATTTTTATCTTTTTAGGGCAACGGCCACGAACGGGATTTTCTCGAGGATCCCCGAGTTTTTATTCTGGATGTAAGTTACGTTTCAGACACCTTTAAATCCGATTTTCAGGTCTACAACCCTTCCATCTACCCGAGAGACGAGTTGGCGAAAAACGCGATCAGCCGCTCGGTGGAAGTCAAGGCGGACGCCGGGGATTTCACATATTTGGAGTGAGTTTTTCGGCTTCTTTTGAATTTTAACCACAAATTGTATTGCTTTAATCCGGCTCTTTTATTATTGCCAGGCGTAAAACTGTATGGTTTTTTTTAAAATTCAAATTACATTTTTTCGAATATACGGTCAAATTTCAAGATTTTTCTGTGTTTTGTGTAGAAATTTTTTTGATTGCTATCGAGTTAAAGTTTGGCAATGTATTAAAACTCTTAAAATACATTTAAATGGCTATTAAAATAATAAAATATTAATCTATCATTAAAATATTAATAGTGCCGTTTTAGCGACCTCGAGACAGAGCTGGAGACCGTACTCGGCGAGTTCGCCGCCGATCTGATCGTCTACAACGCGGGCACGGACTCGTTGGTCGGGGACCCGCTCGGCAGAATGCACTTGACACCGGAGTTAACTTTTTGAATATATTTCGAAACGTTAATCTGTTTTTTGGTGCTTTTGCATTATCGGGGGGATCGAACTCTTTTTGTATGAGTCAAGAAATGTCTAGTAAATTAATAAGAGTGTTTTAATAGTGTTTTTTAGTCATATGTAACGGTATTTCGACTAGCAAAACGATCTTAAAAACATTAAAAACTATAAATTTTGGTAAAAATCGGCCATTTTTGTTCGAAAAATCTCTATTTTGTTGATATTTTTTAATCCAATTTGTAAAGTTTTCACGTTTAGGAATAGTAAAAAACCATTTAGAAAGACTTCCAGTATTTATATTTGACAATTAGATCCTGAGAAAAAGTCACCCCCCCGATAATGCGAAAGAACCCCGTTTTTCTAGGGCATCCGCGCCCGCGATGAGATCGTCTTCCGCGCCGCCAAGGAGCACTCGATCCCAAGTAATCTCTGCTAGCCTGCCGCTTTCAAAAATTCGTTTTTTTCTCTAGTCGCCATGGTGACCTCCGGCGGGTACCAGCCGGACAACTGGGAGGTGATCGCCGATTCGATCAAGAATTTGCACGACAAGAAGCTGATCCATCTACACCCGTGATGTGATACGTTAAACCTTGTATCAAAATCTGTATCAACTACTGTAAATATACTGTAAATTGACTGCACATTGTGATTTGACAGCCCTAGTCCGATTGATTTTGTAGTTAGCTACGTGAAATCTGGTTCCGCGTGACTTTTTGTGACTTTAGCTTTTCCTACCTCCTGTGGCACCGAATTTTGTGAATAAATAAATTTGAGAGAGATAAATTTGGGCAAGCTAGCAGAGAACATTTGGTGCGAGAAAGAACAGAGCTCGTTGAATTCCGAAATTATGACAAATTTGGTACAAAAACAGGCCCCCGCGCCCAATTAGCCGCGAAGCCACGAGGGCTACCTGTCAATTTTCTGCATTTTTTTGGGCAGTGGGAGAATGAGAAATCGCAACAATTTCAGAATGAAATTAGGAGGCTAGTACACTAATCTATTTAGTTTTTTCGTTCTTTTGGATTTTGGGCATGCTAGCAGAGATTGTTGAGGAATAGAGGAGAGGGCAGACTAGCAGAGATTGTTGAGGAAGAGGAGAGGGCAGGCTAGCAGAGATTGTTGAGGAAGAGGAGAGGGCAGGCTAGCAGAGATTGTTGAGGAAGAGGAGAGGGCAGACTAGCAGAGATTGTTGAGGAAGAGGGGAGGGCAGACTAGCAGAGATCACTTGCGCAATTCTATAGCTACCGTAATCCCGTCCCAGCACGCGCTCCCCCTCACAATTCCATTTCTATACATCTGCACGCACCCCATTTTTTCTGCCCTACCACCCGTGAATTCCGGCCGTACAAATGGGGACTACGCCCCGTTTCTTTAGACGCTTTTGAAATTCCAAGGATTGGGGGCGAAGTTTGGACCCGGGTGGATTTGGCACAAAGCCTGAATTCATATTTTTGGCTTCGAGGTTTGTTTGAGGGCATAAAAAGTGGATTAGCCAGGGTCGGACGCTCGGTTTTTGCCGCCGGGATACGGTAGTTGCGTTGCGTTTTGGAAGGCTGTTTCGTTCAGACAGTATGAAATTGAGAGTCGGGTTATTTGAAGCGAATCCTGCGCTTTAAATGACCATTGAAGTGAGGGGAATTCTAGTGGAAAGGGCACGTTTTGGTTTTGTCGGAAGAAGTTGACGTAGTTCGCGGGATTTTAGGTTAGAGACCCGACTCTCCTGAGAGTTCTCCGCTAGCCTGCCCTCTCCTCTTCCTCAACAATCTCTGCTAGCCTGCTCTCTCCTCTTCCTCAACAATCTCTGCTAGCCTGCCCATCGGTTCCGTTCTACTCCAACAAACATCATACAACCCGAGTGGGAATTCTGTCCCAAACACCACCAGATATTCCCAGACTAATTTATGCCATTCCCCCCGTCAAAAGCTCAGTGCCCTTATTTTGCTGTAGTTGCCCCTCGTGGGGCCCTGAGACCGTTCCGATTATTCCCGAAAATGCGTCTATAGCGAAGGGGGTACGAGAGTGAGGGTTGAACTCCAAGGTTATTCGGACCGACGCAGTAGAGATTCCACTTTTCCTGCGGTATTTTGATCTCAAATTTACCGGATTTTTGCTCTAAACCACAATTCTTGAGAACGAGAAAGCCTGCTCTTGCTCGTGTTTGCTATATTTTACAACCTGTAGCTCAAGGCGTCCTTATTTTCAGCAACCATTTTCAGCAAGAAAAATGGTCCCAATCTACCAAGTGGTGGCGAACCTGTTCGCACTGGTGATCCTCTACGAGCTGTACACCATCGCGTCGGTGTTGTACGCCGTGTGGAAGTCGGTTTTCTCTTTCTCTCTCCCTCTCTCTCTCGCTATTTTGTATTTTTAGAGGGAGCTTCTGCACCCGAAAATCTCCCATCTACATCATCTCGACGTCGAACCTGGTGACGGATTTTTTGATGCTCATCGTGCACCTCTTCTATTTTGTGCCCACAATGTTTATGCAGGTTGGAAATTTAAGGGTTGGCCGAAACCTAAGCCGAAGCCTAAGCCTAAGCCGAACCTAAGCCTAAGCCAAATTCAAGCCTAAGCCTAAGCCTAAGCCAAATTCAAGCCTAAGCCTAAGCCTAAGCCAAATTCAAGCCTAAGCCTAAGCCAAAGTCAAGCCTAAGCCTAAGCCTAAGCCAAAGTCAAGCCTAAGCCAAATTCAAGCCTAAGCCTAAGCCAAAGTCAAGCCTAAGCCTAAGCCTAAGCCTAAGCCTAAGCCTAAGCCAAATTCAAGCCTAAGCCTAAGCCTAAGCCTAAGCCTAAGCCTAAGCCTAAGCCTAAGCCAAATTCAAGCCTAAGCCTAAGCCAAAGTCAAGCCTAAGCCTAAGCCTAAGCCTAAGCCAAAGTCAAGCCTAAGCCAAATTCAAGCCTAAGCCTAAGCCAAAGTCAAGCCTAAGCCTAAGCCTAAGCCTAAGCCTAAGCCTAAGCCAAATTCAAGCCTAAGCCTAAGCCAAAGTCAAGCCTAAGCCTAAGCCTAAGACAAACCTAACATGAATTCAAGCTTTTTTGAGAGAGAGAAAGAGCGATAGAAATAGAGAGAGAGATAGCGAGAGAGAGTGTACGAGAGAATACTAAAAAGGGCTGGCAGAGGTATTGCCCAAAAACTAAAGTTCCCAGAGCACATAAGTTCAAATACTGTGCATTTCCTGGTAGCCGCAATCGCCCCCAGGCACGCGGGCAGCTGTGAGCTTCCCCGTGGTTTTGTTTGGCTGTGTGAACGTCACGGTCCTAAGATCGAAAGATCGACAACTAAAAACGACCAAAAACTGAAGGTGCGGAGCGGCCTAGCAAAGGCAATTTGCGGAATTTCAGTCGTGGATCTTCCCAAAGGGCATCGACGATCAGGGGACCATCTTCTTCTCATCGCTCTTCATGGTGCTCTGGTATCAATCGTCGTTCAGCCAGATTCTGATGGCCGTCAATAGGTGCGCAGGCTAGCAGAGATCGTTGAGGAAGAGGAGAGGGCAGGCTAGCAGAGATTATCGAGGAAGAGGAGAGGGCAGGCTAGCAGAGATTGTTGAAGAAGATGAGATGGCAGGCTAGCAGAGATTATCGAGGAAATTCCAGGCTGTGCGTGATGTGCTTCTCCCGTTGGACCATCTTCACCCGCCGCAGCACCACCGTCATCACGCTGGGCATCTACCCGGTGGCCCTCATCCTGGCCGCGTTGTCCCAGTACATCCTGCCCTGCTGTCGGTGGGTTTTTGGGTTTTGCAGAGGCAGCACTTTTCCAACGATTCTCTAGTCTCGACATCATACCGAACTTTTTGAGCCGCACAAATTGTTGTGTATTTATTCTGGAAACGGAGTCTAGGAGCGGATCAAAAATCTCCGAATATATGGAGTACCAATTTCCCATTCCCACCGTAACTATGCGCCGAACGGGAAAGCAAGCCCAAAGCCGTTTTTTTGCGTCAACTAAAAAGATCTACGGCCCGTTCCGAGAAAACTAGACTGAGAAAATGTCTCATTGTGCGGGCGTAATTAGGTGCACGAGTGCTTGGTTGGAATTTATTTCGAAATTTTCAAGCGGGAGCTGATGTTTGACCATCGGGACAATCGGGAAAGGAAAATCCGAAGACTAAACTAGGCCTAAGCAAAATTTGAAGCCGACTTATCTCTTCATAGGATTGTGCTACAGGAATGTCAGATGGCGCATTTGAAAGTGTAGAAAATTGGCTACAAAGCCCAGTCAAAAACCGAAGTAAGCCGAAGCTAAGCTTCCGAAGACTAAATACTCCTAAGCAAAATTTGAAGCCGACGTATCTCTACAAAGGAATATCCTACAGAAATGAGATATGGTGCGTTTGAAAGAACCAGGAAAATACTACAAAGCCTAATCATAACCCAAACTAAGCCTCAGCAAATCGTGCCTAAGCCTAAGCCTAAGCCTAAACCTAAACCTAAGCCTAAACCTAAGCCTAAACCTAAGCCTAAGCCTAAGACTAAGTCTAAGCCTAAGCCTAAACCTAAGCCTAAGCCTAAGCCTAAGCCTAAGCCTAAGCCTAAGCCTAAGCATAAGCCTAAGCCTAAGCCTAAACCTAAACCTAAACCTAAACCTAAGCCTAAGCCTAAGCCTAAGCCTAAGCGTAAGTCTAAGCCTAAGGCTAACTTCAAGTCGCTCTAACTTCTTGCAGGAATGTGCTAGAGACATGAGAGATGGCGCATTTGAAATGGCAGAAAATCAAGCCGAATTAAAACCGAAGTAAGCCTAAGCTAAGCTTACGAAGCCCAAGCTAAGCCTAATCAAAATTTGAATTAGACTTATCTCTTCAAAAGAAGATCCTACAGGAATGTGACATAGCGCTTTTGAAAGGGTTTGAAAGAGGGAAGGCCAGCAGAGATTGTTGAGCAGGAGGATAGGGCAGGCTAGTAGAGCTCATTTGCGGATGTTTCATCGTAATCCATTCCAACATTTATTCACACAAATAAACACCCCGAAGAAGAATCGCGACACGCGGCGCATTAATAGAGCAACAGCGAAAAAACACCAGCGTAATTGGGGGGTGGGTGGGTTAACAGCCGCGGGGCCAACTTGGAAGACGACACGAAATTCCAGCGTTCATTTTAAAGGGACGGCGACGACCGGGTGGGCGGCTCACAGGCTCAGGTCGGCGCCCATCGCCGTCGATGGGTGGACCTGAAAAGCGGGAGAAATGATCGCTGCTGGCATCCCGCTGGGGCCTCCTCAAGAATCTCTCCTAGCCGGCCCACCTCAATGTGGGTGTACTGCAGCTTGGAGGGGTCGCGGTTGGCCATCATTTCCTTCGGCTCGCGATGATCACCCGGCTCGACGGGCAGGGATTCCACCTGAATGCAAGCTGAAGCTTAAGCACTAGCCCAAGCCCAAGCCTAAGCCTAAGCCTAAGCCTAAGCCTAAGCGTAAGCCCAAGCCTAAGCCTAAGCCTAAGTCGAAGCCGAGGCCTAAGCCTAAGCCTAACAAGGGAGTGCACGACCGGCCCACGAGAAATCGACACGAGACATAGTGGATCTGATAGAATCGGAAACGGGGATTTCGAATCTGTAATCGGAATTTGCTAAATAAAACGGAGAAAAAAGTTATGAAGCATCAAAGTTGACCAAATCGCCAAAAACGATACCTTTAAGGGCCCGTAAAAACCGGGGGAACGGAATTGAGGAGAAAAGAATTAGTGCATCTTGTTCAGCAGAAAAAGCGCTTTCGAATGAGTTATAATACGTAGCATTTGCAAACAATTCACTGAAAAAAGTTTTTTTGGATTCACGGGCAAGGGTATGGCCTGTCAAATTCATAGAAGAGATTTCTGCGAAATCATCGTAAACTTGAAGTAAGATAGCTCATTCGAAAGCGCTTTTTTTGCTGAACAAGATGCACTAATGGGTTGTGGCAAATTTCCATTCCCTGGGCCTTTACAGGCCCATAAAAGTCCGATTTTGGGCGATTTTACCAACTTTGAAGCTTCATAACTTTTTCCTCCGTTTTATTTAGCAAATTCTGATTACAGATTCGGAATCCCCGTGTCCGATTCTATCAGATCCACTATGTCTCGTGTCGATTTCTCGTGGGCCGGTCGTGCACTTCCCTTGTAAGCCTAAGCCTAAGCCTAAGCGTAAGCCCAAGCCTAAGCCTAAGCCGAAAGCTTAGACGTAAGCCTAAGGCCAAGCCTGGGCTCAAGCCTAAGCTAAAGCCTAAGCCTAAGCCTAAACATACCTTGATCTTCGAGCAGTCCGTCGGCGGCCTAGTGACAGTGATGCAGAGGAAGCAGTGCTTGCCCGCATCCAGCGTCCCGTACGCAGGATCGCAGCGGAACAGCGACGCATCCGAGCACCTCACCTTGAACACGCGCAGCCCCTTGCCCGTGTTCGTCAACTTCAGCTTCACCTAGGAGAAGGGTAGGCTAGCAGGTACCGTTTTGGAATTCGTACCTGCGAAAGGGAGTCCTGCCACTTGAAGCGCTCCTTGCTGACCTTCAGCGCGACGTCCTTGTTGAGGAAGCGCGGGTCGAACGGGTCGAAGTTGCCGGGCACATAGCCGCCCACCCCGCGCCGCTCCGACGCGAAAACGACGTCTTCGCCGTGCTTTCGTACCTGGAAAGGGGTAGAATTCCGCAAGGATCTCGGCTAGCTTGCTTAGGCGCCTAGAAGAGCCCCCCGCTAACAGTCCAGAACCCTGCCCCGGCGGACCTGCTTGAAGTTGGGCTGGACGGCGCTCTGCTGCCGATGGATATCGTGGGACGAGGCTTTGCGGGCGGCTTCCAGCTTCTCGCGCTCCTCGTCCTTGACGTTCATCTGGAGAAGGGCCTCCTCCTCCCTCCGCAGCTGCTCCTCAAAGTCGACCGGCGAGCCGGCCATGGTCGGCGCAAGAGACTGATTGCCATCGGTGCCGTCGTGTACCGCCTAAACGCGTTAATAGCGGTATCCGGAGACAAGATCGCAGATGCCCTACCACAGCCGACCATCTGCCTACTGTATCTCGGCTCCCTGTTGGTCTACAAGTGTGCAAAGTATACCAAAATGTTCCTCTTGATCTGGCGAGTATTTTCGTACACTTTACATACTTGTAGCGCAACGGGGAGCCGAGATACGGGGTTACCCGGTCGCCACTTAACCTCGAAAACGGTGCACTGAAAGTCGGAGTCCTTCTTCCGGAGATTCTCGTCCTTTTCGCCTCCGCGCTTGGTCACCGGCTTCTTCGACTTTTGCGGCCCGGCCGATTTGCCGGCTAGAAAAGGGATTTTTGAGAGAAGCCCTGGACTTACAGTCGCACGACGTCTTCTCCTTCATCACCTTCTGCATCTTGGACATGGCTGAAACAGAAGTCCTCAAAAATCGCTGCTGATTTGTCGTAGTCTCCCATGAAGAATCTCTGCTAGCCTGCCCTCTCCTCTTCCTCAACAATCTCTGCTAGCCTGCCCTCTCCTCTTCCTCAACAATCTCTGCTAGCCTGCCCTCTCCTCTTCCTCAACAATCTCTGCTAGCCTGCCCTCTCCTCTTCCTCAACAATCTCTGCTAGCCTGCGCTCTCCTCTTCCTCAACAGTCTCTGCTAGCCTGCCCCTTTAAAGTTCCTATAAAACCAAACCTTTGCCTTTCCCCTCCTTGCTCCTGCCCTCCTTGCTCTTGTTCGCTCGCGGCGCATCCTTCTTGGCTTTGCTCTCTTTGGATCTGGAAGGGCGATAGATAGAAGGTCAGCGAGAGAGAGAGAGAGAGAGAGACATCTCTACCCACTTCGGTGTCTTTGGCGTTTTTGGAGTTTTGGCAGGCTCCTTCGACTTGCTCTCCTTGCTCTTCCCCTTGCCCTCCTTGCTCTTCCCTTTCGGCATCCTGCGGGCTGGCTACCGTAGATGGGTGGCTGGAAAATATCCTCGATGTTAGCGGCTACCCCATTAGCATCCCAAAACCACCATAATTTGCATAAAACCCACGAGTAGGCTGGGAAATGCTGAGCGACGATCGAGTAAAGGAAAAGTGATCGGAAAACCTGAAAAAAAAAGTCGCTGGGACATCCGGAAGTTCCGGACTCGCATTCAAATCGGGATTCTGCTAGCCTGCTCTAGCTCTAGTCTGCCAGGGATTTTGTCTGTCGGAATTTTAGGGGTGTTCTCTCCTACCTCCTAAAGAATTACTGCTAGTACGCCTAAGCCCAGATTGTCCTGCTCAAAGGTCTCCGAAGCCCAAGCCAAGCCTAAGCCTAAGCCTAAGCTTAAACGTAAGCCTAAACCTAAACCTAAGCCTAAGCCTAAGTCTAAGCCTAAGCCTAAGCTGCCTGCCGCTTTCCGCCAGTTCTCAGCGCTTCCACCAAGAATCTCTGCCAACCTGCCCGCCGTATTTCCTCCTTTTCAGGTTCTCCTTCAACTATCAGGTGTACTCGTACAGCTACGTGCAGCTGCCCGGTATCCCTAACTACCCGAATATGTACATCGACTTACCGCTCAACTCCACGTCGACAATCATTTGCATCCTATGCTATTCCTGGGTACGGGATTAGGCGTTGTAGGGCTTTAAAGGACCAATGAAGGCCTGATCCGTCAAAAATCTATAACAACCTTTCCAGATCGTACGTTGGATCTACCGTCTCAGCGCCCAGACGGAGACAGCAGCAGGGTGCGATAAAAGCCGCAAGAGAAAGAATATGGAAATCAAGGTGGGGCAGCTAGCAGAGATTGTTGAGGAAGAGGAGAGGGCAGGCTAGCAGAGATTGTTGAGGAAGAGGAGAGGGCAGGCTAGCAGAGATTGTTGAGGAAGAGGAGAGGGCAGGCTAGCAGAGATTGTTGAGGAAGAGGAGAGGGCAGGCTAGCAGAGATTGTTGAGGAAGAGGAGAGGGGCAGGCTAGCAGAGATTGTTGAGGAAGAGGAGAGGGCAGGCTAGCAGAGATTGTTGAGGAAGAGGAGAGGGCAGGCTAGCAGAGATTGTTGAGGAAGAGGAGAGGGCAGGCTAGCAGAGATTGTTGAGGAAGAGGAGAGGGCAGGCTAGCAGAGATTGTTGAGGAAGAGGAGAGGGCAGGCTAGCAGAGATTGTTGAGGAAGAGGAGAGGGCAGGCTAGCAGAGATTGTTGAGGAAGAGGAGAGGGGCAGGCTAGCAGAGATTGTTGAGGAAGAGGAGAGGGCAGGCTAGCAGAGATTGTTGAGGAAGAGGAGAGGGGCAGGCTAGCAGAGATTGTTGAGGAAGAGGAGAGGGCAGGCTAGCAGAGATTGTTGAGGAAGAGGAGAGGGCAGGCTAGCAGAGATTGTTGAGGAAGAGGAGAGGGCAGGCTAGCAGAGATTGTTGAGGAAGAGGAGAGGGCAGGCTAGCAGAGATTGATGAGGAATATATTTTTCCTTATTTTAGTACGCCAAACAATTCTTCCTGATCTCGATCTTCTACCTAAATGCCTGGACGAGTTTCCGCTACTTGCCGCCGGTTCGTTAATCGTTAATATAAACCCAGGGCGAGAGAATGAGAGAGAGAGAGAGAGAGGGAGAGAGAGAGAGCAAAAAATGTTCCAGATCTTCGGCGATCAACACCTATGGCTGTACTCGTTCTGCTCGTTGAACGTTCTGCTCAACTACGGGGCTAATGGCCTGGTGTATTTCCATACGAATCAGGAGGTAACATACCTCAAGCGGCGTTAGGGCAGGGACACGTCAAAAAGACGCATTACAAATTTTAGCGGGTTTTAAAGGGAGCATAAGCGTCGAAAACAAGCCTTTTTTGTTATTCTGACCATCAATGGCATGACCACTTACCTTAAATTTTTATTTTTACAGATCCAATCTATGCTGCGTCGCGGCTCAACCGGCACTTCCGATTATCACTCCTCGACGAAGGGCCCGAGAATCTACACCACCACCGATCAACAGTCGAAATCTGTGCATGATTAGATGTAGTTTCATAAGCATTATGCTGATTTTTTAAGATTTTACAAGATACCTTTCTCTCTCCCTCTTACGCTTTCTCTCACTCTCTCTCTCTTGATCCCTCTCTCTCGCCCTGTCACGACCCCTTTAAAGGCCGATTACTTTCCTCAAGACGTCAATAAATATTTCCAATAACATAACAAACCGACGCCGAAACCTAAGCCTAAGCATAAGTCTAAGCCTATGTCGAGGACTAAACCTAAGCCGAAGCCTAAGCCTAACCTAAGCCTACGCCGAAGCCTAAGCCTAAGTCTAAGCCTAAGCCTAAACCTAAGCCTAAGCATAAGCCTAAGCCTAAGCCTCAACCTAAGCCTAAGCCTAAGCCTAAGCCTAACCTAAGCATCATCGACGACATTCCGCCGGAATCCATAACTTACGACAGACACGCTCAAGCAAGTTTCTGAGACAAATTTATAGCCAGCGCTACGGGCAGCTGCTATTTCCAGCCGTGGTCAAGTCCTGGAATTAATTAAAAATTTATTAAAAAAGGAGCAAGAGGTTGGAAAGGAGAGAGAGCGAGAGAGATAGGGAGACGAGGAGCAAATTTCAGTTCCTGCTTTGGGAGGCTGGCTATTTTAGGGCCAGCAGTTTTGTAGCGGGCGTGGGGCTCAAAATCAGGCTCTTGACTAAGGTCAGCTTTTTCGATCCTTTTTTGAGATCTAAATTAGGTGGTACAGGGTCCGTTTACGAGAGAGAGAGAGAGAGAGAGAGAGAGAGAGAGAGAGAGAAAGAGATAGGGAAAGAAAGATAGATAGAGAAGTTAACCGTTTCTCGACCAAACCTCAAACCCCAAACTCCATGTTTATTCATACCAAGTGAGGCTGCACCCCGATTATTTATGCGGCGTTTTTACAGCCCTGCAAATGACAGCCAATCCCCCTGCACCGCGTTTTCCAGGTTTCGCGGCAAATTTACGTGACTTTAGAAAATTTTTCGGGAAGAGCCAAATCAAATTCAGCCCTGCTGTCACACTCCCCTTAAAACGCTTTTGTCACCCATATTTCCAACATATTGCTCCTGTCCTCCCGATTCCCCCCGTCCTGGCCATATTTCGCAGCGACGGGCCAACGACAAAGCCACAAAAATTTATCACCCCACCGGGCTTTTGCCCTGGGGCGGTGCCCCCAGGGCATAAGCCCCGGCCGGCCGTTCTGACGTAGAAGACGTGGCTTTTCCGAATATTGCCCTTCGCCCCCCCACGCAACTAGACTACTCTTGTATTAGGGGCTGGAGTTCCTAAAGAATCCGTGCTAGCCTGCCCTCTCCTCTTCCGCAGCAATCTCTGCTAGCCTGCCCTCTCCTCTTCCTCAACAAACTCTGCTAGCCTGCCCTCTCCTCTTCCCCAACAATCTCTGCTAGCCTGCCCTCTCCTCTTCCTCAACAAACTCTTCTAGCCTGCCCTCTCCTCTTCCCCAACAATCTCTGCTAGCCTGCCCTCTCCTCTTCCTCAACAAACTCTGCTAGCCTGCCCTCTCCTCTTCCCCAACAATCTCTGCTAGCCTGCCCTCTCCTCTTCCTCAACAATCTCTGCTAGCCTGCCCTCTCCTCTTCCCCAACAATCTCTGCTAGCCTGCCCTCTCCTCTTCCTCAACAATCTCTGCTAGCCTGCCCTCTCCTCTTCCCGAACAATCTCTGCTAGCCTGCCCTCTCCTCTTCCTGAACAATCTCTCCTAGCCTGCCCTCTCCTCGTCCTCAGCACTCTCTGCTAGCCGTCTCTACGGTAGAATAAATCAGCAAAACTTCTATTAGAAAGTGCAACTTCACTCAGAATATCAGTACCGCGACCCCCCATCCGCTCAAAAATTCCATTAGCATAAAACCACCTGTGGACGCTGCAACGTGTGTTTTCTGTTTAAATATTCTAGCACGGGGCCAAAAATGGGTTCATTCCACCGGACAAAGAATGGATGGAATTTTCTAAAAAAAGATCACACACTGGATTTGATGTAAATTTGATTTCCTTGATTTCAAAGGCTCGTCTGTTGTCCACTCTTTCTCTCTGCACCTCTCTCTTTCTCTCTCATTCTTTCTCTGTCGCGTTTGTGAGTTAATTCAATCTTTCATTGCCAAGGGGCTTTTCCCTGGAGAAAGATGCAAAGAGTGAAAGCAGAAGAATGAGAGCTAGTGAGAGAGAGAGTGAGAGAGAGAGAGGAGAGAGATATTTATTGAAAAAGCCTGATTTAAAAGCGTAGGCGAATCGCGGCACTGCGGTAATGGCGATAACTTACTTTTACCGAAAATTGAGTTTTAAAGTTCCACACTATGAGTTTCAATGAAATCGGGGAGCAAAAAAATTACAATAACCCCAGCAGAGATTTTTGAGGAAGAGGAGAGGGCCGGTTAGTAAAGATGGCAACTCTCGACCTGCGACTATTTTCAGTCCTAATCCTCCAAATTTAGAAGTGTTCCCC